GGTAATACACTTCGTTCAGTTACGTATTGCTTTGTCAGATATTGGTAACGAAGAAAAAGGCGTGGTGGTGGTGTTGGTGGTGGGTGGGGAGAGTTCATTGCTCGTTTAACCAAATTTAGGCGGGCAGAGGGGGGGATGAGTGGGTCGCTGCTTTCTACATTTTATTATCATCACATTCTTCCTTTTCTTCTTTTCAACACCTCTGTAGACACACGTCTTCTGGTCAGCATACCCTCTTTTGACTATGGATAATCTCAAGAGGCGACATGCCACTCACAACAATACCGAGATCGTCCCTCTACAAGAGCCCCATTTCCAATCGCCGAGTCATCATCAAAGCTTCTCTGCATACGATGAGAAACAAAAGTTGTACAGACCTACTCTCCAGCAACAACCTATCGTATACTCCTCCAACAAGGTTAGTGCATGATTATCCATGTACATGGTCCCTTTTTCTCACTCACTATATCACCCACCCTGAAACATTGCAGTACATTGCATTCTGCCAAAGGCACCAACGCGCGTTGATACCAGCTGTGCTGACTCTCTTGGCATTTTGGACCCGTTTCCGTATCATTGGTCGATCCAATATCGTCGTATGGGATGAGGTAATTACACATCAATAATACTTTATAAATGGATTCATGCTCACACACTCAATTCCTCTCCCCCCCCTTTATAGGCCCACTTTGGCAAGGTAAATACACGACCGGATGATGTATGCATTGATCGATTGACACGTGATGGATGATATCTAGTTTGGTTCCCATTACCTCAAGCATGAATTCTATTTCGATGTACATCCACCATTGGGCAAAATGCTGGTTGGTCTCTCAGGATGGTTGGCTGGTTACAATGGTTCCTTTGGCTTTGAATCAGGACACACGTATCCAAGCAGCGTCAACTATGCCGCAATGCGCATCTTTAATGCATTTTGGGGTGCCATGCTCGTCCCATTGGCCTATTTGACAGCTCAACAATTTCACATGTCTTATAAAGCAAGCATCCTTGCTGCTACCATGGTATTACTCGGTAAGTGGATGAATGGGAAAAGGGGTTCTCTGGTCCAAGATCAATAGTAACATGGGTATATATGATAGACACCGCGTATCTTTGCATCAGTCGATTTATTTTGCTGGATTCAATGCTTTTGTTTTTCACATGTCTATCGCTCTATTGTCTATCAGTATTTCACAACCTTCGAAATCAGTAAGTGGTACATATGGTTTCATCGTAAACAAGTGCTTACCTTTTTTTCTGGGCAGGCCCTTTACTGAAAAATGGTGGTTATGGCTGGCTTTGACAGGTTTCTCACTGGGCTGCGTATCCAGGTAAAGTGAAAGTGGATGATGTTGAAGATGATGGCGATGCTAAAACGTGGTATGCGGGAATAGTGTCAAATGGGTTGGTCTATTTGCAGTAGCACTTGTGGGTATCTATACCATCGAGGATCTCTGGGATATGCTTGGTGATCGACACATGCCAAAGAAGGTGTACGCTGGACATTGGATTGCTCGTATCTTGTGTTTGATTTGCTTGCCCATTGCCGTATACTTGTTTTCCTTTGTATTACACTTTGCCATTCTTTATCGAAGCGGCCCTGGCGATGCACAAATGAGTTCCCTGTTTCAAGCAAGACTTGTTGGCAATAATTTTGAAAAGAATCCACTAGGTAATGGGATGGTTTGGGAAGGTGATCAATCCAAGTACTTACATCATGATTAGAATTGGCCTATGGCTCCAAGTTGACCATCAAGAACTACGGCTATGGTGGTGGTCTTTTGCATTCTCATGTCCAAACGTACCCTGAAGGATCAAAACAGCAACAAGTCACGTGCTACCATTACAAAGACGACAACAACCATTGGATTGTGCGCCCTCCTCGTGATGTTGGAAGTATCAGCGACTATGAACCTGAAGATGGCAGTATTCGATTTGTCAAGGATGGAGATATTGTTCGTTTAAAGCACTCGCAAACAGGCCGCAACTTGCATAGTCATCCGATCAATGCACCCATTACGAGCGGTCAGTGGGAAGTGAGCTGCTACGGCAATGAGACGATTGGCGACAATCAAGATAATTGGCGGGTGGAAATTGTGGATGATACCAATTACAACGACAAGGAACGTGTGAGATCATTGACAACTCGTTTCCGGTTACGACATACACATCTCAACTGCCTACTTGCTGCAAACAATGTCGTTCTCCCTCAATGGGGTTTCAAACAAGTGGAGGTGACATGCGACAAGCGTAATAACGAGGATGATCCGCATACATGGTGGAATGTAGAAGAGCATTACAATGACAAACGTGAGTATATGATCAAAGAATGGGTGATGTTGCTTTTATTAATATGATTGAGCTAGTTCCTCCGGCACCCAAGAATGCTTACAAGTCCCGGTTTTTGCATGATTTTTGGCATTTGAACGTAGCCATGTGGACATCCAACAATGCTCTCATCCCTGATCCTGACAAGGAAGACATTCTTTCATCCTCACCACCAGAATGGCCTTTGGCATCCGTGGGTTTACGTATGTGCGGATGGAGCGATGATATTGTCAAATTCTATTTGCTTGGCAGCCCTGCTGTATGGTGGACGGCATTCGCTTCTCTTTTGGTGTTTGTAGGAACCACGTCCTATTACATTATTCGCATGCAACGTAAAATGATGGACTTGTCAAATGGTGAGTTGGCTAAATGAAAAATGATGGCATGTGGGCTCCAGACTTATAGTATTCTATAGCTCAATGGGATCATTATCTCTACGTCGGCAAGACCTTGTTCCTAGGATGGTTCCTGCATTACATGCCATTTTACATTATGGGTCGCGTTACATACTTGCACCATTACTTTCCGGCTCTTTATTTCAGCATCTTACTGGTGCCTTTTATGATGGAGCATTTCACAGCCCACCGATCGCAGCGTGTGCAATGGATTGTATTTGGTACCGCCTATGCCTTGGTGATTTTGGTCTTTATCTACTTTGCACCTGTCGCATACGGTATGAAGGGTCCCATATCAAATTACAAAGGACGACAATGGCTCAAGAGCTGGAATCTTGTGGATTCGTAAAAAATATCAATTTATGCATGTGCGCTATTATCCTGTTTTGTTCCTCTCACTTTACACACACACGCACACACACACACTCGCTCACTCACTCACACCCATATCCAATAAAATCATTCTGCATTCACAAACATTAGATCGACAACATACATGCCGTTGTGCTTGAAGTTGCCATCATCTCCCAAATCCTTGTCCTACAACTGGTAATTGCTCCAATATGGGTAGTCAAAATAGTTTCGCTCGAATGATATTATGGATTGGATATAGTATTCTAATGAAAAAAGTAAAAAGAAAAGAACTAGCAAGCGCAAAAGCTGCTTTCTTGTTTATCAACATCGGTCGTTTCGGTAAGATCCACACGAGTCACTGTATCATAGACAAAGATCAATATCATTTGCAATAGCGTGCTGAAAAGAAGACAACCACTTACTCTGTTCCTTTTGTTCCTCCACCACGCCATTATCCATTCCTGGTAATGCATGACCAATTTTCCGGAAGAGTGACTTGACCTATACCAGGGACAATGAATATACATCAATGACATAGGATCCTTTTCTTGGTACTTACGTTGTATCCAACCTTGGCACTTGTCTCAATAAACATGATATTGTATTCACGGGCTTTTTTCTCTCCTTCTTCGATTGTTACACGTCTACACAAAAGTCATGTGAGTATATCTATCCAACCTGCTCCAAAAGACTTTTACCTTTTGTCGTTCAGATCCGTCTTATTACCAACCAATACGATAATCACATCATCTCCACGCTCAGCACGGACATCATCGATCCATTTAGTGGTATGGTTGAAAGAATTACGATCTATGTACGTATTCAGTGAGCCTAATGTCATGATCTCAAAAGTGAAAACACCTACTCGTGATGTCGTACACAATAACACAAATCGATGAATCCCTCACATAACTGGGTATCAGGGACCGAAACCGCTCCTACTAGTGGTTTACCATGATTAGTAACTAGGCAATCAACCCCTATTCCTCTGCAGCAGTTTCTTGTTCAAGCCTGTATCTCCTTGTTTATCCCCACAAGACGCACCTGTCCAGCAGTATCCCCTAGCGATAATGACCAATATCAATATTCTATGTCTTTGATGAGCTGGTAGTTGCACTTACAAAGTTGCAATCGAATAGTACGATCATCCAAATACATGGTCTTTGATAAAAAGTCGATACCGATCGTTGCCTGGCAACCGTAGCATTAGCATTAGATAGCTTGTCCCATACCATGGAATAGGAGCAACCCGTTTATACCTGATACGTGTTATCAAACGTGTCGTACATGAACCTCGTAATGAGTGACGTCTTGCCAACTAATGGCATTCGTGAATGGAAAAAGAGGAACATGAGCACGACGTTGCATTGTGACAAACTGTGTTTGCTTACCGCTTTGCTCGCCTAAAAACACAAGCTTGAACTTTTTCAATGGGTTTCCAAAGTCTGCATTCGACATTGCAACGAGTGAAAGTGAAGGTTGTTGATAAAGGAAGGAAAAAGAAATGATTAAAAAAGCTTGTTGTGCCTGACCAGCTGTATTAGGAGCGCGGGTTAAGAGTGCGGTGATACAAGCTTGATTTGTTACTACCACATACACAGGGCGATCGCACCCCAAACTCCACATGCAGCATACAGGTAGGGTAGAGCTCTGTTATGGGCCTAAATGATATCGACCATAAAGCCATACTAATCACCGTCTTATCGCTTTTATGATCATTTTGAATATAAATGAGTGTTTTCTTTGTAAGGCCATCCATGTGAGTTAATTAGCAGTAATGATGCCGCTTTGATTTGGTTACACATACATCAATACAGTGGGAATTAGACAAGCACAAAGTTTAAAAGAGAAAACAAAGATTAGATGTTCATGCAACTTTTATCGCTTACAAATACACAAATGTGAGTTTAATAGTGTGTCTCTAATAGTGTGTATCTAAACAAGCTTAAGCATCCCAGGAGGAGTTGGCAGCAGCAGCGGGAGCGGCACCATCTTCAGCCCAGTCAGTAGGAGCACTCCAGTCAGCGTTAGCTTGAAGAGCACCAGTCTCAGCACCTTCAACAGCCCATTCACCAGTAGCGGCTTCAGCAGTAGCAGCGAAGTCACCTTCAGCGGCAGCAGCGGCAGCAGCAGCCTCTTGCTCCTTCTCAGCCTCCTCAGGGTCGCGGTAGAAGAACATATCAACCATGACGTCCCAGGGGGTTTGGTAGTCCAAAGTACCACGAAGACGGAGGACAGCACGGGCAAGAAGCCAGTAGATCAAACCAAGAGCGTGCTTACCCTTGTTGTTGGTGGGAATAGCAACATCAACGAATTGAAGAGAAGCATCAGTGTCAGCCAAAGAGATGACGGGGATGTTGACATAGGAAGCTTCCTTGATGGCTTGGAAATCGGTGCGAGGATCAGTGGTGATGATCAAGCGGGGCTCACGGAAAGAGCGGGTGATGTAGTTAGTGAAGGTACCAGGGGTGAAACGACCAACAACAGCTTCAGCACCAATGTACTTGGCGAACTTGAGAGCAGCACGGTGACCATAAGGACGAGCAGAGATGACAACAATGTCTTGGGGCTATTATTTGCCACGTGTCAAACATAAATATTTAGTCCACATGACTGCTGTCAGATTACCCAAACACACACAAACTTACGTTCTCAATGGCAGCAATGACACGGGCAGCGAAGATAAGCTTTTCCCAGGTCTTGCCAAGGTTGATCAAGTTGATACCATCAGCACGGCGCTTGAAGACATAGGGGGTCATGCGGGTGGTGACGTTCTTGGTACCAATGTGGCACTGAGCGCTCAACAAGAGTTGAACGTCCTCCTCGGTGGGGCTGAGAACTGTAATTTGGGGTGTATGTGTTAATGCCCTCGTCCTTTTTGTAGCAAACGAGCAGCACTACTTACTGGTAGGAAGGTTCGACATGACGAAAACTTGCAAGCCTAATTAAAATCCATGTTAGAGTCATTCATCCATCCATCTATTGATTCATCCATCGATCCATTCTTTCATCCATCCACTCTTTCACTCATTCATCCATGTTGACATGGTCCACTTTGCATCATTACTTACGATTCTGAGGTGCACAGAAAAAGGAAGGACACGTTATTGCCTACCAACAGACCTCTTTTGTTTCCTCGCAACTCACCCAAAGTCCGCCATCCATCCCGCCCGCCACCCGCCACCGTAACAAACCTATCAGCATCCCTCTAAGCCTCTCACCATCACTCTTATCATCATCATGGTGTACATACTATTCAACTTGTCGTATATTAAGATTGATTCTTGAAGTACTCATGTATGATCCGTACAATTCCCAATCCTCCTCATCTTTCACACTCGTAGATAGATACTCTGGTAAACTATTCTCTATAATACGTGGGACGCCTAAAAATGATGGAGAGAGACATGCATTAATAAAACAAAGGTTGGGTTGATGGGGGTAAAAAGAAAACCAACACTTGCCATGATATGCTTTTCGACATTCGCCTGTCATAATGAGAACGTCACCACTCTTAAGATAAATGGGAATAGGTGCTGTATCGCGTGTAGTTCCACCCAACAAATAAATGCATGCATGACCAAAACTATGAGAAAGACTATCAGCTTTAGGTAATCTTGGATGAGACGTCGAATACGCACCTTAATGATATCAAAGGAGCATCCATATTGCGTTCACTTTGGTCAACGTGACCCATCAGAGTATCCTTGAGCTGATAGTAATTGATCACACCTGCCTCGGCTTTGAATTGGTTGCTTGGATACGTGTTTTTCCATTCATCTTGATGGCCAATCCCTTCAACAGCCGCCACAATAGCCTTTGTCAATTCGGAAAGGTCATCAGCAATAGGATACGCCTCGTCATTGTACTTTTTGGTTGTCCAATCATATTGATATCCAAGGGTGATCCAACGTAGTTTATGGATGATGCTGGATGGCAACACGGGTTCCTCGTTGTCGTTGGTGGAATCAATTCTTTGCTGATGTTGCTGCTGCTCCTGTTCATTGGTATATAGCTGCCAGAGACCTTGAGCTGGGATCTTGTAGTGTGGATCAAGGTTGGATTTGTTGGGGGGAAGAGCATACGTTGAGAGACATTGCTTGACGAAATGGCGTTGTTTGTCAGGTGAGAATGGATTTGGAATGTAGATAAGGCCCTTCACCTAGTAAGAGGCTTGAGTAAACCATGCTATCCCATATACTACATGACACACTTACTCCTTCCAATATGTAAGCATTATCTGTTGTTTTTCCAAAGAGCGATTCAGGTAGTGCATTATGGAGAGAGACTGGAACGATGCGCTTGTCCTTGGCATTGGCGGGTTGATCAAAGTCCACGACATTGGCAAAGTCGAGTTCTCGAGAAAGCTTGAAATGCCGTTCCGCATGACGAAAAGGGGTCTGATTCTCATAAATGTCTTTTCTTTGACGCTTTACTGCATTGTCACGTTGCTGTTGTTCCCATATTTTGCGTTGTCGCCTTGAAGTCAAGTGAGAAGGGGGCTGCATTTGGAGAGAAACAAAAGATAAATAATGAGCGTGTGTGTGTGTGTGTGTGTGTGACACCTTGACAAAACCAAATCGTGATAGCAACACTTATTTACCAAGGCTACATTGGGGGGAGCAAGAGAGAGAGAGGGAAAAATGGGGAGGAGTAAGAGGAAGGAGGAAGGAGAAGATATACATGGTATTCCATCAGTATGCATTTTGCATATGCATGCCAAGACACCACACATGTAAGGATCACACGATTATATAATTCGTTCAATTAAGTAACTGTCAAAGGACATCCTTTGTTGATGATATGATACAAAGAAAAAAAACACATATTGGGGGGGGGATACAAGTTCACATAGGGGGTGGATTGGGTATTTGTACGAATTAGCTTGGTATACAGTAAAAGAAAAGAGAGAGAGAGAGTAAAATGATGGATCATAACTTGAGACCTTCCACACGTAAAGCAAGTCGATCATCATCTTTGTGAGTCTTCTTTATGCGATGTGCGCGTTTCTTTGCTGTAAGATCTCGCCAAACAAAACATGAGTTGCCTGCTAGTTGCATTTTGGGCTTACGTCCACGCTTTTTGCGTGGCATACTCAGAGGAGTATCCATATTTGTACTTGAAAATGTGCTATTGAATGCTTCAGAAGCTGCTGTATTGTTGTTGCTGCTACGTCCATATGGATCATCTGGCCATTGAAGAACAGTGATATCATGTTGATTTGTTGTTGTTGGTGAATGCTCACGTGAGCTGGATGGATCAATAAAAGTCGGTGGTTGTGATGATGGTTGTTGTGATGATGGCGGTACAGGAGAAGGAGAACGTCTTACTTCCCATACAGTTGGAGTGACAAATGTCCAATTATTATCTCTTGGATGACGAGTAGCATTTGGAGGACGACCACGTCTACGTCGTACAACGGGTGGACCCTTTTGTGAGAGAGGCGGAGATTGCCTTGAAGAGTAGGAGGACGATGAAGATGAGGAGCAAGAAGGTGAGGAGATAGTGGTTGGTGGTTGAGGTGGTGGTGGTGGTGATGATGTTGATGGTAATGAACAAGGAGAACATTGTACGGGTGATGGTTGTTGCTGCTGGTGATGTTGATGCCAAGACATAGAGGGGTCATGGTGGTCGAGGGCAGAATACAGGGGCGGATCTGAAAGGCGCCGTGTTGAACAAGGCAATGATAATGTGCTCGACAAGGAGGATAGTGATGACGATGATGCACTGGATAATGATCGACAACGACGCGTGTTACAAGGTGGTGGCAATAACAAGTGCGAAGATGTTGGTGATGAGTGAGGTGTATCGGTTTGGCATGTTGAAGGTGATGAACATGGTGATAAAAATGGTTCACTGGGAATCGATACTGTTAATGCTGGTAATCGTGTATCGGGTATTGGTTCATGAATCAGTGGTAGTTGTGGTGGTGTTGATATGTTGTTGTCTGTAGGACTCGATGGATGACTGATGGCAGTAGTAGTAGTAGTGGTGTTGGTGGTGGTAGGTGGCAACTGTGGTGACAAGGATGGTGCATCACGCAGTAGTTCACTCACTGGAGGTAAGCGAGGTGAGGTTGATTGTGGTAATCGTGGAGAAGGTGGATGAAGAAAGAATTCAATAGATGGCTGTGACATGGAAACAACAAGTGAGAGAGTAAAGAGAAAAAGAAAGGAAGAAAGTACGACATTGGCAGACCTTTTATTTTCCTATACTTGGCAATAAAAATGTTGCTGGAATTCAAGGAAACTTCTTTTGTTTGCTATATGGAGCGTGTCCAAATGGAGCACTGTTTCCCGAAAACAGATACACGAGTCACGCCCCACGCTTCTCTTTCCATGTTCCATCCTTCAATTCGGCCCGTTGTGAACACCCTATTACATACGATCCCCTTGGACCTACACAGGTCTTTTATTCATCCATACCCTTTTCCTCATTTTACTCATACTATGCTTATAGTGAATACGCGCATACTTTGTTGAAAACGGTGCAAGATACATCTACAACATCCTACCCTAACGATCAAAGTGATGATGTATACCAGGTAAAATACTACTTTTGTATATAGTCTCTGAGCAAGTTTATTCATGCAAATCCTAGTTCACGAATACGGATGATCCTGTATTGGATGCTTTGCTTGCTGAGCAGCCATGCACACCAAAACGACTCGACAGTGTATTACAACGCCTCCTAAGCATAGATTGTGCATCATTACATGTCACCGTTTTACGCTTCCTGTTATACCAGTTGCAACACAAGACCCAATTTATCAACTTTGCTTTGTGTTTCATACGCCAGCATTGCTGCTCGATTCTTCAACAGCCACCATTCCACCCCATTCGCGATGCCATCTTTGCACAAGCTCTCTCGGTAACCGACTTGTCATTTGCATATGCATTTCTCGTGGTCTGATCGTCTTTTTGAAGCTCTGGAATGTCGAAGCGCTTTGGGATCTTGTTACGTATCGTTCCTTGGTGGCGCTATTGCATGAACTCAACGTGCCTTCCAATGTTTGGTTATCAGCACTTGCAACAAGCCCAATGATGGATCATCAACGCCTGTAAGTCGACTAGGCTTTTTTAGGGAAGGACGACGATCCTTGTACATGTCATTCATTATGTTGCCCGAAAAAGTGTAGCGGAATGCGAATGGCTGCTAGAACAACATGTGCAAAGCCCATCTCTGGCTGCTATACGATCCCAGGCTTTTGCGGAGGTACTTAAGACTCGCACTATTTCTCTTTAATTCTTGCTAACGAATCAATCTAATAATCCCAGTTGATTACACCTGGGTCAATCGAGAAATCACTCTCTATCCAGATTCGGTTGGTTCATTATCCCCCACCCCCCAAAAGAGATGAACGTAAAAGGTATTCATGTCAACAAACATCAACTCCGTGTAGCATCGCCCTGTACAATGCTTTATTACCGACAGAGATGACCCCCCTGATGAATCATTTGACCCATCTCAAATTGATCAACCAAAGCCATTGCTTCAAGGTAAACAAAAACTAGAACATGTGGACATGTATACACGTCGATGAAAGAAGCTTACTTTTTAGCCACAGCTATCACAAGATATGATTCAAGCCATGAACAGTTGTCCTATATCCACTATTGCATTATTGGAACAAGAATTCGATGACATTGTCGACCACTTTTTTACAACTTCTGAGGTAATTGATATATGAAGCGCGAAGGATCAGGTATACTCACGTAGATTAATGTTGTTGTTTAGGATGGAGGAATACTCCTGTGGCCTGATCAAAATATACTGGACAAGATGGGCAAGGGATATTGGCACTTGGAAACTTCCAAAGATCTCACGGGACTCTTGAAAGAATGCAGGCCGATCTTGGGCGCCGTACATCCCAGGTAAATTTTTCTCTCAAGCACATATTTGGTTTAGTTTGTCAAGGGAAAAAAGAGAGAGAGTGAGTGAGAAATCGAGGAGGGAGATGTATGGATGGATATAAGGCGGGGAAAAGGGGGGTTTTTTCCTTGGGGGAGAGAGCGAAGGCGTACGTCAAAAAGAAACAAAAGATTTCGAAACACTCACATTCAACCATTTATTAAGGTTCATGGTGCAGATCACTTTTCTTATCAGCTCACTGATGCAGGCAATTCTCCAATTTCACCATAAACGGGTAAAATATGCAAGGCAAAACCACAATGGAGGGTTTTGCTTTAGAGGAACCAAAGATCAAAGGAATATGCTTATACTCGTATACTGGATAGGGCAACATCACGTGGGACAGGTGCTACTCCCTTTTGTTTTCTGCATGGACCCATGCATTGGCCTCTTGGCTAGATAGGGCCGTGTTTGAGACATGTGCTGCAGCGGACTCTGCCTCAGTGCGAGCATTGGCGAAATTGGTTGTTTGTTTGATCGCCTGCATGCACTCGGGTTTTGACATGATGAATCGCCGTGATCTATTGGTACAAGAAATCACAAAGCTGTGGTCCACTTACAAGGATATGCGAACCCTTTTCATGGATTCATTTGGCCCTGAACGACAATCACAGTTACAACAAGACCTCAAAATGATTCAAACGCTGCTATTTGGATGTCTTGCTACTACATTAACTTGATGTGTACCTTTGTATTTGGTGGTTTTTTCTTCTCTCCCTTCAAGCACACATGCGTGTTGAGTAGTAGGATAATGCCAAGAAATTCACGCACATACAGGAGCAACTCGACCCCTTACATGAGCATGTTATTTGTAGTATGATTGGGGGGATCTTGTAATTTTATGTACATATACTTTTTAAAGCAAAAAACAAAAGGATTGATTACTGGATGTTGATGGAGAAAAACCAGTGCACAAAAGTATCAAGTGGATGACATAGTAGATAGTAGATTAATGCTTGTTCGTTGCCTTTTCTTGGTCACCAGGTACCGATCCTACGCCAAGCTGAGAAATATCATAGCCATTTTCAAGCAGATAGCTCCTGAATTCAGCATCTTGTTCTTGCATCTTTTCATCATTCATGTGTGGGACCTATATGCCGTACATAGTAAGTTTCATATGATGCTCTTCCTATATGAATCATGTAACTTACAAAGAACAACGTTAGCAATCCACCAAGGAAAGCAATACATGCACCAATAATAAAAACGTATCCTTGTGCCTTGATCTCATCGCCGGTTCTTTCAATGAGTGCGTTGAGGATAGGCTTAAAGATTTGTGTACCGATGGCAGCACCAGCCTTGCCAATGGCAGCAGATAAGCCATACATGGTACCACGAATAGCTGTAGGATACATTTCAGCAGAGATCAAGATAGTACAATCGCCAGGGCCCATCTCGCCTGCTGCCAAAAAGAGACCGTACAAGATGACAAACAACGGAAACACCGTTGCCAGTTTGGGTGCAAGTGCACCAACAATGACACCAAGTATAGCTGTGATGAAGAAACCTGAAGCCATAGTCCACTTGCGACCAATTGGATCAACGAGGAATGCACCAATAAAAGCACCAAATGGATAAAACACGTACAACACGATATTCCAGCACCATGTTTGCATTAACGAATTACCCACACCTGCCAGCGATAGGATTGTATTGGAGAAGATACCAAAAGAGTAAGAAACCAAGTCGTAAAGGAACCAAATAGAACCGGTGATCAACAGCCTTTTCCAATACTTTTTGATAATGAGCCAATAGGGGATGTTGCGAGTGATGGCTTCACGCCGATACATGTCCGAGTTTAACATTTTGAGACGGAAATACAGGACACTGATAGGAAGTAAAAGACCAAGACCGAGACCTAAGCGCCACACTACCTCTAGCCCACCTTCACCACAGATGGCAAGAAGGATGACAGGTACAATTGTAGCAATCAAAAACCCAAAGCTGCCACAAACGTCAATACTCTTGTTGGTAAAGAAGACGTCAATTGCACTTACTCGATAATGAAACAGCCGCTGATACATAACCAGAAGCCTCGACTTCTTCCAGATTCCTCGGCTGCTTCACTTGCATTTACGCTTGAGCAAGGATATTCACCACCAACACCCACACCTGTGATACCGCGTGCAATGATCAACATCCAAAATAGGCCCAAAGGCGTGACACCATGGGAAGCTGTTGCCAGAACAATGCCCTGAAATGGAATAAAACCACCATAGATGATTAATTCAAGCATCCATGATAAGCGTAATAAAAGGTTTAACTTACCAAACACACAACCAATGTGCACAAGACAATACCCACTTTACGTCCCATTCGATCAATCATAAGACCAAAGCCCACTTGGCCAACGATATCACCAATTAACATGGCATTGCTCACGCGTGTCGATAGGGTATCATTAAAGACGCTGCTTCCATAGATACGCTCGAGACAACTCTCAACGGCACCTGCATATATATGCTTGTTAGGTTTGAAACGGATCCGCATATATACAAAAATTACCGATGATCATCGTCTGGTATCCATCTGAGCCAAGAGCAATGCCTGCAAAGATCAAGGATAACTTTTGGGAAACAGATTTGGCGTCCGGGGAGATCAAATCATCAGAAACAACGGATTCTTCGGTAACGGTAGTATTGGTCGTCTTTTTGGTATCGACATGGGACACAGGCACGGTTTCCTTGATATCCACCATGATTGAATTATTATTGATCGCCGTCGCTGCAAGATGTTTAAAAAATGGTCCATCACGTTGTTCACTCTTTTATAGTCAATCATATCCAATGATCTTCTTGGGGATGACCACACATGTCACAGAGATGAACTTTCAATACGAGTGTATCCAGCAACATGAGCCGTGAGGATATGCTGGTTGCTCTTTGGCTGATGAATGTGGATGGATGTTACACCAAGTCTGTGCCCAGATGTGCACGTTTGCATGGAGCTGTTGGCGATTGGAAAATGGACCGCACATGATCCGTGAGTGACATTTCATCCCCACACAAACACTCCGCACTTGTACAATTTTACCCTTTTCTTGGATACTTTGATGGTTCCTGTTTTCTGGGTATGCCTTTATGGTAGGTCGTTGAGCGATTAAGCGTGATTCAGGAAGTCCTTTTCAAGATACATTTCATCATCATAGTCAATGTCGCCCAGCACATCTTACCCAAATGATGGGGGAAAAGGAGAATGTAGTTGGTATTAGACGACACGAGCAAAAAGATGAGATCAGGGTCATTTATTCAAATATGGATTTTACAGTAACGTCGATGATCAAATTAGGTACAGTATTAAGGCCAATGAAAAAAGGTTTCCTATTGGGTGAGCTCGTAGACGGTCCTGCTCATCCAAGTAACCAAGATCATGAAAAAGATGTTGGTTACTGTTGCTGTGAAGGGATGACTTTATAGATGCAAAGCTGTACTTCTTCATCTCCCATATGATTCATAGTGACATCATCATCACGTTGCATTCTCCAATTGCCTGGCATATCTTTGACCACTCGCACACTTTGTGAAAGATAGCAACAACTTGTTTTATTAATGGTACGCATGAAATCAATGCCTAATCTGGTGCAGGAAGGTGGATCCATTATCGATCTCTCGTTCCAATCGCTCTTTGCTACTACTTTTTCAGTCTATCATGCTTTGATTGCTGATACCTTCAAAATCTAAGTTGATCTAACTACCATGATGGATTCGCGATCCATATTGGTGATGATTCTTAGTTTTGCATTGTTATGTGATCTCCCCATTTTCATTGTCATTGTGACATTTGGCTTGTTGAATAAGGCAAAACCTAATCATCTTGGTTGACGAGGAGGCTTGTTTTGAATCACGTACGCAAATGTACTCAGTTAATAAAGATAGCGGATGGGAGTATTCACTTGATCCAGTGGTGGATTATGTGGCATTTATATGATAAAGGTACATTTACTCGTAGTCAAGTGGGCAAGTATATATAAATGAGCATAGATAGATAGATAAGGATGGATGTGGATGATTACTGTACTGCCAATGCATGCCGTCGATCCCCATTTGATAGAACGTGTTAGATACGCGGCAGCTGAGAAACTCAGTTCAAGCGTCTCCTTTAACATCCTCCAGTCGCTGCGAGGAACCACTTTCAACCCTTTGAATGCACCATGGACCAGCAACTCAACACAAATGGTAGTGACACTACCTCTGGTAACAATGCTACAACGGCACCTACACCAATGGAAGGCACCATGACGACTGCCGACACGACTACGACCACTTCACCCCAGCAGGAACAACACACGACAACCACTTCATCTGCCATCAATGCCGATCCCGCTACACTTTCCACCCCAGGCAGTGCTCCCGACGCATCTGAACGCTTGGGTACCGAGGAACAAGAACTATATCCAATCGCTGTGCTCGTTGATGAGCTGAAAAACGAAGATGTCCAACATCGCTTGAATGCCATTCAAAACTTGGGCACTATTGCTATGGCACTCGGTCCACAAAGAACACGTGATGAATTGATACCTTTTTTGAATGGTAACGTGTGGTGTCTTTTTTATTTATTCATTGTATTCTCACGCATGGATCGTCTATGTTAGATTCGGTGGATGATGAGGATGAAGTGTTATTGGAGATGGCTCGAGAACTCGAAAAGTTCACGGATTATGTGGGAGGATCTGAATATGCACATTACATCTTGACGCCTTTGGAACGATTGGCTACAATGGAAGAGGTTTTAGTCCGAGATAGGGTAAGTACAAGTAGTAGTACCATGGGATTTTCGCATGACAAACTCACCCTATTCAAAGGCAGTCGAATCTCTTTGTGGCATCGCCTCCGTCTTGAGTCCAACCCAGGTTGAGCTTTACTTTATCCCACTCGTCAAGCGTTTAACCAGTGGTGAATGGTTCACAAGTCGTATCTCTGCTAGTGGTCTCTATGCTGCTGCTTATCCAAAATCCAATCCCTCTTTGCAAAATGAACTCAGAAGGTATGAAGATGATTTGAATTTTTATCACCATTGGTAGCTGATCATGCCGATATTATATAGCTCATTTGGTCAACTTATTCAAGATGATACTCCCATGGTTCGACGAGCAGCTGCTAAGGCTTTGGGTGTAAGTAGATCGATTGTTGGAAGATCATGGTCAGCTTATTGTTGTGTGCCATCTTAGGGATTTGCCAAACAACTCAACAAGGAGCAACTATTGAATGAGATCATGCCACTCTTCATCAAGCTTACTGGCGATGATCAGGATACTGTTCGCTTATTGACTGTGGAGGACCTTGTTCACATCCCACGCATGCTTTCACAAGAAGAAAACAAGCAAACGCTGTTACCTATTCTTAAGACTTTGGGACAAGATCGATCATGGAGAGTGAGATACAGCGTTGCTTCCCACTTTGCAGAGGTAAATTCGACATAGATCCATAAGATGTGTTATACGATGTTAACATCGTTTGTTTAGCTCTGTGAATCATTTGGCCAAGAAATGACGCGGGAAGAGCTCGTGGGATTGTTTGTCAATCTCATTAAGGATAGCGAAGGAGAGGTCAAAGCGTCTGCCACAGCACAAGCTACGGGTATGTGTATATTGCAATGATCATGATAAGCATTCTTTGGCTAATGTCTGCTTGTTGTTAGCCTTCAGTAAAATGATCGACGAGATGACAGTCATGGACAAGATATTGCCTTGCATCAAAGATCTGGTAATCGATACCAATCAACATGTACGTGCTGCTGTGGCAACCAATATTTGCGAGCTTGCACCCATCCTCGGCAAAGATGTGTACGTCTATCATTCCTCGTGGCTTTCTTTTATTATTGTACATCTCACCTTGAACGATTTAGGACCATCGAATACTTGCTTCCTTTGTTCCTGCAACTTTTGAAAGACGATTTCCCTGAAGTGCGACTCAATATCATTTCAAAATTGGTGAATGTCAACCCAGGTATACATTTATACACAAGCACAAGGGATCGCTTCTTTACTTATATGATTGGTAGTAATCGGTATGGATCGCTTGTCACAATCATTACTTCCAGCCATTGTCGACCTTGCTCAAGATAAACAATGGCGTGTTCGATTGGCTATCATTGAATACATCCCGCTATTGGCCTCTGAACTGGGAATGGAATTCTTCAACGAAAAGCTCTTTGATCTCTGCATGACTTGGCTTGGTGATGCTGTCTTTTCAATCCGTGATGCCGCTACCACCAACTTGAGGCAATTGGTTGATATCTTTGGATCAGATTGGGCAAAAAAGACCGTTCTTCCTCGAGTGACCAAGATGGCTGAAAATGAAAATTATCTTTATCGCATGACAATGCTTTTTGCTCTTACGGTAAGGTGTTTATTAAATTAGATGCATAAATCAAGACGCTAACGATCATGTTTCACAAAAGACAATGGCGGAATCACTTTCTCAAGATGTTATCAAGGATACAGTTTTGCCAACGGTCCTCTCTCTCAAAGATGATACAATCCCCAACGTTCGTTTCAATGTTGCCAAGTCATTGGAAGTCTTAGTCCCTATCTTAAAGGCCGACACATCCTGTGGTAACATGATATCTTCCCAGATCACACCTGCTTTGCAAAAATTGAGCACCGACAATGATCAAGATGTGAAGTGGTTTGCCAACAGGGCATTGCTTTCAGGTATGATGCATTGAAAACGGGTCGTTGATTTATGCTAATCTCCTCTTGCTGGGTAGTTCAATAGCTGTTACATCCTCTCATACCTCTAGCATTAATGTATTTCATGGTCCCTCTTTCAATACAATAAAAGACCGCTCCAGATGCAAGGGTGAACCGTTTTGCCAACACACATCCCTCATTCTATGATCAAGTAAAGACGTATCCATGTAGTTCCCCCCATCACACCAGCGTATCATCTTAGCCGACTCTTACTATATAATGTGTGACCAAAGAATATGTGATTATATTGAGCATTTGGGATATATCGATAAGTATAATAAAAAAGAAATTGGATTAAAGGACCAGCTCGCTATAAGAGTGAAAAGCGCGAGATAAGTAAACATTTTGATAAATGATATGGTAATGCATTACCCCAGTCGTCTCTTCTCTGCTGGAATGTCTTCAACTGGCGTGACAGGATCAGCAAAGGGGTTGTTGGCATCTTCATCAGTGACGTTGCTTTCATTTTGAGTCAATTGCAGATCAGCCAGGTCACGTGCTAAATCTTGTGAACGAACAGGTGGAGGAGGTGGCGAACGAGTGGTCGTAGGGGATGTTGTACCTTCGATAGGTGATGTAGGAGAAGGCAAATCTAAAGGCACTTCGCCAACCGACATGAGCTCGTACATTTGCATCGCCTTGAGTAATTCTTCATTGGTTGCCAACAAGGTGCCAATCCATTCTTCGTCTTCCACTAAACGTGCATATCGTACAATCTTCTTTTTGGATTCCTCACAACGCTGACGATAACCCTGCAAACGTGCATCATGTTGTAAATCAATCTCCCATCGATCCTCCGTTGTGTTGATAAATCTGAGTGCATTGACAAGGTTATTGGCGTTCTGGTTAGCCAATGCAACTTCATTAATGATCTTGGGCTTCTCCTTTTCCAAATTGAAGGTGCGTTGACTGCCACTGGCAAAAGGTCGACTACCAGCTGTGCTGCTGCTTCGTGGCTTTGTTTTGACAGCTTCAGATTTACGTGCTGCAGGAGGGAGGGATTGTCGTTTTTGTGGTCTTGGAGGCATTGGAGGCTCGACTGTAGTAGTGGGGGTCACTGTTGTTGTTGGGGATGATGAACCAAGGCGTGGTGAACCATTTGGAGGTGAAGATCTCGATGTTGAAGCTGATGCTTTTCCCTAAGTGATTACTGCGTGTAAATATAATGCATCTATACATTATCATATCCACCCTTTACTTACTGGTAACCTATTGCGACCCTTTTCATATAACTCGCCAAGTGCAAACATGCCTGGCTCATTCTTGAACTTGACGGCAACAGCTCCGAGCATACTAAGCGTGGCCTTGCGCACCTTGATATCCTCAACCTATCACACATAGTATGGTAGATTAGCTATCTCGACTGAAGTAACAAGCATTATCATCACAATACATTACCGACGAATTGACAATAAGATCAAGGCGTTCCTTCATCTTGTCGTTTGCCAGCAACTGCCCTGTTTCATATACTTAGACCACTGATCCATTGATCCATTGATCCACTTTTTACTTACGACGAAACTTTTCATTGCTGTTTTCCAATAGTAGCTTGAGGACCTACGCAAGCAATGTTGTTAATATACTCTTGCTGCATCTCGCATGATAAGCTCTATACTTGCCTCGATCACTCTCAACTTTTGACCAGTTGTACCATGCTTGAGCCGCTTACGAACAGCCTCGATAGCTTCATGAGGACCAGATTCCTGCATCTGGATCGATTCTGTCAGCTGCTGGACTATGTACCAATCGATCTCCTCATAGTTGGATAATCGCTCTACCAATCCCGGGTTGTTTCAATTAGACCAAGTCTTGTATGTAATAAAAGATGAAGAGAACATACCAATGTAGAGGGTGATGGAAGTCTTTTGTACTTCCTCGGTGAAAATACCCATTGCGCTTTTTCTCAAGAGATAAAAGAGATAGATCTGCCGCCTTCCTGTAGCTCTTTGAATTGGTGCCACTTACCATGTCCGTGCTATTTGCACCCCACCTGGTGCACCCTACCTGTCTTAAAACTCAGTTGGCGCACCCTACCTCTTGGTTTTTTTTTTCCTTGCACCCCACCACACCACACGACACCATATCGTACACCCTACCATGGCGTACACCCTACCAGCATTGTAGGCAATGTCCCAATCAACGTATAGCATCGCGTCCCTGTAGAATTACGTTTTGAATCGGCAACCCACGTTGAAGGCTGGCTTATACTGCTTGGGAGTTTTGGTCATCGACTTTATGATACTACTAATTTATTTGAACATGTTATATGCTAGTGTCTAAAGATAAGTATATTGTTGGAGGGATTCTATGGAAAAAAGGATACAGGCTAAAAATTGGTTAAATCTAGGACCTCTTCGGTATCAGAGTTGTCAGAATCATCTTGGGAATCCTCTGAAGGGACAGAAATGGGATCTTCTGTGACGCTACCAATCACATCAATCGCATTATAAATGAATATAGATTAGCCAATTCTGAATCTTTGTAAATTTAACGGCGCATATAAAAAAAGCGCTGAATAAACACAATATACACAGGATCTTCTGTGATCATTGGTAAGCCTTGGTGAGGTGTATGAGTGCGCTCTAATTCCAACCAAAAATGAGGGTACCATGAATCTTGCGGCATATCATGAGTGACATATTTAGGTCTGTAGGGCTCAACGTCTGGCCAAGGAAAGGATACATTTTCACGGATTTTCACCAAAATGAAATGGCTATTCATCAGCTGCAATACAAATGGATGGACCCAAAAACAAATGGGTGCCTTTTTTGGAGTACATTGCAATTGGCCGCTTAAATGTATCAGCAGCAATCTTCGTACAATCCCGGGTAAGGAACCATTGGCCTAAGGGTCGCTTCAAGATTGCATTGATTCTTTTCTCCTTGACATCATCATAACGACCTTCGTCATTGTATATAGTCACTGCCAGTGCACGTAAACCACAATTACCATACCGTCTTTAACTATTATTCATTGTCGTAATCTGAGGATCTATCCCACCATCTCATTCACACTCAGCCTGATTGCATCATCACATCTATATACACACGCGTATTCACCCCTAAATAAACTTGGTCTTTCTTTCTCTTATTGAGTCTCACGGACACTTATTACTACCAGTTTTCTCTCTCTCGCTTTACAGCTCACATACACACATACACACACACACACACTCATCTTTATCTCCATATATCACATTCATAATGGCAAATAGCTGCAAGCAGAAAAATTCATCCATAATCATCCGTAGTAAGAAGGTATTGTATGCATTAGTCACAAAGACGAAGCTATATCTTTATTTTAACTTCAAATTGTCAGCTAATCCCCTAAATCGATTTCCTAGTTTCTCTCGAGCATACTCTAGAGTTTTGGCAGTGGGTTTATCAACATGGAAGTTCCCAGTAACAGTCATTACAGCGAGAGGTCCAGCATGGTGGTCAACAAAATAAGATAAACCATCATTGTCTAAAATACCGAGTAATCGATATCCTTCGGACGACAAAACGAGTGTGACCAACGGTAACCTTGCTAGAGCAAGAAACATAGGTGATGTAACTTGCAGAGGAGCCATGTGCACTTCAATGTGTTGTAAAACAGTAGCGATCGAAAACAATTGCAGTAACGATAAACCATGTACTCGCCAAGATAGTATGTCGATGCGCCTAAGATGAGGGATTCTTGCAATGGAAGACACCTTAGCGCTATTCATTCTGATCTGGTTTTCAAGTGGAATGGGTGCGATTGATAGTGCAATGCTTTGTAGCGATGGATGCTGTTGGGCCATGTCCTGTAGTTGATTGAAAATATCTGTCGACAACGTCACCTCAGACAAGTATAAGTGGAGTGATGTCAGATGCTGAAATGATCCCAGAGATGATATGTACGCCTCCACCTCGGCCACCCCCAAAGCTAAACCGATTGAATTCAATGAATGCCGATTCTGATAAAAAATATCCCATGGATGGTCGTTTGGCATGAGGTCACCATAACAATGCAGCAAAGACAAGTGTTTGAGATTGCTCTGATCAATAAAACGACCTGCATCGGTGACATCGATGTCCAGTGCTCGTAAAGAAATGGTGTTGCTGACTGGTTGCCGATCATCGATTTCATCGTAACATGCGGTAACAGGCTGAAAGTTGTACGGCAAATAGCATAGTTGTCGAAGATTATGGCAGCATTTATCCATTATAGCTCTGTTTTGGACCTTGTCTCCTTCGTTGCGCACACCCAGAAACTTCAGGCATATGCAGCCAAGTAGAACCTTCTCGAGGTCGACGATAGTAATTTCGCATCCCCTCACGTCCAAGTATTGTAAATTGATGCAGCTGGATGGCGGAGAAAGTAGTCGTAAATCGGTGCATCTGGATGCCGGAGCACGTGTGGCAAATTGACCGTTAGACAAGGCAATGAATTCAGTAGCTCCACCGATACTCAAATAAGTAATATTTGGTGAATGGCGAAGGATATTCTTTATAAATGTTGTTGTCACTGGAATAAAAATGTCGGGTGATATCTTCAAATAAGAGAGTTGTGGTAACTTCCCCAGACACCTTCCTAGGTCTGCTTGTATGCCGCAGTCCTCGAGAACTATGTTTTTTATCATCACCGTCATTACTACGGGTATACTGATAGTTATCATAGCATCCACTTACATAAAGTTGATATATTGCGAAAGAAACGTGGAATAAGCGATCCAATCATACCATCAGTCTCCGAGTGATAAGTAGATTTTTTAAGGACTATAGAGCGGACACAGTCGCCAACTTTTGCCATAGATCTTGCGTATTCCCCGCAGTACTTTTCTCCATTTAAAACAACGTAGCCAGGAAATACAGTTCTATAATCTGGAACTGAAGCATACCATTGTCGAGAAACACGCATGCATTGAAGAACATCGAAGATTGACAAAAGCGCAAAGATTTGTAGAAGCACGTCATAAGGGAGTACATCGATCATGTTGTACATAGTAAACAAAAAGTGTCGTTATTGAGTAATTGGATAAGATGAAGGGCAAGTAAAAAGGATCGATCTTTTATAATGAAAGCGAAATTGGTGACTCCACCAGGTCTTTTGATCCGTGCAATACGTAGCCATTTCATCAATGGGTGTTTGATCACCTATAGTGGTGCAATGCAATAGTGACTCCACCAGGTCTTTTGATCCGTGCAATACGTAGCCATTTCGTCAATGGGTGTTTGATCACCTACAGTGGTGCAATGCAATAGTGACTCCACCAGGTCTTTTGATCCGTGCAATACGTAGCCATTGCATCAACGTGTATTTGATCACCTATAGTGGTGCAATGCAACAGTGACTCCACCAGGTCTTTTGATCCGTGCAATACGTAGCCATTTCATCAACGTGTATTTGATCACCTATAGTGGTGCAATGCAATAGTGACTCCACCAGGTCTTTTGATCCGTGTAAGAATATAAAAGTGCGACACACCATTAGGAAAATCCACATTCATCCTTTTCTCATCTCTACTATTCCACTGTTACATCATAATGGATGCTGAAGGCGAACCAATGGAGGTTGATGGCGAACAAGCCGAAGATGGCCAACAAGCCGAACAAGCTGCAATTGATGAAAATAGAAACCGCATCGACGCATTCCGTGCCAACGCTAATCGCCGCAACGTTCGAACTGTGACCCGGAACTGTAAACTGAGAACCGTTCTTAATGATGATTATCGAGAGCTACGGGTAGGTACAATGCTTCAGTAGCTGTATGCGTAACACAAGATATTTGACTTTTAAATCGTTGCATAGCATCCACTGCGAACGTTAGCAGAAGACTACACAGTGGTGAGACGTGATACTTTTGACTTGGTGAACATGGACGTGTTACGTTGGATTCAAGAAGGAGCAGAAGGCACGCCGTGTCCTGACATATTGAACCAGGGTTACTGGAGGAAAGCGTTTACCTTGTGCACATTACCTCCCACCCATACCGAGGTAATCGAAGATGAACATGTTATGTAGTTCTTTGCATTGTGTTTCTGACGTGATATATAGGAAGCTACAGAGCCACATTTTTTGCACCTTATCCAGACCTTCAATTGGTGCTTTCAACGATCTCGGTTGCTACATCCAGATGATTTCGCGGAGGATGACCCCGATCGACCAGGTATGTAAAGAACCAGATCAAAGCTTCCTTTGAAGTAAGCTGACATGGGATGAATTATAGATATACCTCAGCCACTATACGAGCCGCCCGACTTCAATTCACCCACGTTGAGAAGTCGTCTTGCTGATTTATTCGCAAGAGGAGAAGCCATACCGGGTATGAGCTAAATTTGATGTTGTCTTCACCAATTGCTAACTCGAGACCAACCGCAGCAATCAAGAACCACCTAGCTCTCAACCCCCCAAAATATATGAAGCATACCTTCACGGCGTATTTTTACGATTTGCAGAATCGTATTGAGCCCAATTTGCCGCGACAGCCGCAAGCATTTGGTATGTAAATGTTAGGTAGATTCAATGATACCAAAGCACTAACATTGACAAAATTATAGCGAATGTAATGGTGAGGCATTTGCTGAATCACGACGAGCCGGCAGATGTTGACTTTGATGACCTTCCAGTGGCTCTAAGAGCTGATTTTCGGGTGTATTATCAGTACGTTTATACATATCATTGATGTGAATATATCATAACCTCAACGTGTATTAGAAACCATTTTGAAGAATTTGAACGATGTTTTGCTGGTTACAATCTCACTGAAGTTGGCAAGAGCCCTGGACGTCGTGTCAATGCCGCTTACATTCCGGGTGCATTGCGTTATCTTACTGGGATTTTGTTTCAAGAAGCGGAGCGGCTTGACAGCCAACGATGGACCGTGCTACCTATAGGCAAGCTGCAAATCTCATTCGTACCGATCGATATCAGAGTGCTATATTGGGTCTGCCGTCTTGCCCATGGAAATGCCTATGGAAATGAAAACATTGTATTCGAAGCTCCTCCTGCGATAAGGGTAAGCCATTCTATGCATAATGAAGCACAATCTAATTGCTTGCCTTAGCGTGATACTCCGGGACCAGGAGGAGTAATGTTTATTCCACAAAATATCATAGCTGGAAACACAAATCCCTTGTTAAAGGAGCAATTCTTTGAGCAGCTTTTCAACCTCGATCCTTTGTCTAAAAGGCGAATGCGATATTCTCCAGGTATGCTGAATAAGCGAAATGTTTAAGGATGTTATTGATTCTCTGGTGTTGTTATTTATATGAAGAATACGTTTTCAATCCTGATGTCGAACCCATAACATTCAAATTCTCCCTGAACACGGATGGTGTACGCGTTTGCTTCCATTTTGTCCGCGCTTTGGTCTCACTGCAGGGTGGTAAGCTATTATCCTCTTTTAATTATTGCGTCCTTGTCTAAATCAAAACGTAATAGAACGTATGCCAGACACTTCCGCTGATGTGCGGTATTATGCAAGAGAGTTAAACCTAACAAATTGGCATCGTGGGATGTACCACTTGAACAAAGAACCAGGCGGATTGGACGCAGAGCGTTTGCAAGGAACCAGAATTGTCGGAATTGATCCTGGTAGGATAATAATGAAAGATAGTGATGTACATATTCTAATTATCCTCTACATCTCCCAGGCATAAGAGCAATAATTACAGGCACCGATACTACACAGCATTTGGAAGTTCGACAAACAAGACAACAGCACGTTGTGCAAATATCCAACAAGGAGTACCAGTAAGTGTCCAATGCTGCACTTTTCGGAAGCTATATTCACCACTCATTTCACAGACATCGCTCTTTATCAAATTGGATAAGACAAAAAACCTTACACAGCCGTATCCATAGCCCAGATGATATGGCGACTCAATATTTGGCTCTAAGCGCGTTTCCCGCTCGCACATGCGATCTACAAAACTTTTTGGATCACGTGCATTTGAGATCGTTTCTTCACAACACGTAAGTGTAAGAAAAGTGGTACTGCTATCGGTAATATCAACGCCTTTATTCTTTTAGTTTGCATAATTTTGCGTGCCATTATAGGCACAGGGAGCAACGATGTACAACCTTTTCAGCACGTGTATCAGCTCAAGAATCTATAGTCAACCAGATTCTTAATATGGAAGATCCAGAGGATGTACGTAAACAAGAGAAACACTTCATTATTTGATGGCTAACTTAGGTATATCTAGCTACGCGATCTTCCTTTCAATCATCGAGATATGGGCAAAAGGCAACGCAAACTAACCAGGCGAGCAGCACGTGCCCAACGGCAACTTGTTCAAGATACCACCATGAAAGAACCAGAGGCTGACGTCGAGACCATTGTTGCATATGGAGCTGCGCGTTTCGGTGCTACAAGTAAAAGGCACCAAGCAGTACCTGTGGAGGTAATTATTACTACGGCAATCATTTTATGATTCAATGCCGACTCACCATTTACCATTTAGACCCTCCGAGCAAGGATTGCACGGCGTGCTCTTCTCATTTTGGTCGATGAATTCCGTACCAGTGTGACATGCCACGTATGTAATGGCCGTTTGCAACAATTTCGCGAGCGACAGACGTTGGTTTGCCAACACAAGTAAGCAGCATTGACAATACTTCTGAGAAACACACATCCTAATCAATCGTTCATATACTTACAGCAAAAAATACATCCGTGATTTTCGTAATGCTCCGGTTTATGATGATGAAGGTCATTATATTGAAGGCACATGGACACGTGGTAAACCTCGTCAATGGTGTATGGATGAAAATGGTGCACGGCTACACTGGACCTCTATTTGCCCTGGTCGAGAACAAGTGCATGATTTCCGCAACAAAGTGTATGCTTTGAAGTGGTGTCCAAACTGTCAATTTGTATGTATGCTTCACGAGCATGGGAAGTGTGGTGTTTAACTGGATTGAATAGGTATTCGATCGCGATATTAATGCAAGTACAAATATCCATCGCATTTTCGAACTTTACATGGCAAACGATGGCGGCATTGAGTCTCGACCCGCTGCAATGAGCCGTGGACAAGTACAAGAAGTAGTTAACGAAGTTGAAGAAGAAGATGAACTCGAGACGGATGACGACGACGAGGAGCTACTGTAAAGCAATCAATACCCATGGTGCACAGTGAGGCGTGTATCCATATCCGTGTCATTGGGGGGTAAGTCACAACGATTTGGATCCATTGAAACTTTTTGCTGACTTCTTATGTGGGGTGCACTTGGTATGGTGCAAATAGTAATGCCCCACTTACCATCGCATAACCCGCTCTGCTTGTTGCTTGATGTGATCGAGTGGAATAAAATGGAATGAGATTACAAAAACGAGACAATAATAAGTCAAGTGAGACTGAAGATACCCTTTATTCAATGAAGACGTCCACTTTTTTATACTAAATGATTGATCCTGCTATAACCTGATTCTCCCACGCCCTCACACCATGATTAGTAACGATGATGGTATTCTCGATATACCCATAATCTTACGTACGCGTCTGTGCCCATGTACCTGACAGCCATATAGGATAAGATTTATGCGTGGGAGAATGTAGGTGTGACAAACATGAGATGAGAAGGAGAATTAAATGACAGCTGTGGGAACCATTTTATGATGATTAAGCTGTGTCTACGACACTTGACAACCCCTGTTCATTGTAGGGGCATAGAATCCCCTATTTTTACCTTACTCATGGGTGAATAATGTCATAATGAAGATGCTTTTCTAAAATCGATACTCACCAAACAATATGCCTCATTGTATGTTTGGGTGGATAAGGTTCATAGTGTAACGATAACAATACTTTGTAGTGGATCAACATTCAACCTGGATTGGCGAACATACTAAGCAAGGGTTGTAGGTCATCTATCATCACACACATGCATGATTCCTGCAGTTATTGCTCGTTTACCCAGATAGCCATCCATAAACACGTGACTCGAAAGATCAATACATCTTGGATGTTGCGGCCTGTCCCTCTACGTATGCCATTTCTTGCAACCCAATGGATTAGGTCTGACCTTGACCATTCATTTGTCCATTGTTGTTATCTCCCTACTCTCATTGTTATGGTTTCCATTGTGATGGTTGGCTTTATTGTTCTCTTTTCGTGTCTTTGCGGGGGGGTGATCTCTATTCAACTGCTCTTCTGTACATTTGATTGACGAAGGATACAATACGTACTTGGTAATAAATCACTCCATTGCAAAGGGGTTGGCAACATGGACATACCTTGGCTGTTTCGTGACATACAAGCACCTTTCACCGAAATGACCCGGCAATTGTTCGAGACATGAGTCGCCTCAAAGTCCCCTATCCTTTAGGGAATCATATGTACATCGAAATTGCTGTAAGTTTAATATCACAATAGGGTGGATACATGAGAGCAAACGCTCATAGCCCCAAAGCAAGTAATGAAACATTAGACGAAATGGATATAGCAACATTGAATGCATCCATAAGTCTCCAGGAAGAGACCTCTACACCACGCACCTAATCATCAAAATGAATCTTTGTCTTCTTTCCTTTGTTGAGTCTCATTGAAAACACTGTACTTTTGTATCAATTTTCACTCACACACAGACACACACATACTACCTGTTGCCAAGATGGGTATCTATTAGGGGCCAAGTGTAACAATGCGGGAGATGTACGATTCATGCAGTCGCCTTAAGCAGCACTTCCCGCCTCTATAGCGACCTTTGATCTCCCAATGATTGTGCCTTGCCGAATTATTCCCTTTTATTGAATCGGTTCCACAAACACTAGTTTACCTTCAAGTACAACATCTTCACCTGGTGCTATCAGTTTTATTCAACATGGGCCCTCCATCTCTTATAAATGCAAAGGACAGTAATAGTGAGGCTACACCAAAGAGATAAAAAAGACAAGGTAGTCTAATTGTCGATGGTGCATTACGCGTTTTCATTGGTCAACAGAGAGGTGCTATATGATCGGCAAAGCAAAAAGTAGCTCTTGTAATGTATCACAAAGGTGACTTTGTACGAAATGCATCTTATTACTCGCTTTCATTGGATCAGCGTGACACCAGGAAACAGTATCCAAGGAAACGTACGTAGAAAGATCAAGCAAGCATAGACCATCCATACATTGGTTAATGTATGTATATACATTTTCAGTTTTCAAAAGCATGTGTTGATAATTATTGCTAGGTGCATCTAGATATACGTGTCAATTGGACGAAATATATAAACGTCTCACTGGAATTGCACAAAAGGGGCAAAGGAGGTTAGGCTGGACGCAGGAGTAGAGAAATTACTACTTATTACTACTAGGTAGAAACCGGTTCGTAAATCCGACATTGTTGATGAGCCATCATCATATACGAGATTCCTTGATTTTATATAAGAGCAGCTTGACAGGCCACCTTCAAGGCGATTGAATAAGTTGGCAAGTACAAATCCAGGGGTGAGGTGTTTCTTCATGCATGCATGTGCGTGTGTGTGTATGTGTGTGCCTGGGTATAAGCGACAAAGGCATCTCCTTAAATCAGCCTCTAAAAATTGATTATTTGGCACTAGACCATGCACCTTATTCATCCCTCGTCACTTCAAACGCCTTTTTTTGCAGCTTCTCTTCCTGTTTTTTCCTCTACTTACGCAGTCTCCAATTAACGGTGCATCATGGGGAGCGATCGCTTTGACATGGTTGTTGCCTTCCATCAATTCTCTTTTTTGGCCACAGGCATCTTTTCAACACTTGGCGTGCAGTGGTTGTTTTACGCAGGAGCTGCCAGTAGGTATTGTATCCATGCTATTGAATACCATAGAGACTAACTCTACACACACATACAAGGTGGATCAAGCTTCTTCACACAGTTGTCTGGTTACACTGGAAGTGTGATGGTTGGCCTTTTGATCCCATGGATGGTATCACGGCGACGCGCGCTTTATCAACATTCGACATGCCCTTCTGACAAGGAAAAAACGGATTTCATGGATAATGTAAACGACGAGATATCAAACCAAACAGTGCATGCTGATTATGAACATATCGATCACAGTGTTCTGTGATTGAGCGCACCGAAAACCACAGCAAAGGTCAAACAGCGGTCGATGGCCCAGTGATCCATACCACAGTCGCCAAGCTTGCAAGTATTGATGTCATTGCTGGATCCTTTGTCACTCTTGGATTTTCGCTTATAGGCAGTGGGGTAAGTCGTTAGATCAATATTAGATGGTCTCTGCTTGGTGATTTATGAATGACATTCGTACATGTAGATGTACCAAGTGATATTTAGCAGCGTAGTAATATGGTGTGCCATACTCAACTACTTTTTATTACATCGTGTCCTATCCTTTTGGCAATGGGTAGCCATCTTTGGTACAAGTGCAGGATTGACCCTGTGTGCTTTTGAGAATATGACTATGCCACAAGGTACGTAGGCTATTCATGGTATGTTTCTTTACTCATCTTCAGCAGGTAGCAATATGTCTGGAGGATTGGCATTTGGCACTCTTATGGCTCTAGGTGGCACATTCCTTTACGGTAACTGCACAAGGAAAGGGGGCGGCACTGGGATTAGGCACGCTGATCAATATTCTTGTAGCATGCATGTATGTATATGCCGATTGCATCCTTTCCAAACAGAAACCACCACCGCTTCCAGTACGCCTATGCTTCTACAATGGTCTCTATACGACAATGTTTGCCCTCATATATATCGGGCTATACACCGTGCCACACTTAGATGACATGATCCATATCCAGCCCGATGTCACTCGTTGGCAAGTTTTTACCATGTACAGTTTCATCACCATCGTCAACGCTACACATTCTTGGAATTATTATGAGCTAATTGATCGTACTGGCAGTGTATTGTATCGCATCTTGCTAATGAAATGTATGCATTTTGACGCTAACAATGTCTTATAGGTCGCCACAGGGATCTTGCAGGCTGTAAGAGCAGTACTTGTGTATGGTATCAGCCATTTGTGGTATTGCGCAAACGACTCGGCTCAATGTATGTATTGCCCACCATGTTTATCTCTTACGATGCCTTCATACTGAAATGCATAACACTTACCGCTTTCCTCAAAAAGGCTTCACCGTAAAGAAGGGATTTGGATCCTTACTTGTAATCAGCTGTGTATTACTGTACACATATGCCAGCAAAAAGTGACAGGCGGACAAGATACCACCAACCAGCAATCAATCATGCAGCTAAACATCAACTCAGTACTTTAACCCCGTCAATGAGCACCCACCCCCTCCCGGTCAGCACGCAAGCGAACCACCTTGTCAAAAATCACATGAATAAAAACACGTGCTACTTGGTTCATCAATCAAAAGTCTTGGATAATCGGGATAACAACAATGAAAGAGTAAATGCTTTAGAGTGTGCTACATGACAAGGAGGAGACTTTTTTTTTCCCACGAGCTGTGTCTGTAAAGCGAAGATTCGCACGCTTTCCTTCTACTTTCCTCCTTGTACTCATACCTAACCGCGATATCATGCAACCACTTACTCGCAAAACATGGCAAGCATGCCGCTCATTTACCCGCTATAATACACCTGGATGCTTTTTGGGCGGGGCTCGTTATTGTAATTACACCATGATGGTATATAGTTTGGCGGTGGTGTTAGTGTTGTATCATTTTATAACCTGTATTACAGGGCAGTAGCAGTAAACGCTTTTATAATAATGGAGGTGCCAGTAGTGCAAGTCGATTGATGGAGGAGGATCCCGAAAGAAAAGGACCTTGGAGCCAAGGAGATAAATTTACAAGCAAACTGGATTTTATGCAGCATCTGGCACAAGGCATGAAACCATACCGAGTCATGGACCATACTGGCAGTGTGTTGGATGATGCTCACGACCCAGGTTTATCCAAACAAGAAGTGACGGATCTATATAGCAAGATGGTGACGCTACATATCATGGATGGCATTCTATACGAAGCACAGCGACAAGGCCGTATCAGCTTCTACATGACGCACTATGGCGAGGAAGCCATGATCGGTAGTGCAGCGGCATTATTACCAAGGGATGTTGTTTTTGGTCAGGTAAAACAGCTGCCTTGTTGAATGTACTTTGCGTAGCATACTTAATAACAAGATTCTTGTTCTTAGTACCGTGAGGCCTTTGTACTATTGCACCGAGGATTCACAGTGCAAGAATGTATGAACCAATGCTTCTCAAACACGCATGATGGTGGCAAGGGTCGACAAATGCCTGTACACTATGGCTCTGCCAAACACAACTTTCAAACCATCTCATCACCGCTAGGAACACAAATTCCTCAGGCGGCAGGTGCAGCATACGCTCTCAAGCGTCAAGGGGATGGTGCATGCACTATATGCTATTTTGGCGAGGGTGCGGCTTCTGAAGGTGACTTTCATGCAGGTTTGAACATGGCTGCCACTTTGCATTGCCCAACTATCTTTTTCTGGTGAGTCCCTGTTTGCCACATGTATGTAAAAAACTCTAATATTCATATCATCTATCTAGTCGAAACAATGGCTACGCTATCTCCACCCCTGCTAGCGAACAATATCGTGGTGATGGCATTGCTCCACGTGGTATTGGCTATGGAATTGATACCGTTGTCGTCGATGGCAATGATGTTTGGGCAGTATACAATGCCACTCGTGCTGCACGCACTATTGCAGTTGAGCAGAATAAGCCTGTACTTATTGAAGCCAAAACGTATCGTGTGGGTCACCACAGCACATCAGACGACTCAACGAAATATCGAGACCGCAAAGAGGTCGAAGAGCGGGCCCAGTTTGATAATCCAATCACTCGTCTTCGGCGCTACATGGAGGTTAAGCAATGGTGGTCGCCTGAAGATGAAAACCAGTTGCGTCTCAATATCCGCAAAGACGTCCTTGAGTGTTTCAAATCAGCAGAGAAAGCACCAAAACCAGCCGTGGCCGAGCTATTTACTGATGTGTACGATTCGATTCCCACAAGCTTGCAATATCAGCAAGATGAGCTGGTCGAGCTTACACGTAAATATCCCGAGTACTATAGTATGGATGATCACTCCAATGGTATATAGTAGCTACTTCTTCCTCCCATATCCCGTTATCTCCTCTAAATATATATCCGAAATCAATTTAAGCTGGACTTGTTAGCCATTGCAATCATCTATACGTCTTGTATGTAATGTACGCATCTCCCGCCGTATATTGATAAAACAACTCTTTAATGGATTCACAAAAAAACGGAGGTGTCTTATATTATAGAATACAGCCTTGTTCAAAACGCAATGATTCAATCAGACCTTTCTTTCTTTCCATTTTTCCTCTATCACAGCACTCACAAGTGGGTATACTTCTAGTACAAGCATGCATTTGCCATGTTATAAGTTGTGCCCACATACGACGAGGTCGAATTTAGGAAGGAGCAAGGTCTCGTAAGCTATAGAAACTGAGAAATTGTTGGCCAACGTAATGTCGTATTCGCTTTAAGTAAACCTTTAATCCAACATCATGCACAAGATAAGAGGTAGATTGAGAAGTATAACAAATTGCTCTAATGGGAGATACATCGGTTTGAGGAGGCTATATCCTTTGGATGTGCATTGTACAAAGTACAATGGGTGGATGTGAGGTGGCGAATTATGCACAAAACATGGATTTGGGTGATGATGGTTGTTGTACATGGCTAACAGGCTGCATAAAGGATGATGATGATAGTGGCTGCCATAAATTGGATGCACCAATCGCCCAGGATGATAGCATCAAGGTCAAAAGGTCAATGGAGACATAAGAACAAAGGCTCATTTTTGACATGCTGTATAACCAAATCATGTACCAAAGTAATATCCATATCCATAAGAGGTCGTATGTATTAAAGCAAGTTGCTGCACGTAACTAGAGCTGCTTCTATATGATGGCTATCAGCTGTTCACGTGAAACTTGCACACATGGTAGTGCTGTTGGCCAAGGCGAGCAGGTTTGTTCTCATAAAGACCCCACGCTTGATTGTAAAGTTTTGAGATACAGGCATCTTTATGTTTTACATATGCTTTAAGCGTGATGGAGTTGCTTTCTCCTAATGGATGGTGTCGACTGCATTAACGGAATGATGAAGAGCTGAGTGAAATGGCATGCGATGGTTACACACACGCTTCGTTTACAGGTTGCTGCATAAATGAATGATGATTGCTTTTAGGAAGTACATAAAGAGACTCGGATCATGAAAGAGTTATTCATTATGACGTTTACACTGACAATGACAATGACAATGACAATGATTTTATACAGTGGCATTTTGTATGTTTGGTAGGGGAGTCACGTATTGGTTGCACAAATCCAGGAGTAGCGTCAATCTGCATTGATGATGTGCACGGACTTGATAGACGAATCCTGCCACAGTAAAATGATGTATAGCTTAATTACAAGGAATGTATTCAATTGAAATCTCGAGTAATGGTCGCTATCATTGACCCAAGTGTATAGGCTATTGTCAAGGTATAAATATTCACAGCAGTAACTGTAGCAAGCGGGGCGGCGTGTAGTGCAACAAATTGGGAACGACAACGAGCCCCTTCTTCTTACACTCCTCCCACCTCACAATGCAAGGTAAGCTTGTCTCCATTTGCGAACTACAACGCATTAACAGCTGGCATTCCTTTCAATGTACAGCGCCAATTGGGTGAACAGGTGGTCAATGGCGACTCTTTCCAATTGCAGACATTCAACAACAAGCACGCACGAGATCTACCCATGTTTCAAGCTTCCATTCCCATTCAACAGGTACGGTCAATCGCTGCAGCGATTTTGCTATTCAAGTTTGACATTGTGGTACTGAAGCTCGTGTGTAGGTTGCTGCTCTCTCGTTTATAAGATCTAATGGGTGCGTCTCGTGTATTCATTCTCAAGTTGTCCACAACAACACGTCTTTACACTGCCTCTTTTGGGTATGTTGGCAAGAAAGCGCGTTTAGATTGGTTTCCCTTGGCATCTCACATTGTGTTCATGGTAGATCGAACTTGTTGGATGATGGTACCTGTGGACAGTAACAAGATATTGATTTCAAAGCAAGAACGTTGTACGTTGGTTCAATGGTATGTATGGTGTTAAATCTACAATGCAGGACCACTTAATTAATGAGCCTTACAACGAAACAGCAGCAGCACATACTGGATCGGATGGATACAAGGTTATTTGCAAGCAACAATGGAATGGTATTGGGAGCACCTCAAGGTAAAGTGATCATTTTTGGATTTGTCACCTTCAAGTGCACTGATGAAAGAAATAGGCTCTCGTTCGGCGATTACTATTATCACAGCAGCACGTCAAGGGATGGAGTGTACTGTCTTAAGGGGGAAGGCCATGTTGTGGTACGCGGATATTACGTTGGGCTCACGGTGCGACTTCGATTTAAAAATGCACCCTCTGACCTTTCGTGGAGAACAAAGTATATGCTTCCCATCATTGCACTGCTATACTTTACTCGACTTGGAAGACGATGGGTGTCTTTCTTGGCAACATGGCTGGACCCACGGCTAGTGGTGTTAAAGTCGGCTGGGGAGGGACTTCATGTCACCGTTAAAACCGGTGTTTTGACGCCACGTTCCTACGGGAGGCTAGAAGGCAGTACGGATACTACATTCCTTGGCAGTGCGCTTTTATTATTGCTATTATTGCTGGAGGCAAGATTCATTGGTATGTATAGCATTGGATTTACAATACAAGTGCTCTGAATTAACGAGCTTTTACAATGGAATAGCAGCGGCATCATGATATGGATGGCATGGAGATATGGCTCTTATTTGAAGAAAGGATTTATTGTGAAATACTACAAGGTAAGAGTATCCATTGTGGGATGTGTCGCATGCAGGTGCACTTACGATGGAAGATGTGCAACAGGATCAAGAAGGCTTTTCCTTGGCTATATCACTTGGCACGTCAAGGATGTTATTGTACTGTGTGCTGTCTTGGGGAGACCATGCTGCCCTTACCACCTCTTGTGGAAACATGTGCTCACGGTGCTATGGCAAGTCCAATTTAAATACGCATCCTCTGTTCGCAGTTGCAGCATGCGGATCCACGGCTCAGGTGGTGTCAAAGTCGGCTGGTGAGGGGCTCATGTCACCGTTAAATCCGGTGTTTTGGCACCATGCTTCCTTCGGGAAGGGGCTAGTAGGCAGTGCAGGTACCTTGGCATTCTTTGGCATTGCGCCTTTCTTATTACTATGCTTTGTGGTTGCACCCTGATTGAGAGATTCATGTACGTATCATTCCAATGTCTTTGAGATGGAAGTATTCTTGTTGACATGTGTCTTTCTAGGTGGATCATCTTGCATTGAATTCCCCAGGATTACAGCTATCATTGCTAAGTGTTGTTTTACATGTTTGGAGGATTGTTTACGGTGCATCTATTATATGTAGGTGAACCATGTTAGGATCAAGCAGCATCGTCTTTGGCATCTTTCGATATCAGCAAGCCTTATTACATCCTTCGATAGATCTCGTTACCAAGTATTAAACATCCCTTTTGTGTGAATCTGCAACAACTTCTATTATCTTACGGCCGTGGTTGTCAAGTACTACTCCAGTGCTCTGGAAAATCAGCTATCTGCAAGTCGTCTCTTTATGGATGGATCTTTGAGCAATGTTTGTTATCGGTGCCATGGCGGATATCATTCCTCAAGTACCTGTACGGATACCTTTGGGCATATCCTCGTGTGTGCTATTTCATCAAGACCGGATTTATTTGTTGCAGTGCATGCATGATGTGTCTCCTCATGACGCCTACCCAAGAAGGTCGCTTGATGGCAGCTACTACTGATATGGCGGATGTTCATTTGCTATGGGTAGAACGGGATGGTGTTTTGCTCTTTTGTGTAAAGCATCGTTGGCAGCTATGATTCATATGCGACAGTGTGGTCAGCCCTATCATGGCCCTATCAATTGCATTTGAGGACTACTGCCTTAGCCGTTGGAAGTCAGACTGTCACTCGGTGTCCTTGTGGTAGATATGGGATCATGTATTGCTTTTTACGCTTATGGGTCGGCCTCTGTGGGCGTGGGAATGCTATTTTGTCCTTTTATCAGACCGAACATGTTGGCTCGAGCAGCACCCATAGAAGATGCTGTTGTTTACAATGGCAGCCCCCGTTATCCGGCTTGGTGCACCGTAGGGGAGAGGGTGACGGCAAAGCCTTCGCGTGGCCATCCTTGTCAGTACATGGGTTTCCATGGAAGCTAATTTGCCACCTTATCGTTATCATTCTATACTTATTATCGCAAAACATTTATGCAGGATTACTTGAAGATGGTGTTTATAGGAGTGGAGTGAAAGGAGGATAGATATTGAACCATTTATATCATCGTATCGAGACGCTTTTGAACCTTTATTGCATCACAATAGGATAAGCAGTAGACATTCTCAACGGCTTGTAGGTTGTATACACTTTAATAAATGCTTGTATATACAATAATGATAAACTCTAGGTGATGATACGTGATGCCCAACAATAGTGCTTGTTACAGAAGCTTGGTTTGTTGTAAGCTTTTACATACAAGCTATTGTAAGATCATCACTGCATAGGTTGTGTTAAACCATTCAACAGGGAGCAATCAAAAGTTTACGAGCGAAGCGAACAACACGACCGCCAGTCGTTAGTAAACATAGTAAGATCATTGAGTTGTTATCTCAAACGGCCATACAACACAATGAGCAAAGTATCGGGTAGCTAGTTTATTAACGCAAATGAAAGAAGTGATATCGTATATTTTATGCGCGAGCGAGACGCAGCTCATGCTGGAGTTGGCGAATTGTTTCTTGGCTGTTTTCTAAGGAGTGCTTCAATTGGATATTCTTCCGCTCTAGTTCGAGTCGCTGAGCTTGAAGATGATCATCTTCAGTTTGCATAGCTTCGATCTCATCGAGTAATATCTTGAGTTTTCGTTCATATGACAGATTGACAGACGATGGTTGTGTTGACGTGATGCTACAGCGGGCTGAGTCTGCAAAAGCAAGAGCGGCAAATCCTTGCTTGGGTTCACCAGCTTTATCCATACAATCGGTGGAATGCCGCCTTCGCCTCACTTGGGTCGTTGTACTGCCAGTGTTGGTCATGATGCGTGTGCATGAAATAACACGTCGCAAATATTTGATTTCCTGGTATGCTGCAGCCATAGACTTACTGTTACTTAGCTTGTCTTCATGCTGCATTTGTTGAATGCGTGTATTCGCTTCTCTAAGCCGTCGATTTTCTTCCATTAAAATATCCATCTTACTCTTGTTGCTGCTACCATTAGATGACGTTGGCATAGTAGTCAAGTATTCACAAGCGTCGTGTTGAGTAGGATTGGGTATAGTATGTTTTTCTTTGCCACTGGAAGCGTTTGGTCTAGGAGGCGGACTCAAGGCAGTGATATGACACTGAGATGCAGTATTCAATAGGCTAGATCCCTCCTTTGCGCATTCATAAACGCTGCTGCTACTACTCGTGGACAATTGGCTTTCAGTTTCCGAGAGCAGCGAGGACCAGCTGTCACATTTCTCTATGTTGGATTGTGTCGTTCTCATATTGCTGTACGATTTGGATGACCATAACCCTGCCGATTGTCGCATTTCATTATGATATTCGTCATCCGTTGGTGCTCGAGGAGTAATCGATCTTTCATCAGCCTCTTTGACATTGCTGTTCTCTTCAAACATATGCATCACCAAGGAAAGGCGCCTTCGTCGTTGTTGTTTTCTGCCGGAGCCTGTTGAAGAAAATGGTGTGCTGGATGCAATTGGAGATTTGATATGTCTTCTTGGTTCAGTCAATGCACGGTTTTGTTCATGATAAAAGGATGTTGTGGTAGTGGGGTATTTGTCATCTTCTACAAGACTGGCCACGTTATCATTGTTGGTAGTTCGGAAAAGCTTCAACCGCATAATGGAAAGAAATGAAGGAAGAATAAGTTGTTGTATTGCAAATTCATGTCGTCTACGTGGTAACACCGCGCTACCGATAGCTGTACAACATGAGGAGTGGGCCACAAGGCTCATGGTAGCTCAAACAAGCCGCGAAGCTGTCAAGAGCGTGGCACAAATCATGACCAAACTCGTACCTAGGCACTCTATCAATAGAATGGCTGTGACACCCTACCTTTCAATGATACGCCATTTGAAGTCATAAATAGAGGATACACTGCTGAAATATAAAGAGTGGCGTGATATACCTGTCAAGTGTTCGGCATATGGATTGTGCGACCGATGTGCAAGTATTGCGATTGTTGGACGTTTTCCGCAACTCCAAAACCTGCGTCAAATATTCAGCTACAGCACGTTTGGGGTTTCCTGTTCTACGAATAACCTGTCAATTGTGCAACGCAGATTCATTTGACACTGGTATCTACGAAGGACTACTTACTCCGCTCCGAAAACAATGGACATAAAAGACACCTTTTTTTCTTATATTACCTGAAATCGTCGCATGAAGGCAAAGACTACATCAATTGAGAATTCTAGTTGAGGCCCCATGGTTTTACCAACGGGTACGAACACCGCCTAAAAGGCCAATCATTTTCCTACGCTGTACTTATCAAGTTATCACACAACATCAACAGCATCACACTGCACTTTTTGGAAGGTCACGCTCTGTTACGGTATTCAGAAGAATCGCTTGAATAAGGAACAAATGCGAAAACGTGAGCATTAGAGAATCATTGAGCAGAGAAAGATACAAAACGAGGGGATGGCACTTTATTTTCCGGGGGGGGAACAGCTCCACGAGGTGCACGATTTCAACCATCCATCCAAGTATGTATTAAGAAAGTGTTCTTGTTGGTTGTGGGCAAGTGCTGTGTGCTGAGGAAAGGGCGTATTGGATACTTTAACCAAGGTGATACCGTCGCTGTTGGCTTCTATTGTTATGCCGCTCCACGTTTGGTGCCAAACAGATGTATTCAATGCCTCAATGCTGCAGCAGAGCTTGCTCCTTGACGTTTTAACTAGTATAACAGCAAGAGTAATTTCAACACGTTGGCTCATTTTTCTTTTGGTTCAGCTCGATCGCATGATGGTTTCAAGTTTCCAGTAACCCAACAACGAATGTCTTAAAAAGACCATTTATTAATTGTCATATTATCATGTGCTGCTAAGAATGAATGATGCTATTGCTGAATAGGCTCTTGGTCAATTAATGCAACTTTTGGTCGTCATCACTACTTTTTGTTTGGCTCCCAACCTCTGTCTTTTGGCCATATGATATCAGTGATTAGGTTGATCCCTTCCTTTCTGCAAAATTACTAGAAGAAACATCGAGATTTCAGTTGATGAGCATCACCCTTGCATACCAGGTCCACTAGCCTGCTTGACAAGTTAATGGATCGTTCTTATTTGGATAAATGATGAACATTGATCACTGCTATTGTAGCATAGTCTTTCATTTTCTTTTGGAATGGTGGACGAGGTTGTCTTAGGAGTCGGGATTCAAGTAATCGCTTCGACTGGTGACGAAACCACTTGAACTCCGCATGTTTTTACCATGGTGGCGGGCCTGTGTTGCTTGCCCCACTCAACAAACCTCGTCTTCATCAACAATAATGGTACGTTCGAGTCCCTCCGATCGAGTCAAAACACTTGACTAAATCATGTATTCAATATTTTAGGGTGGTGTCAGCCGTTTCCCCTATCCTAAAGAAGTCTGGTAATGAAGAACAAAGACCAACAATTGCAGTGCAGCGTGTCTAACATTAACACCATAGGTCGCCTGCTGGTGGCTGGTGGGCCCAACCCAAAGCATGGAAGTCCAACACGTTAATTGCCGGCTTTGGTCTTGCTGTCACTGTTGCAGCAGTCTGGAAGGTTTCGGCCGATAAGGAGGTAAAGTCTATATTCAATGGACCCAATTATTTGGTGGTCGTATGGCTGAATGATCGTCTTAGCAACGTTATCAACAACCAACACGCTGGATCCCTTCAATGATGGTAAGGTGTAGCCAAGAGACATACGTGATGAAGCATTACTTAAGCATGAATGTGTATATAGTGGGCGAAGCAATTCAAAGATCAACAGTAGAACCAACAATAAACATATTTGTCAACAGCGAAACTTATACGAATGCCTTATCTTCGAATTTGACTGCTTCAATGATGATGAAAGCTCTATCAACGTGATCATATGAGAAAGTGCTCAAGCCATCTACCATTACTTCGATGACGACCAATATGAACGAAGTTGGACGTGTCGAGGGAGACATTGCGCATTCAGCGGACGACAATTCAAAGCAATGTTGTCATAGGAACCATCAATCAATTATGTAAGAGTACTGTAATCAAAACTATCACGCTCAACAACATCCTTGAGCTCCAATAAAGCTTTCAGCCTGCCGAGGGCTTGCAGTTGCACATGTGCCACGCGCTATAATTCTCCTGCATAGGTTATACCCAACCACGTTTTAATCATATAATGTCTTTCACTGCTATCTGCAATAATGTACATGAATGCAATTACTCATCGTCAACAACGACAGTCTCCAAACCTAACGTACAGAGAAAAAGAAGGGGGTGGGATCTTTTAGTAGACGCTTCACAGATAGGAGACGGATGGATTCTCCAACCTCTAGCGTTTTCATACCGGCAGAAGATATTTTCCTCATTCTCGGTATCCATCCATTATAGATGAATAAAAGGATACCATAGAGAAAGATGGAAAACATTGCTACTGAACGGCGAAAGCAAAATAGAGAAAATAAGATAACTTACCCTTGGCACCATTGGGAGTAGGGACAAAAGTGACGTATGAGTAGAGCTTGTGGACAGCATCTTCGTCGTCGTTACGCTTGCGAGCAATACGAACACGGATACGGTGAGGGACGTTGCGAACACCGCGAGCCCAGAGAGCCTTGTTAAGACCAGTGTCGATACGAACATCAGGAGTACCCATGGCCTTGACAGCAAACTCCTTGACAGCCTTGATAGCGTGGGGGGTACGCTTCTTGAAAGAGCGACCATGCACGAGCTTGTGCAAGTGAATGGTGTATTCGCGAGTGACAACGTCAGCAAGAGTGGATCGCTTTTGGGTGGTCTTGGGAGCCATATGCAACTAGATGAATGATGGTATTATGTGTGAATGGATGGATGGATAAATAGATGGATGGATGGATGGATGGATATGAAGAGATGCGTATTTACCTTTATGTGAGAAGAGAGAAGGATTCATAGCCACGCGCAAATTCCCTTGATCTTTGTCTCCAGCATTCTCAGATTTCAGGGTCCCGCTGGCCGGCACCTGGACCCATGGTTACGACGAGGTCCCCATACTTTTGTACGAGGTCCTTTCAAATTCACTAATCATTTCTAGATTATTCACCATATCATGCCTTATGGGGTTTGTTTTTTTTCTTAATGGTGTATGCTTGTTCGAGGATGTAGTATGCTTCTGTTTGATGGTATTGTTGGTGTTGAGTTACACATACGCGTTTTGACAGGTTGCACAAATGGATGATGATCGTTGTTTACAGTACTTGAATGTGCAAACGTACGCCTACACCACTCCTAAAAATGTAATAGATAGCCTGATAATGACAATCCTCGTTTGTGATGTGAAGCAAGCGAGCGATTATGGCGTGTGAGAAATGATATAAGAGCCACCACTAATGGATCCAGAGGCGGTTTCCTGTATTCAATGATGGTATAAAATTGGACATACTTATGTCACCTACAAAAATCACCTTTCAAGAGGCAGGTGGATTTATCAGCTGTGGTTTTCCATCACTTTGACTCGGTACTCCAAGATACTTGACCACTTTATCAGTTTGATCAATCATGACAACAATCCCCACGCCCACTCACATATAAACAAGGCTGTTGTCACCAGCACTATCATACACCCTTTCTTTCTGAATGACTTTTGGTAAATGTCAAGGATAATCTTTATGTAATTCCGGAAATGAGGGTACTCATGCATCATCTATGTAGCTCAATTCATTGCTTTACTACTTAGCGTGCTCATTGGTGCTTAATGCCATTTGGCTGTGTTCCTTGATGGATCCTGCCTTGTGGTAGGTACATTGGGAAGCTTGGAACTCCTTTGTAGGCGACATAAGCACATGCTACCAATGCGACAAAATCAGCTTTTCGCTATGCACCGCTGAGGTCCTTGGATAATAACAAAGAAGAACAGAACAGAGCCACCAGATCGCCGTACGACGGTCAATCAAAGAAGGTACAGTGATGTCGTCAGTGCGTGATGAAAGTGACTCGAATACGGATTCAAAGTGGTCGTTCGACATCTGTGAGGAAAAGTTAATAGACGAATGTGAAAATAGAAAATGTGAATTACACTTACTCTACCCAACAAGTTGATGCTGATTTTGGGAATGAGGATGACTACACCATTTGTTTGGCGAATAAGCGAGAGTAGACGTTCTGCACCACGGAGTTTTTGCGTCAAAGTATCGGGGGTCAAGTCAGCAGATAAGAAATGGACAATTCCATCAATGAAAGCATGGATATCCCAAGATGAATACGTTGAAATGAACCAGCGTCTTTCAATAATTTTAAACACTGATGGAATCAACAACCGTGGCTACGATATGTTGCGGCACGAATGATGAAAGGAGCAATTCTTGTGGAGCAAGGAATTGGGTAAGATGAGGATCCGTAAGTGTTACCTAACTTTCTCTAACCGGTTTTTTTTGGGTGTCTGATAGAATCATGATTCATCCTTGCGAGGTATACGGATGTATCCCAGACTATGATGCCCACCACGAGCAAATCCGACACACCAGGGATACCGACTGGAACCACAGCTCGCTTCCACAGCAGAGCACAAACTACAACAACATAGAAGTCAAGCGACTCACGCATGACAATTCATCCAAGCTTATAATTGGCACCAAGGTTCTGCATCCTCGCAACATGTTCCGCAAGGATTGATTACGAATCCATATCAATGATGGCGTCAACTCATCTTATGTGTATCAAATTCAAATGTATCCATTGACAAGTCATCCACTTTTTATGATGGGGGTTGAGATTTAATGGGAAATAAGGTTCCAAAGAGAATACCTATACAATAAGCAGCTTATGTCTACCACTAGCATAGATGTCTTTAGAAAGTATAGAATAATCCCAGTAAATTAAAAAATGTCATGCAACGGTCGAACAACATGGAGATGGTTTATGGGTTGTCAATGAGGAGTTGGAAGGGTTATGTATGTATGTGTGTATGCCTGGGCACGCGTGTGGAAGGTGCCTAGGCAGTTAACATTGCTGAGATGACTTGGAAATGTCGGTGGGGGCGGGCACCCAAACTACCCAGGACATAACACATCCTATAGATACGTAGATGGGACGTGCCTTCGCCAATGACATGTCTGAAGAACTTTGTATGATTGAACTTTCATGGATAAACCATGATCTGACAACAACAATGTGGCAAGATCCATCATCCATCTGCTATCACAAATCACTTGCTATGTTGAAATGGAGCGAAACAAGGCGTTGTCCGAGGATGCTTGTGTGAGTGTTCGTTTCAGAAAGAAAAGACGAAGGTCGTTGGCACCTTCGTCGATAAATTTAGATGCGACATACACGTACCCCTTCCTATCCTGAAAACCATCACCACAATACCCGATTGCCATCTTTTTTTTTAAAAGCAAGATATCATATCCTTTGATACGAGTATATTTACATACGTTTTCCAATAATATACAAGAAAATGACATGTCAACTACGGTACTGGGAAGCCTGAAACGCTGGATTCATACATGCTATTGCTTTCGATGGTGTATTGACGTCGTTTGGAATCCATCTGTTGGGATATCATATCATCTTCGTCCTCTCCGCCAGATCTTCTCCTTCGTCTCGATTGATCAGTTGGGTGACTCAATTTCCTCGCCATATAGATAGGCTCGTATTCCTATATAGAGAATAAATACTGATGTACCAATCACCTCAAATGCACGTTCACTTACACTGAGTTGACTCTTGAAGCTATCGTTTGGATTGATACAAAGTCGCTTGCTTTGCACATATTGGTAGGCTTGAGTGGCATTCATATTGTAAATCTCCATTGCATAGGCGATAACAAAGCTGGGACTCCGTGACATGCCCGTGTTGCAGCATACAAGAAGCTTTCCATGGTTTTCAAGTACTTCCTTGATATACGCTGTGCACTGAGGGAATATAGGGATAAGGTTTTGCATGGTGGAATCAGATACTGTGATAGGCTTGAAGTTGAAAAGCTCGGCTAGAGTATCAGTCTTGAAGATACGAAGCTCGTTACTGTCAAGGAAGCAAAGAATATGCGTAATGCCGTTGTTTTGAAGATGTTGGATATTACGACAGGCAGCAAATGGACCTAGGTATAATCCAGGCTGTTATGTTCAAGGAAATAGTCGTCATTGTCAGTCGTCAGTATGTCAAGCGTTGACTCGTCATAAGAGATTACCAATATTTCTTGCATTTCACGACGCATCTCATAACGCCAATCATCCACTGCGGTGCAGTTCGTGCTGTCGTAGGAAGTACAGTCTCTACCCCAGAGGTCGAATGTAGGCAACATGGAATTGACAGTGAATAAAGAAGAATGGCATGCTCCGCCAAATCAGGATATAGAATTTGAATGCATGAGTGACGACCCCCTTTAATCACTGGCAAAAGCATCACTACCCATTTCTATCAATCGAAGGGGTCGAATGAATAAGCGGATAGCTCCATCCATCATTTAACATTGTCAGGTTCTCTTTGTTCTTCTATTTTGGACTCTATGGATTCAACAATGATGCATCTTATTATGATGTGATATGAAGAGGATGACTGGTGATATAAGATCTTTTTATATACAAGTGAAAACCAGCAAATTTACAAGCTATACAATGGCTTTCTTCTTCCCACGTGGTAGACTAGGGCCCCACACCTTGACTGTAAAATCGGCAGAACCACTTGCAAGGATGGGTTCGGTTGGGTGAAAATTGACAGCATATACTCGATCAGTGTGCCCTTCGAGCCGTTGCATTAACTCTGCGCTCTCCTAATAGGTGTATGAATTAATCTACAGTGAAACCATATGCTAACGTTATTGAATACCTCGCCAACATTATACAAATATGCATACGGATCTGCACTGCCAGTTGCAAGTAGTACGCTTTTCTCTTCCTTTGGTTCAGAAAAATCGCCTGTGGATGTCAACGCTCTATCAGGGTCGCTGTCACCAGTGGCCAACGGTGAAGGGCGGCTTACAATTGAAGCATTATCTACCATCCCACACACATGTTATTTGATGTTTACTATGCCTTCATCGCAACTTACATCCGCTGCCACAGTAAAATGATGATTTTATAGGCCAATTCTTGTTCTTGAACCCTTTCAACGCATGCACAAGTCGGGTATCCGATTTGGGTGGATCCATACCACGATCATATACACGTAATACTATTACCAGCATTAGCATTTCTTCATGATATGGGGCTTTGGCTTTTGCTGTGACCATTTACCATTGTCGTAGCTATTTACAGCCATGTATCGTGGCTCGTCATAATCGTCAACTAGCATACTTTGTAAGCGTCAAGAAGCGTAATAACCATCAATCATTGCTAACCTGCACGTCTAGCCGCATCCGTGCGCCGCCGACCAATCGTGATATGTGAGATTGGCATATTCGTCGTACCATTCGTAGTGCTCGATATACATGTTCCTGCATCGTGTGAAATGTGTGGATCAGACATAAGCTCTATATCACAGCATTCCCAATACTTACGTGATCGTATATCCCATACCTTGAGTACCCCGTGCGCATCACCCGTGATAACGTGCATACCATCCCTTGAAGCATATAGCGTGTTGACCATGCTGTCGTTATGTATGGCTGCTACTGTGTTTGGTGAACGCGTATCGACTGTGGCTAGGATTTTCCTTGATGTGCCGCAATAAAAGATGTTGGAGTCTAATGTTTGCGTTGGGTAAGAAGATCATGTCGATAGTGGAATATGATGATGCTATTACCCATAAAGTCCCATCCCACGCATTGAACAAACCCATCCATCTCAAAAGTGCCTGAGAGCTTGCTGGTCTCGACATCCCATGTTTTGCAAGTTTCATCATATGCGCCTGATACCAGTTTGTTGGATTCGGATGTCCATGCCACGTCGGAAATGTTGAGCGTATGGCCTTTCAAGCACATTACCTCCTTTTGTGCTGATACAGTATCCCAAATCCGCACCGTCTTATCAAAAGAGCCTGAAGCAAGCAAACTGCCATTGGGAGAGAATTCCACAGTGTACACAGCACCCACGTGACCTTTCAGCTCGTAACGCATATCGAACGCCTCCCCATTGTAATCTATCACAAACGAAACACTTGTCAATGCACCTTCAAACGACATCACGCCACAATATCAAAACCTTACTAGGTTGAAAATCGTTGCCAGCAGCTTCTTGAACAGCCATGGAGATCACCTGCTCGGCTTTTGAGTCCATATTCGAAGTGGAACCATGATCAACGACAAAAGGACGATAAGTCAACCCGCCTTGAGAAATAGAAGCAGCATAGCGTGCTGAAAGGTCGTAAATGCTCTTTTTGAGTGCACTGTTTTCCTTGTCCAATAGATCGACCTTCTGCTTCAAGTGCTTTACTTCCTTGAGAAGCTTCTCCACCTGTTGATCGCGTCCAGAGGCTGTAGGATTGCTGCTTCCTGTAGGGGTTGATGCTGAAGGAGGATAGACTGATGTCGGCGTCGTACCCACCATGTTGACGGCTTGCCCTCCACTTGAACTAGTCATGCTGCTAGAATGGCTACGCATTGTTGACGATCGCTGCTGATGTTGAGGCAACTGGTCCATCAAAGTTAGGTGTTGTGTGTCAGTGGGAAGTCGTGAGCGGGCTATTTCTGCTTCTGGTCATCCAAGAATAAAGCCAGCCCGTTGCTATGGCGATGCACAAGAGTTACAGTCGTACTTTTATCTAGACCATTTTCCTTATACCAAACCTACATTATGTTCGCGCTGTAGGATAAAGTTCTTTTTTTCTATTCTATTAAACACGAGCTGAAGATGACATAATGAGGATCTCTTTCTTTGCATGAATAGGCTGATGTTTTCCCGATAGCTTTGTATAGTATAGAGGAAAGGTGCTTGCTAGTAGTGATATCGCTCACTTGACGATTGTGTATGTGTCATTAGACACGATGTAGCAAGAGAGAATACAGCGACGATTACTTTCGAAGATCAACGCATGATAAGTATTATCCTCCTATGGCACAATGAAGAAAGGAGCCACGTATCATCAATGGCACTTGCCAACGATGGAGCTCTTGATGATATATGCATGGGAGATGTAAGCTTGTTGTGGATAGGCTAGGATAGGAATTATTTCCATAGCAAGCCGTGATAGATTGAACTGCTGATACCGTGGTCAAGCGTCTCATTGGAATGCACTATGTAGATTGCAGGAGGAGATGCAGTATCAAATATTCGTAGGTAGCATAAAGTTCCCCATCCCAAACGCACTTTGAAGCGTACACGGTACTTTTGGCAGACTACGCGTGCTATTCTTTGTCTACTTGTGTATGGAATGATGGGAAGTTATGAAATCATGCTGCTCAAACATGAACGAGTATAACTTCACTATAACTTCCTCTTCAATGGCATGCTATCATCACTCGCCAGCTATATGTATTACTTACTTCGATAACAAAACGTAAAAGACAATGGGGCAAAGATGCGTGGTTTATTCGATGTAGTTCTCTTAATCATGTATGCTATTGTGGTTGCTTTTTTTGGGGGGGATGATGGCATGCTATAATCTCTTGCCGGCAATGGACGTCATTGGTGGTTTAAGGTTTATGGGAGGAGGTTACTTGTATATGAATGGGCGGGAGATTGTTTGTACGGATCTTCTTGTAACGGCTTGGTTTTCCCGCTCTTCGTCCGAAATTCCCTTCAGTCCAATGGATAGGTCTGGTGATGTATCAGGCTCAAAGGCACCGCAATCGCCTGTATCTATCCACAAGTCATTGCCACCCGATGTCCTTGTCAAGATTTTCCACCACCTTCCCGTACCGTCTCTCGTCAATGTCGCTTTGGCATCACGGCGTTTCAAGGTGCTTTGCTACGATGACGAAATATGGGATACCAAAATCCAGCTTATGCTCGGCTGTGACTCGAGTGGACTCTCAGGTGCAGAAACGTCTCAAGATACGAGCAGCAGTAGCCTGATGAACATTGAAGAGACCATCAAAATCAACAACAAACCCCTGAACGCATTGATACCTGGGCTATCAACGGATCCGTTCAACACACGAGCAAGAGCACGATCAACAGGACAAGCCAGAGAAAAGTTCAAGGAGTTGTATGTCCGCTTAATGCCGTACTATGTTGATCTACGGCACAAGTCAAGAGAATCCAAAGTGTTGAAGGATTATGGTCATCAACCAGAAAAATGCGGGAGGTTACTTCATACATTGGTTGCTTTTGGTCGTTGCCATGTGGTGGATGATTGGAAAGACGTAAGTTTGATTGACAAAGGACACAAAGATCATCTCATTGACGAAACCGGTTCTTAGATTAATAAAGCGGTTGAATCTCTGTGTCAATACTTTGAGAACGCGTCGCTACATAAATTTGAAACGGCGTATGATGTGCATGATATCAATGACATGAAGGTAATTTCAACTACATCTTAACGTATTATGGACCGCTCATCCTCATATACATATTCCCCCTCCCCCACATATAGACGTTTGCTCATGCACTTATTGCGCTTAATGGTGGATCCATTTGCATACAAACATACATCCAGAAGCACCCTATTTTCTTTGACAACCCCTTCAAGCCTGAAGATAATTTCACGTGAGTCACAATTTCCTATTGTCTTACTCTTGACTTATTCAGTCGAATAGTGCATCAGCGCATGATCTGGAGCCCTTTCGAAAGTTCATGTCCTTGGTGACAGAAGAGTGTCGACAGCAATCATTCGTCGTTTCAGAAACATTCCCACCCGATGTTGATGTTTATTATACTTTTGTTGATCGTGTATTGGAGGATGTGGTAAGTAACAGCGTTAAAGGGCTGCTTTAATCTAAGTTACTGATACGTTGGTCAAGGTGGCGGACTATGTGAATGCATTACTTGGCATCGCTCAACGTCGCGAGAGACGCTTGTACTTGCATACCATTTCTGTGGTGCTCGATGTTGCATCCAAAATGATCCAAGAGTTTACTCAGGACAATCTTCCACGTGGCATCAGTACGGATTCCAGCATCAATCTACTATTCAAGCTTTTTATCCCATTAATCGACGACTATTTATACGAAGAATTGCAATATGTCAAAGATACTTGCAAGAAGTTAATTGATGATTGGGTACGTAAGATGGATATAGGATGAGAAAAATTACAATGAACGATGTAGGCTGATGATGGTCTTATAGAACGATGGCTATGGCTCTCGGAGGGAAGATGCATCGTCTCGGCTAACAAATCAATCACGTGAAACGTTTAAGAGGTAAAACTAAATTCAACGATACCTTTTGAGAATCATCAATGCTAAGCCCACAAAGAAACTATCTCTCAGCATTCAAAAAAATGATTGCACTCCCTGCCGACCTAGTCACTTCAGCAGCTACCACCATTGCTTCACCGTTTCAGCGATCACGTGATGAATCATCAACACCTTCGGCATCCAAAAACAGTGATACCCATACGACCAGCAGCAGCAGCCCTACAACGCCAACCAGCAAACGATCGTCCATGTTGAAAACATCATCGCCGTCGTCGCCAGTAGATATCCGTGACACCGAGTTCAATGCTGCTTTGCATGAATTGGATACGATGCAAGATTTGCTTAGTTTGGAAACGGTTCTGCAGCTGATTCACGTCAATAAGGACGCAGAGCGTCGTGTCGAGAAATTCCTTCAAATCGGCTTCCCAGAAGTCATGCACGCCAAAGTGTAAGTTGCCAATAGTATTGAATGTATTGCTGCCTGTATGAGAAACTTATCCTTGTTTTCAGTCTAAAAACGTATGAGCAAATATTTATACAGCTACTACGCACTCTGGGACATGAACATATCGAGCCAGCTTTTGAAAGGTATGGAATTAGAGTTGTGTGGAGAGATCGCTGAGGCAGCAAATACAAGCATTGGCTAACTTGATTCGTGGTTCATTTGTGGTTGGAAGGGCTGGTGAGCACTTGAAGACATATACCCCAGATATGGATTCCCTTGACAGCGTAGACGTGCCCCCTTTGACCGAATTTTTCGAGATGGTACATGTAGGCGATGTCATACAACAAATGCTCCAGCTCTATTATGACGAAGAAATTGTAAGTTGTACTACTGCCGAAAATAATGCAACCATGCTAACCGCATGAACAATAGAGCAAATATATCGATAAAATGGATTTCATCAACGACGTCAACAAAGAGAAAAAGACATTCGAACGCACTTTAGATGATTGCGTGGCAAATGGCATGGACCGCGGCATTCAGGTAAATGTAAATATGCTTTGTTTGTGCCAAAACTAATGACGTTTCAATGAAACGTTAGGTGCTTCTATCTCAAGTAGAGTACATATTGGCCCATGAACAAAGACCGGAAGACTACAATCCTGAAAATGAATGCCTTGCAGATCTCAAACCGACAAAGGTAAAGAAGATGTTTTGAGTCTTATCATTTATTCTGATAACGCTAATAGGCGTGCCGAGATGCTATTGAATGTCTACGGTCCAACACATCTATGCTTAATGGGGCTTCTGAGAAATCAACTATGGATCTCTTCTTTAGTGAAGTGGGTCGTCGTTTTGGGGAGTGAGTATTTGTACAAGGGAAGCAGGCATCAACGGTTATACTGAAACATAAGCAAAGGGTCCTGAGCAAACACCTAAAAGCACAAACGGTCAATGAGCAAGGAGGATTCCAGTATATCAGGTAAGTTCATGGTTCCGAGCTGTAGCCGGTCTACGTCCTAATTGCATATCATAGTGACATGAATGCGTATTATAATTTTATTACCACCTTGAGGCAGAGCTCAATAACGCCTTATTTTTCCGCCCTGAAATCGCTCGCCAACATCTACATAATCTCATCAGCACCTGATATCAAGAATGTTATCCATGATCTTGAGAGATACCACGGGTTGATGAAGACCGAAGACCTACTTGAATTTGCAGCATGTCGAAGCGATTGGCCTGTGATTAAAAAGGTGGTGATGAAGGATATCACTGATTGTATCATCATGTAAAAAGAGAGTAGTCTTCATTTATAGTATTGCAAACCTAATATTAGTACATCGAGTACCGAAAGTTTACATGTCAATTACGTTAATCTTCTCCATTAAGGAAATCTTAAACTACAAACAATAAAGTCGATACAGTAGTTGCTATGCAAGTTGTGTGGTAGCTAGGGATAACCTGTTGCCATGGTTAAATACTTCTCAAGAATGTCAAAATTTGCTTGCACTGGGACACCCAGTGAGCGTCAATTTCAGTTGCAATTATCCTTTTTAGACTATTTTAACGTCTCTGTTGAGCAATCGGCCTACCGCCCTAAAAGGAAATACGTAGCGATGCTGTGAGGATTTCACAACTATACATAAGGCTGCTGCCTCATACTACAAATCCATAGATGGCGATGGTCGAAGAAATCTGATCGTTCTATACTTAAAAACATGGGAGGCGTGAGGTACAATGCAAGTCGACGCGGCACCAGCGTATTTAAATGTGCCTTAATTGGGTTCTGACACAGAAAAGCACAAGCAGCAGCACATCTTGGCATTCATGTTAATGGTTATGAGTGCTCCCGGATAAAAGGCAATAGCCTTGTGGCTCGTAATACAATGCAACCATTGCATTTGAAGTTGCTCTACTGTAAAGTGGAAACAAGACCGGAGGTGCAAAACGTAATGCAGCAGCAATGGAAAAAGCAAACTATGTTGTAGTGTATCGATGATATGGTTGAAAGCGGGAGAGTGGATGATAAGGGGTTGCGAATTTATTCCGCTCAAGGCGACTGTGGTGTGATAGCAGTAAAAGCATCAACTCTTTGAAAATCGGAAAGGCGATACTCGGAGAGGGAAGCATGCTCCGTCACGAATTATGCTGCCTTTAGGTTACGTTACACTGCACGACAAGCTGTATAAATACCCCTTTTTGTATTTGCGCCTCAACCTTCTTTTTAGCTCCTTCTAACACTGCAACATGGCGTGCGCTTCGGGTCTTGTCACATTCGTAGGCGACTTTCGCACAAGAGTTCGACACAAGTTCATTCATTTCTTTCATGCCGCTGAAGAGCATCAAGAGACAGAGGAAGAGCGTGAACACAACTTCCAAACCAAGTTGCATCGATACAACTCCTTTGCCCCTGTGCGTCATGACTCTCAAGTCAAGTTTTACATAGACGGTCATGACTATTGCTGGTAGGTTGCTATACGCTACTTGCTGCACATTTTGTATCTAACAGGGAATAGGGCTGTGTCCGAGGCAATTGAAAGTGCAAAGCATGTGATATTCATTGAAGACTGGTGGCTGGTAAGACCCTAATCGCACATTCATAACTTGTATTAGGATGAAATAACTGATCCATCCTTCATATAGACGCCTGAGCTGGTAATAATAAGGGAAGATGAGCATTGATTAATGATGCTGACTTGACGATGACAGTACTTGAGACGACCAGCATCCCGTTATCCAGAGTATCGCATTGATGCTTTATTGAAGCGAAAAGCTGAAGAAGGTGTCAAGATTTATATTGTTGTATACAAGGTATGCCATAAAAGATAACAACACTGAAAATAAGCTGACGCCAGCGATAGGAAGTAGAGGTGGCCATGACGTTGGATAGTCGACACACTAAGCATTGGCTGCAAGATCTGCATGCAAACATTGTTGGTGCGTAGTTTGGGTCGTGGAGTTGTAATGTGAGAGAACGTTACAAGACTCAGCTTGGATGATCATCTTCATAGTGCAACGACATCCGGACCATGCAATCGGCGGTACCTTTTTCTGGTCTCACCATGAGAAGTTTGTTGTGGTCGATCAACGAATTGCATTCCTTGGTGGCATTGATCTTTGCTTTGGGTAAGGGAGAAGTAAAGCGTAAAAGCTGTTGTCTTGTACGTGTTTGCTTGACCACTTCTTTATCGATAGCCGCTGGGACACCCATACCCATCAATTGGCTGACTTCCAAGGACCAGAGCAGAATATGAGACTTTTCCCAGGTATGTAGAGCTTGTACCTCTCGTTCTGAATTTGAGCTCATGCAATTGAAATAGGCCAGGATTATAGTGATGCTCGCGTGTGCGATTTCAAGGATGGTAAGTGTATCTTGTACGACTCGACAGGACCGTTGGTGTGACAAACATGAAATTACAAGCTGACGAGAGACGTCATTTGCAGTTCAAAATTGGGATATGGTGCTAATTGATAGATCCATCGTTCCACGTATGCCATGGCATGACATGTCGCTGTGTATGGTAAGAGTATTGTCACAGTGATCTATTCCAGAGTCTGACTTAGCTGAATATAGGTGGGTGGACCTGTCTTGGATGTATGCCGTCATTTCTGTGAGCGATGGAATTTCATCAAACACGAAAAAGCTTTGGATAAAGAGCGCGTGCCTTTTATTCAGCCTCCTCTTGGTGGTTTCAACACTTATCAAAAGTTCAAACTCCCAGAGGCTGATGACCGTGGCCATCGTCGCCATCGATTTGAGCCTGGAACGCGTGGTGTCAAGGGTACATGTCGCACACAAGTACTTCGTAGCGTTGGTGAATGGAGCATTGGCTTGGAAACCGAAGTAGGTGATAGGTTCAGTAATTAATGCGTCTGCTTATCTCACACGCTATCTCCAGCATTCTATCCAAAACGCTTACATTGCTGCCATCCATGATGCCAAGCACTTTGTTTACATTGAAAACCAGTTTTTCAGTGAGTATTATTATACTTTTGTACTCAACACCTTTGCAACTAAGATCTAACCATATCCCAAAGTCACTGCAACTGAAAAAGATGACAATGATATCTTGAAGAACCAAATTGGTCAAGCCATTGTCAGACGTATTATTCGTGCACACGAAGAGCGTGACAATTTCAAAGTGATTGTGTTGATGCCTTTGATGCCTGCTTTCCCAGCTGATCTTGCTACTAAGGAGGCAGCAAATGCACGGTAAGTTGACTAAAACAAAGGACATATCTGAAACGGCTATTTACCTCGTGGATCATTTTAGCCTGATTATGTACTACCAATATGTGTCTATCTGTCGCGGTGGAAAGAGCATTATGGAAAAATTGGAAGCTGCAGGTATCGACCCCACTCAATACATTCGCTTCTACAGTCTTCGCAGCTATGATCGTATCAATCGTCGAAAGATGGAGGAAATGTTGGTACGCGCTGCAGGCTACTCATCCGACGTGACACAAAGCCTGGAACAACAAGTGGAAGCGACAGCTGTCAGTGAAGAAGGAGAAGCCAAAATCAGGTGGTCGGCAGAAGTATATGATGCAGATTCCTGCGTCGCCTCCGATTCTATTGCTCACTATGCTATGAAGGATGGCGGTGACTTGATGAAGGAGCCATGGATCACTGATACATCTTCCTCAGCTCCACGTGATGCTGCTGCTGAACGTGAAGAACGTGAGGCCTATGTCTCGGAAGAATCTTACATTCATGCCAAACTCTTGATTGCAGATGGTTCGTCGTTATTGTTTTTTTATCATTCAGCAAAGAGATAGAAGACTGATGAAATTTTATAGACCGTTTGGTGATTATGGGCTCAGCCAACTTGAATGACAGATCCCAATGTGGCGATCGTGACTCCGAAATCGCACTTTTGGTAGAAGATCAGGATATGATCCCATCTCGCATGAATGGTCGTTATGTAAGTTTAGTTATAGCCTATTTCATCCAAGACATGGTTGCATGTAAGCTCACCACTTTTCGTTATCTACAGTATGAAGCCGCTAAATTCGCAGCTACATTGCGTCGACAGCTATGGAAAGAACATTTGGGCTTACTTCCCCATGAACCTGCTGATGAAGTCAACGATGCAATGTTACCACTTCCCGTGCCACAAATTGACCATACTGGTACTGAGGAAGATCGTTTAGTTATGGATCCCTTAGGCGAGGATACCCAAAAGCTATGGAATTCCACAGCCAGAACTAATACTGAAGCCTTCCGCAAGGTGTTCCATTGCGTTCCCGATGACAATGGTAAACCCAGCTTTGACATGAGTCAAACGTATGATTAATACTTTTTGTTGTATTAGTGACCACTTGGGATGAATATCACTCGTTCTATCCTGACCAAAACAAGACCGATATTGGACACATTGCCGACAAGGAGATGCCTGTTTCTGTTATCCGACAAGAATTAAGCCAGATTCGTGGACATTTGGTGGAGTTCCCTACCAAGTTCCTTGAGAATGTGGATATGAAAGGAGAATCCATTCCTTTCCTAAGCGATGCTGTTCAAGAGTTATACACTTAAATTATTCGAGGATGCAATATAGCAAATGTTACATTGAGCCATAACAAAGTATTGATTCATATGATGAGCCATTGAGATTTATTGGAAAATGTTATTGTTCACCTACATCTATTGTCCGCTTCTAATATCCACCATGCTTTTATACATGCATAGAGAGATAATCCAAGTCCACTTCAACACCGATTGGCCGAGTACTTTGTACACCCAACCAAACAGGGCAGAATAGCTGATCAATTCCGTGTTATGGTCACCTTGTTTCAAAGAGAAAAAAAGCACACTGGCGTATTCGTTGCTTTTGGGAAGTATGTCTGGTTAGAAAATAACCACGCTGCTTACAGTACTTTCGGCAAAGGCGCTCTTTCGCGTAGTGATCCCACATGGCTTCAACGAACACGAGCTCTGACAGGTCAATCTAAACACTCTACGATCTCACTACAAGCACGCAGCTAATGCGACAATATTACAGCACAAACTACAACTAATGGCAACGAGCTACAGTATCTTGAACAGCTAACTGTTAATCGACGAAGGCAACGACGCGGGTTACAACAAAACGAGAGCGATGTGGAACGAGCGAATCGAGTCCTCGACGCAACAGGCGATCGCAACTTTGAAGAGTATCGGCTTGACTTGTACGAAGCGTTTTATCTTTTGTATGCTTTGGATGCGATCCATATCAATGACCCTAGCCGCCAATTGGTAAAGTGATTCGATATCTATTGATATCTTGTAGAGCATGTGCATTGACTTTTGATTTTGGTAGAAGCAGCTATCCATTGATGATTGCTGGATGCAATTCAACCGGTGCGTTCCAGAGTTTGCAACCCATTATGCTGTCTACCATTACTATCGTACTCTTGGTTGGGCACCAAAGCAAGGATCCAAGTTCGGTGTGGATTATGGTTAGTGGGGATATAAGATATAAGGAGAATCGTCCTTTAACATTGTCTGCGTACTAGTGCTCTATCGTTCGGGTCCTAGGCACATGCACGGAGATTTCGCTGTGAAAATTATGCATCCTAACGAGTCATACGATTGGCAAACACTCCATCAACTCGCCCGAGTTTGTACTCAAGTGAAAAAGACGCTGATTCTATGCTATGCCAAACCTCCTACTTCAACGACACATCCAAGCTGCTTATCCGGTTTTGAGATACGAGAATTAATAATGAAGAGATGGTCACCTGAAAAGAATAGAGAAAAGTGGGTTAGATAGTCTACCAAATTCCATAAAGCGGTCGTCCAATTTTTGCTTTACAAGGTTTATTTATATGATGTCTATTGAATACCAAATCCTGCAAAATTGAAGTATGGTTTCTTCGATGATTGTATATAGGCAAGAGATGGCAGAGTGCTGAAGGCGTTCTAATTACTGATCTCGATATCTAAACCAGTGATTTGATTCCATGCGTCAATGTATCTAATACGCATACAAGTTAATAATAAGGTATCTCATCCAGCAATACGCATGTGTCAACTCACTGCTGAGGATCCCGAATATGCTTTTCAATAAAGCCAAACTTAAGCTGTATTTCACCCGAGACATTGTTTTTTTCAGCACGTTTGCCAAGAGTATACCATTGCGGCAAGTTGGCAGGGTCGCTGAAATGGCGGGGAATACCTCCTGAAATGTCATTATTGTTTCTGTCAAAGCAGTTCTTGAAGGGTATGGTTACTTCGCCAAGGAAGTCACGGCCAAAAGTATCTTTGTCCCAAACGGTAACATTGAAGGATCGAGGAAGACGTTGTGGATCAACAGTGATATCGAATTCGTAGTCCCACCTGGGGTCGAGGGTTTGCTTGATGACTTTTGTTGTATACTTCTTCTCGCTAATAATCGATTACTATATTGAGCTTTCAACCCAAATTGATTACCCATCCTCCTCCACATACTTAACACGGACTACTGCGTATGGATCCGAGAGGCCAGTCTTATCACTATAAGTGGCCACAACAATGTTATTTAAGATTTGTTTTTGTGTTTGGCGAGAAAACAAAAGATAGAACATCCAAAAATCATTACTTACGCTGCTGCAAGGTTACGTGCACCGACCACACTTATGCGTAGTTGAAGATTTGACATTGGCGAAATGGTGATTGAGATGTTAGAAAGAAAAGGGAAGGAAGAAGCGAGAAAGGCTGACTATCTATGTAAGCATGGACAGAGTTACACGGGCCAAAAATAGAGACACGTGCCTTGCTGCCTCTCAGTATCACCTCTCCTTGGTTTCACAAAAAGCTTTGCCTTGACCTGACAGATCCGTGAACTCTTTCTCTCTTCTTCTTCACATCCCTTTTCCTCCTTTGTTATACCCAATTACACTTTGTCCCCATTGAAATCTCAGCCATAATGCTGTTGCAACATCGCATTAACATATTGCTCTTGATCTTATGGATGTTGGCTTGCACAGTCATAGCTCAAGAAGGTATAGCGGAGGAAACGAGAAGTTCATATGCCATAATGAATTAACGAACACGGGTTAGATACCGACGCTGAGGATGAAGGCGCTATTGCAGAACAACCGGATTCATCTTCAATTGACAATAAACAAGATGATAGTTATGGAGACGATGATCAAGTATCTACCAAAAATACCAACCAAGAATCAAGCAGCAGCAGCTCATCGGATACTACGGATGACGATGCACCTAATGTACCTGAGCCAGGGGCTACCTTGCAAGGTGCCGACCAATCAACATCATCCGACTCGTCCACGCCATCCGACAAGTCAATGCAGCCCCAATCTACTACTGATGCCGACATGGTTCAAGCTGATAAAGGTGATGGCGATGACATTTCGCCAAGCCCTTCTTTATCAGACCAAGATAATCTCCCAGTTGTAAATAATCAATCTTCACTTCAACCAAAATTCAATGTGAGTGAGTCAACATGTACAGCGCTCAAGCAGCTGTATAGCGGATTGAGCGGCAAATCTTGGGTTATCTCAACTGGATGGTCAAACGGCAATATGACAAGTTGTTGCGACGGCTGGTATGGCGTTACATGCATACATGGTGCTGTTACTAAGATGTACGACAAACAAAGAAATGTTTACATGGACTTTATTCCTAGATTAACTTCTCTTCAAAAAAAAAAACCTCCATAGTGATCTTCGTGGCAATAATCTTGTCGGCTCACTTCCAAATGTATTTGATAAGCTACCTCAATTGGCGAATCTGTAAGGAATTCCACGTCCCCCATAGCTCGCTTCATCTGGCATCAACCATCCATCAGCGGGGTTTGTATGCCAGGGCATACCATATCAACCATGAACTTTCTACCCCAGAGTACATTAACGCGATATCCTTAGTGACTTGAGCAACAATGCTATCACTGGCGCATTTCCTTCATCATTGCTCAGCATGGAATTTCTTCGATACTTGAAACTTGATTTCAATCATTTTAGTGGTAGCTTACCCAATTTCGCATCTATGCCTGCATTGACTAGCATGTAAGTCCGACAATGAGAAAGCTGCATACTTAGCATAGTTAATCATCATCCTTGTAGTCATTTGAAGAATAACTCTTTTTCCGGTGGTGTTCCCGATTCCTGGGGCAATCTGATGGCATTGAAAGGTAATACCCTACAACAACAGTCTCCAAACGTCATTCTTTTTTGGCTCATTTGAATTGGCTTAGACATATACCTTAGTAACAATAACATCACTGGAAGCTTCCCTGTATCTCTCTTACGGCTGTCTAGCCTAGAAAACTTGTAAGCTTACATTGGAATGATAGCACCGATAACCATTAACGTTGGTGCAAATCCAATTAGAGCACTCGATAACAATGCCTTGAGTGGTATGCTCCCTCAATCTATCGGTAGCTTGACAGCATTGCATACATTGTAAGTTTGGTTAACCATGCAATCTACAAAGGAGCTATCCGGGTGGTCTAATTACCATGATATACATTATAGCAACCTCAAAGGAAATCATATGCTTGGAAACATCCCGGATGGCATCGGCAATATGACAGCACTCACGAACCTGTGAGACATGTTCAAAAGGAGTGGCTAATACCCCATATAGCTGACCAGTCACATATAGGTTGTTATCGCACCAGATGCTAAATGGAAGCATTCCTGAGTCAATGTATAGACTTGAGAATCTAGAATATTTGTAAGTGCGTAAGTAAGCACCTGCAAGTGGCGTTACTGAACCAAGATTTAGAGATCTTTCGAATAACAGGCTCACAGGCAAAATCTCTCCTCAAATTGCAAAATTGCAAAATGTCAAAAAACTGCAAGTGTCTTTTTTTCGTTGCATGTGATAGCATAGTCATCACTCACATTTTTTTGAAAATAGTATGCTTGGACATAATGCATTGACTGGAACAATTCCTGACGAGCTTGGACAGCTTGTCAATCTGGAATTTCTAACGCTTAATTACAACCAGCTGAACGGCCAATTCCCTTCTTTCATGGCGCCCCGTCAACTTGGCTATTGCTATATGACCCCGAATCAGTTCCAGTTATGCCCAGACGAGAAAATTGCTACTAATCCAGATAGCATGGCTTTCCAATGTTCAGTACACTGCGCCAAAGTTGGCCCCCATACTAGTGACGCGAATCACAGCGGGGTTCTTCATTCATCAGCTATTTTACCATTACTTCCATTTACATTGGTCATTCTCTTCGTCACTGCAAGATACCATGCATTGTAGCATCGAATACAATTTTTTCCACAATGACAAATTAATAACATACCAAATTAATCGTATGGCCAGTTTAATGAAATGCTACTGTGAACATGGGCGGATATAAGTATATGATAGGATTTGGTTTTTTGGTTGACCCAAGATTGATAATGTAGATGAGAAAGGGCTAACTATGAAACAATAAATACCACGACGTGTTACATTCATATGGATGGGTGGGTAATCTTTATTGATCATCGGAATGAAGGAATCCAAGAAGATCGCTTGTCACGTGTTGTGGTGGCCGATACCGCTGAAGCAGGCGTTAATTCATCTTCCACAGCTGCGCCACGTCCTCGCAAAGGTTTCGCGATTCGTCCAAAGTTTAAGGCCATCCCATTCTGTGATTTGGCTGATCTGGCATGCTCCAAACGTTCACGCACTGTATGGAGCTGTTGGTCAAACCTATGCATAACGATGTAAATAAACATGACGTTTTTAAGTGTTTGTTGTACGAGGGAGATGCTTACTTTTCATTCTGCGTAAGTAGTCGTTGTTTAGCCTCTTGCAACAAATCCTCCAGATTTTGGATACGTTCATTTCTGGCCGATAGCTTACGATCAGCTAATGCTGCCTCCCGCTTCAATTGTGTGTTTTGCTCCACAAGCTGACGTTGAACATTGGTCAATTGCTCCAGGTTACGTTCCAAGAAGGCCATCTTCTTTTGCTGTGCCTTATTGTTGGTAGCTCTTAGCACAGTGTTGTATTGCTCACGGGTTTCATCCAAGGAGATCTCGAGTTCCACCACCCGTTCACATCGGCTTTGTAGATCACGCATGAGAGCTTTCTTCATTACTTCAAAGTCAGCCAGCTGTTGCGCCATAGATTTACGCATCCGTTCCAAATCCTTTTCTTTATCTTCAGTCGACGTGGTTGTCGCAGATGAGTCTACTGCTGCCTTGCGTTTCATAATCGCAGCCTGCAAGTCATCGTGTACTTGTTGAAGTTCCTTCATTGTAGCTGATAGCTTGTCCTCCTCATTCGTTTTTTGCTCAAGCTCTTGACGCAAATCATTGATCTCCCGCTCTTGCATTTCTTTTTTCGCCAAGTACTGCGACTCAAGCTTAGCCTAAATAAAGGGATCAGTATCATCAAGTTGATCAATATAGTAAAAAACAAGTTTGGTACTTACCTTAAGTTCAGCAATTGTATCTTCAATATTCGCATCATGCTCTTCATCCGCAATTGTTTTGTCTAAAAGCTCTTCGTATTCGCTCTCAAGTGTCATTAATCGGCGTTCGAGTTCGCTGCTCTTTGTTGCAAGTCCCTCCTTATCTCGATTTAGATTGTGAATGGTCTCTTGATGCTTTTCCACCACCGCTTTGCATTCAGAAAGTTCTTGTCGCAGCACAGCCAGTTGCTCCGGTGACATGGTATAGTCCTCAATATTGTCATCATCGACAAGTGTCTTTGTGGTATTGTCTGCAGGGGACTATATTTAAACAACTCACATCAGTATCCGAGCTCCCATTGTGTATGGATATTCTTACCAGCTCTTGTTTTTCGGCTTGATCCTCATTGTCCACCTTGGTCGCATCTCGAACTTGGGCCAAAGTCTTTCGAAGCTCCTGTAGCTCCATATCCAACTCTTGATTTGCTTCCTTGAGCGAATCCACGTTGATTGTACTCTCCTTGTTCTCGTATGTAACTTTCTCCAGTTGCATCTTGACCTCGCTGAGTTCACTTGTCATCTGCTGATTCTCTAAGCTGTACTTTTTGTCGTGCTCTTTGAGTTGACTTAATTCGTTTTGCATATCTTGTAACTGCTTCTCGCGACTTGCAAGCTCTGTTTCTTTCTCTGAAATCTGCTCAACGAGTTCCTGTTCACGCTTCACGAGCTCTTCACGCTCACTTGGATCCAAGGCTGCAGGGGCTGGGGTCGAAGGACGAGAGGACGATGTAGAGTCGGCTGCGCCAGCATCAGTGATGGCACGGGCTGCTGGTATAGGTACATTGTTCTTCTTATCAGGAGAAGCCCACTGCGCTTCGGGAACCTTGCCACCTGATCGCCATACAGTGATTTCACCTTCAAGAGCCGAGATGTATTGTTGATATGATACAGTATCACTTTTGACTTTTTTGAGCAAAGCCTTCAATTCAGCAGGTGATAGATCAGCGTTGACCTTGGCTTTGTTCTTGATTGTCTTGGCACGCACACCGAAACGCAAAGTTGATACAGTCTCTGCTTCGTTATAAGATGAAGGCGAGCAATTGATGATAAGTGTTGTGCGTGAATTGCCACCGAGAGATTCTTGTAGGATACGTGTCAACTTGGAATCACGATATGGAATATGGCTCGACTACAAACATAAGCTCATGTAAGATTTCTCGTGTACGGCTTAAATCAGGAATGGATATGGTACCTTTCCATCCGTAAGGGCGTTAATAACCATGCCAAGTGCAGTAAGAGATTTGTTGATCTTCTTGGCTTCTTCAAGCGTTTGTCCAGAAGCACCAGTCTTGCCCACTTTTTCAGAACCAGCAAGATCCACCAGATAAAGCTTTCCACTCTTGGCAGCACCAGTATCCACATTCTTTTGCGTAATAGTAATCATTACAAGCGAATGACTTCGAGAACTTTCGGCATTCATGTCTATATAAAGAGTAGGTAAGCTTGATGCCATGGCCTGTAAGGTAGAGAATATTTACTTGTATATGCTACCACTCGATTGTTGCTACCACGCCGCATTACTTCATAGACTTCCTCGGTAGACGAAACGTACACTTCAAGGACACCCTTCACATAGACGCCTTTGACTTTGTCTTCATGGATTGGTAAATTATCATGCTGGGCTGTATCAATGATGAATAAGTGTATGCAATTCGATAGAGATAGATAAATAACATACGATTCAACAAGTCTCGCACTTTCTCCATGTAAATTTCCATGTAGGAAACCTTGACTGTAAACTCCATGTTTGGTGGTGATTCCATGATGCTTGTAAAGATCTGCTCGACGATACGGGGGATAATGCCTTTGTTTTCATGATCGTCGATATCTGATCCCTATCCAATTATGAAAAGTTACTCTTGAGCACATAGATGAGTGATATTCCTTATAATATCATACCATCATCGTATATGTTTTACCGGAACCGGTTTGTCCATAGGCAAAGACAGTACCATTATACCCAGACACAACATCTAAAACACAGGGTGATATTAGCATCTTTGCATCCAATACAAGAGTTTTCCCTTACCATCGACAATGGATTTGATGGAGTAGTTGAAGATGTCTTCTTGTCGTGTCTTCCAGCCAAAGACTTTATCGAATGCATATGTTTGCTTTACGTCTTTCCCCTACGGTGAGTGAATAAGTGAAACATATCGCGGCATAAAAAGGATGTGGAGGAACTTACATTAAGCTTGACAGAAGTTCCTTCGTCATCAATGTCAATGATGGGCTGACCGCCTTCTTTGATTTCAAGCTTGTTCTGCGGTCGGAAGCGACAAACCACCTTGATGTTGTTCCCTGACATTTATAGCTATGATGAGGAGAATACTTTGTGTCAAAATAGGCAAGCATAAAGTACTTTATCTATACGGACCTTTTGCAAATAGAGCCTCTTTACAACAATATTTGTGTATGAGAGATAATATAGAATTGAATAAAAGGAAGACTGAAGGAGGGACGAGAAAGAGGAACAGCTCGGAGCAGCGTCCGGTGTCGTACCGCGAAAATCGGAAGTTGCTAACAAGCCTGCAGGCACCTGTTTTCAATGGCTGACAGCTCCTCGTGATGATTGCTACCAAGCTGCATTTGCTAGGCCATATGCTTAGCATACACGATTAATAACATGTTGGACACTCAAGCAACCATTCTCTTTGCCACCAGAAGTAAAATGAGAGAAGTTTGCGCAAAGAAGCTCTGTAACATCAGCACGTGCGATTCCGCTGTTACACACACAGCATAACTGATCAACTGATGGGTTATCTTTCATTGCCTGTCAGAATGTAAATCTTGATACGATTGTATGGATATCTCGAATGCAAAGATAAACTACTGATGTAGTGGTGCCTACATTAACAAGATACAGCACCACAACCACACGCACACAATGCAGAAGTGATGGGACAACCCTTTATTCTTCTTGAGAATATATTCATAGCTTCTCCTCAATATTCAATGACATGATGCCTGTGGAGCTCTGTGTTGTATGATTGTGGAGGCAAATGAGCTAATCTAAAGGCCAAGCATGATACAAGATGTGTTCAATATCAATGTCTAGTAAAATGTTGGACGCAGCTGGGATTGTTAGAACTTTGTCGCCAATAGCCGAGCAGCGTGTATGTCTTTAACTTTCAACAGATCGATCGTGGCGTTTTCGCGCACCAAGAATGAAGGTATAGTATTCATGTTGTCAGCATGCCTTGGTCCTTGGGAACGCAAGTTATTGAATGGACATATTAGACGTAGAGCAACTGGTACCGATCCAGCTGGCTTGTCCTCGCACAGGTACTCCTCGATCTAGCGCAACTCGGATTTGCAACAGCTGATTCAACCGTTATGGTCTTTCAGGCAAGCCCATGCTGTATCTTCATGACGTTGAACGTGGTGTGCTATACGAACTACAGAAGGTGGTTGGTCCAGGCCGAAAAGCCTGCTGGCTCATGGATAATCAGTTGCACAAAGGTACCTTGCTCTCACCAATAGAGACTCCACGCAGCTAATACTGACATGTATATGTATTAGATGGATCAATACAGTTTATTTCACCTATCGATCCTTTATTTATTGCTCTTCCTATCTTGCTTCGTGCACGGGAGCAGGTACGTATTAGTCCCTGCAATTTTTTATCATCCTAACATCCACCCTTAGTCCGAGGGCAAGTTCCGCACCATAGATGACATGTTTGGTTGTGAACAGGATATGCAGCACCAAAAACTATTGGATCTAGCTGGTTTCGAGGCTCAATTGGGGCATATTTGTGATATTCGCGGTAAGTGACTCTAGTTGAATCCACTAGCTGAAACTAATATCAATCTAGACGTCTCACCCGAATTAAGAGCATATCGCCTTAACGATGACAAAGTGTTGGTGTGGCTCGTGAAAAAGATGGAACGCCTACTGCCTGCAATCCCATCCCTTATAATCGACGACATCAAAGAAGATCAAAAACAAGGTACGTTCGTCCTTGGGGTTTGGTTGATCTACCTGATAACTTAATTTGTTTTGCTCTTTTTCTAGATGTCTATCGACAAGAAGCAGTGTATCTCTTGGCTAAATATGTATCAGAATCGCAGCTCAAGACACTATTACAGCATTTGGGGTATAGAGAAGAAAGCAATATCTTGTATTTTCTATGATCTAACGGTGATTTCTTTCTTAGTATCGAAGAGATAAAAGAGGAAACAGCTGATATTACAAGCTATTTTGTGGATAATACAGCATCCTACTTCAAAGCTTCACATTCTATGCCAAAATCCCACGATGATGGAAACACGCCTAAGAAACCTGAAACACCAAGAAGCTTAGCAAAAGTGAATACCCGAGGAATGAAGCCTTTGACGAGCTTTTTCAAGAAGAAATAACATGACCACTATTCTTATCTTCGGGTGCTAGTAATAGTACGAGATACATGTTCCAATAAAAAATTAGCATGGGGGCATTTGACCGGGTTCCTTGATAGTTCTTTTGTGGTACATGCATGAGGAGGCCAGTGACATTGAGGCCAAGATAAAGAATCGCAGTTGACCTTGAGACATTGTAGCCTATTAGGATCCATTAGCTTTAACACAAACAATCACCTGTCTTATGTCCTGAACGTCTTTGGTACTTTTTCGGATGAGACTTGATCACTACATTAAACTACAAATGTCACGTGCCGATGGCATGATTCGGGTATTTGAATGGAACCGGACCCTCTAAGGTATCAAAGGCAATTATTGGAATCATGTAGCATGATGGGACAATGGAGGTGTTGTTTTATGCATGTAGGATATTGGAATTTATGATAATAAAGTATCGAGCTTAGCATGTGAAGACGCGAAAGAGCAAAAGCACTGATTACTATCTAACCCCTCTTCCTTGCCATAAACACCCTATCAGTCATAACATCAAATACGATCAATTTATGGAATAAAGAGCGGCTAATTACACATAGTAGAAAGGTCCACACTGACGCACAATATCAAGCATTCATGCAAAGGCAACACGTGCGACGTGCCGCCGATCAGCATCGCTGTTATGCCTGGTTGAAAGTTTAGAGCTCAGTGAATTCGTCCTTTTACAGATTTCAAAAGTGCGCCCTCCATGCTTCACTATGGCTCACGTGGCTCACGAAACAGTACTATCAGAATGCATGTCGTCTGAAGTAATCAGCACTATAAAACGACTCGAGTGTCAACTTACACAGCTGCGGTATGGTGTTCTTGACAGATGGCAAAGAAATTCACAACTCAAGCAAACAACTATATAGCAATGAGCAGTTTGCCCTAGCCCAATTACTCGCTGAAGCCGTTAACGTAAACAACCAAAATGAGGAAGAACTTTTAAAAGTAAAAGAAACGGTATGTTTTATTGGAGAACCCCCAAGAAGCTATACATACTAATGAAGCGAAGATGGCTAGGATATCCAAGTATTACACAAAGTTGTCATCTCTCCGGTCCACGATGGCATCGCTGAGTACTCATGCTAATCAACTTCAGCGACGTGCTGAAACGCTCAAACGCGTCAAGATTCAACACCTTTCTCAAATCGATGATATTCGGCACGCTGAACAAGCTCGTGATCAAGCTATTGCAGCTAAAATGAGTGAAAACACTATCTCCACGGCAACAAGATCAGTATCTGAGGCAACCGTGGCAAGAAAAGCAACAAGCGAAAAAGCCAAATCCTCAACGACCACCAATACGATGCCTGTGAGCAAGTTAAAAAAGAAGAAAGCCAAAGCACGCGAAGTAAAAATCGCTGATGAATCATGGTCTCCTTCACCCTTGCGCAAGTCCAAGTCAAGCATGACCAACTAGTTCTTTGTATTCGTTTGTAATAAAAAATGTCCTTATCTTTACTCATCACATTATAGCCTTCATATTTGATGACAGCAAGTGAGAAAACTGATGTAATATATTTCTCAGGAGTTATAAGATGAAATGAAAATGACTAGATTACAGATACAGCGATGCAGCGAAAATGATATCTCTATGGATCTTGTTGATGCCTTCCGAAAATTTGTTCTCCAGATCAGTGTTACCGATACTTCTTGCAGCAGAACACATTTGCCTCAACAGCTCCTCGAGTCGCCGAAAGATACGAATCAACGAACCTTCATACACCTCGGTCATTTTGCATATTTGGGAAAACTTTGCGCCTTGACACCATGCATATACGACATCCATCAATTCAGGTTTGAACTTTTTCACATACTCTTCTTCATCAATGTTCATCTTGCATTCTTTCGCCACCTTTGCAATGCGTCGAGCTGTCTCTTGCATGAGTCGTAATGGCCCTGATAATTCTTCTTGCATGCGTGCTGCATTCTCCACACGTTCATCAAACACAAAGCAGCTGAGCAGTGATACTGTCTGTTCCACAGTTAGGTCATTGAAAACGTTTTGAAAAACCATCTCCGTCAACAGTAGCTCGTCTCCTGTACTGATTTCGCATGCTACACGACCTTTCATCTCAACAACATCTGAGGAAGACGTGAATCCGAGCCTAATATTAAAACATTTAAGTACGCCTATCGCATCCAACCAAGCGATCAACCTACCTTCGCATCACTCGCTTCCGAGCTTTGAGTTCATCCAGTTGCACAATTGATTGGGCCTCCACAATTTTACGTTTCATGGCTTTACATTTGTTGATGAGATCCATCTTGGTGGAGTAGGTGTCGTAAAGGGCAGGAAGCTCCGGTGTATCATGTAAAGGATGTGTTTGAAGTTTCTTTTCTAGTGCTGAAATTTTCTACAAAGCCAATGAATAACAAGCAGCAAACAAAGCAAAGAATTACTTACAGCAACTAGTTTTTGAAAAGCCGTATCTTTGATGTTCATGTTCTCAACGGGATCCAGCAGTGGCACATCAGGGAACTTCTTCTTGACTTGTAATATCGATCTGTAAATGGATTTACGAGCATCCGAGCTTCGTAATTCCTTTGGAAGCACCAAGCGCACATGACTTATACCCTCAATGGCCGACAATGCTACTGGCACAACCTGTAATAAGGATAGTGGTTAATAGCTGAATACCACCATACACTCAATATGCTACTCACCAGTGGGGTTCCATCAGCATCAGGTGACGCTGGAGTCACGCCAATAGTCCTTCCCTCAGCATCCTTGGACAACGTACTGCTTTTGTCACAGTAAAGAAGGACATCGAGGATATACTTAGGCGGAGCAGGATCTGTATCATTTCGATTGTTGTGCGACTTGGCTCGAGAGTAATTCACTACAGCTCCCCAGCCGAAATCCATGTCAAGATGCTTGATGCGAACTAAACGACCAGGCTGCATAAATGGCAAACAATAAGAAGGATGGTTCACCACATCACGCACATCCTGCTTGTAACTCTCCAGTTGTTTGCGAATTTCATAGTAGCTTTGAATCTCGTCTTCTTGTTCGATCTTCACAGCGTCTCGCTCCTTCTCCAATAATAGTAATTCTGAGTGAATGCCATGATTAATAATTCCATCTTGATGAGATCATCTTCCCTCTTCCTCCCCTCTCTAATCTCTTCCATACCTCGCTGATATTGTGGGATGTTAGCATCGTTTTGGAAAGTATAGAAGCATCGCTCCAACATGAACTCTGGACTAATGCCCTCCACGCGCAACAGATTCAGCACCATGTTATAGCTGAGATGAAATGCAGAATTCATGCGATCCGATTCACCCTACGCATGAAATTAGTCAATCGTATCATGCCTACCAAGCATATCACGACCCTACCTTGACCATTCCTTTTGCAACGGCTGGTTCCATTTTTTCATCGATCATCATAATAACGACACCACGCTCGTCCAAACCTCTTCGTCCAGCACGGCCCGACATCTGAATGTATTCACCAGAGGAGACCTTTTGACAAAGAATAGATTAGCCGATCGTCCCGATAAAATTTCTTTTATCTATCAAGTAACCTACCCATCGTTGGGATTTTCCATCGTATTTCCGAACACTCGTGAACACAACAGTCTTAGCAGGCATATTTAGACCGATTGAGAACGTTTCAGTGGCGAAAAGGATCTTAAGCAACCCTTCTTGGAAAAGGACCTCGATAGTCTCCTTCATGATGGGTAACAGGCCACCATGATGAATGCCGATACCACGACGTAATAACGGTAAAAGCTGTTGTATCTGACTGAGCTGTCTGTCGTCCTCACTCAAGGATGAGATAGCATTGTTGAACACTTGATTGACCATATCTCGTTCATTCTCTATATTGTACATTATTAGAGCGGGTAACTTTTAGCAAGTGCTTGGCATTATCTTACCGTCGTTGAAATCCAATTTGCTCATTTGCATTGCATTCGACTCGCATTCACGCTTTGAGAAGCTGAACACGATAACCGGGTGATAGTTCTTCATCATGACCATCTTGATGATACGATATATATCAGATGGCCCGTCATTCGCTCCACCTTTGTACGCTTTTCCTTTTTTCCCTTTGCGTGATATGCCGGATGGATCATCGCCTTGCTTGTCAGATAACGCCGCAATCGCACGCTGAAAATTATCTTCCTTGAAACGGCTTTTCTCGTCTACAACCAAATGGATACCATCGCCACCAGCGGGGAACAGGTAGTGTTGCAAAGGAGTCGGACGGAAATCGGTATAAACGACATGACAAGGTTGCTCATGGATTTTACAAATCCATTCTGCAAACTCCATAGCATTGGGAATAGTCGCAGATAAAAAGACGTAACGGACAGCATGAGGAAGTAGAATAATGGATTCCTCCCAGACAACACCACGTTCTATAAGAACATATTAATACCTTGCCAGCGGATGTATCATCATATTTTACTTACCTGAATCTCTCATGTAATGGATTTCATCATATACAACCCATGCTACTTCACGCACAATCTCTGAACCTCGATACAGCATCGACCGTAAAATTTCGGTTGTCATGACAAGGCAGGAAGCTTGAGGATTGATAGTAACATCACCCGTCATCAAACCAACATCACCAAACTCCTCGGTAAACTCTCGATACTTCTGGTTCGATAATGCCTAACAACTATCATGTCAATGAATGTCTTTTTTTCAACGATTTGATGTTGTAATACCTTGATAGGAGAGGTGTAAATGACACGTTGTTTGTTCTTTAGACAATGAGCGATGGCATATTCTGCTACCACCGTTTTACCAGCCGAGGTGTGAGCAGAAACCAAAACCGATTCGTTTCGCTCGATGGAGGAGACTGAGACTCGCTGAAATGGGTCAAGCGTAAAAGGATACACACGTGCAGGATCTTTGGGAGGAACATGCTGAGAAATAGGGACATAATTGTAGTTGGGTGGAACAGCAACTTGATGGCGAACCTAGGATGAACAAACATTGACAATAAGCACTAGTGCTTTGTCCTATCGAATTTTTCATCCTTACCTGATGGCTCAGAGTTATCTGTTCTCCTTCAGCAGCTGGGGCATTCTGTAAACCAGCAATATTGGCAACTTCTCTTGAAGTCTCTTGCTCAAACGTATCAGCAACGATCGCTTGGACGTCTTCAAGGCGATGTCGTTTCGACGTTTCTTTTCCTTCCAAATCCTCGTCTCTTTGGCGCTTCGTAGTCGAATTGGTAGTCGCTGCTTCTTCATCAGAAACGTGGTCGTCGAAATCGTCGATGTTGGCGGTTTGGCCGTCAAAGACCCCAAAGATTGAATCAACGTTTTGATCGTCGTCGAACATAGATCTGGCTCCAGAGAAAAGGTGTCAAAACTTGACAAAGCGAAAAGATAAATTGTATTTGCTTCCCGCTCCGAATGGTCGAAAGTAGAAACAATCCTCTCCCTCTCCCACCTTCCTGAAAACCTACTTTGCTGTTGTACATTATATGTATATAAAGACTCGGGGAAGCGAATCCAGTTGTTGGATCTACTACTATAAGCTTATCAAGGTCGATGAATTCTTTCGGTGGTCATTGTTGTAGTAATTACAGAACATCGAGTTCAATTGCTACACAGACAACCTTAGGCAGTAGCACACTTTTTTTGGTTGTATTATTAAATACGAGAATGGCAGAATGTAACGACATGGAGGATGATGAATGCCTGGTACTATAATGACCAGGTAGTGTAGAGCCTATCACCGAGCTTCTACAGCATAACTAAATATCAAATGGACAAGAGAACATTCGTTGATTGGCTTCTGCTCATGTATGCATGCCATTTATTACCATGTGTGAACCCATGGATGATGACCACCTGCATCATATGTAAATGCTAACAATAGTAGGCTGGATGCTTTAATCACCTCGAAATTCCTTTGTGCTAACCTATGTAGCCCTGTGAGTGGCAAAGGTCATGTGACGATCATCATCCATCCAACAAGTGCCCAGAAGTCACACACATTTCTTCTACCCTAGTTCCTAGTTCTTCTCTGCTCCTCCTTTCTCAAGCGAATAATGTCTTCAGCAGCTTCTCCTTCCCGGCAAGCTGCCATAGCAGCTTATCGTAATCTCTTGCGTACACAACGTCAAGTGTTTGGAGGTATTTATTTCTACATTAAGATCGGTTAACGAGGAAATGAGAGAAAACACAGGAATAATTCAGCTTCTATCCAGAGGACATTCGAGCGATCCAAGGCATGCTGTTTACCTGAAACTCGGGGTATACGTTGACTAACATAGTTGATATACAGCTGCTAAGAAGGAGACACATTCTCGGTTTATGCAGTACAAAGACGAGAGCAACGTTGATGTTTTGGAAGAGGTACACACAACGCATGGGCTAAACGGGTGGGATAAGAAGACTCGCTAATGCTTTCAATTACAGAAATTGAAACTGGCTGACCAAGTCATCATGTTATTAAGACATAATGTGGTTCAAGGTATCCCTAAGGATGACAATACATTTGGTATGTTGTTGGTATACAAAGATTTGGTGGGTATTCAAGGAACCTCAAAGACTGATCTGTACACGAAGAATTACGCATCACCAAAGATACAGAACTTGGAGATAATGAATCGATCAAGCTGGCAAAGGGCAGTCATCGCAGGAACCGGAAAAAGGCTGCTGTCCAAGGATGCTGTGGAAGTAAATAGTGATTGAAAAGAGAGGATATCCCACCTAGTTCCTTCACACGTTCAACAGGACTCACTCAATGTAATGTTCATGTGGATTTACTATGTGCAATTTTTATAATGGGAAAAAGAAACACCAATATTATGCCATGTAATTTATTTGGATATATGAGGATGCTGGTGGATTGTAATCAAAGAGCTGACAGCTATCGGTATCCAGTTCGAGAGCCATAACTGATGCCACTGTGATTAGCCGACGTTTGTGTAGGCACAGATTCTTCCGCTTTGGTAACTAATGCAAAGTCTGCAATGATTGATCCAGGAACTTCGGCAGTGAACACAATGGGTCTGTCACTTCAGGTTAGCTTTACGATAATACTTTGCGATATGCAAGCAATAAACTTACTTCCCAGGTTCATCGAAATACGCAGATATAAGCCCCTTTGTTTCCATCGCATAATTGAGTGCAGTCTACAATACATCAAATCAGTGTTGCATTGTATATCCCTTTTAAACACCGTCACATTACCTTGAACTCTTTCAAACCAAAAGCCAGTTGGACATTCCTTCGAATAATATAGCTTGAAAAATCACAGCTGTTGATAGTGAATTCGCTGTGCATAGGCCGATCATTTGCTATTATGAGATTACTTAGAATAGCAGGATAATAGAGCAAATACCACTAAACGTTACATGATGATACCCCTTCGTTCCAATAAGACTTTAACTTGACAGCATCAGGCGTACATTCAATGGCCACATCGGTCACTCGAGGATGAAAACATTGAAGGTAATCGATAAAATAACCGGGATCAATCGAGAATCGATGTTGTGTTTCCTTAGTGTACAAAGCCTTTGCAGGGTCTGTCTCTCCATACCATAACGAGTGTGTCTTGGTTGCACCTATAGGAGACTTGGGATCAGATCAACAGTCTTATTATCATTGTCCTTGAATTTGCACTTACCGTCAGAGGCCACAAGTTTCAGTTGAAGGTGAGATTTGTCAGTACACTGGTCAAGGTGGCATTGCTGAAGCAACTCTAACATTGTGTTTTTACGAAATATGGACCGAATAGTCTTTAGAAGGATACGCGATCGTATACTATCTTGCTTGATCGTTTGCCCATTCACTAGCTGTGTTGGTCGATGCAGTTGATATTGGCCAAAGAACCGAGGTGAGATGCGAAAGAGTGCCTGACTCGTCATGGCCAAGTTGACAGACCAAAGAATGAGCTACATGCATAGAGGTTACGACATGAGCCAAGGATTTCGTTTCTTGCTGTTTGTAAGGTTACCTGTGTCTTTTTGGCCTCCATATGCAGCTCCTCCCCACAACCGGTCAAGGCCCCAAGCGCAGTAGAAAAGGCTTCGATCACATCAGTATGATCAATACATCATATCAATATACCAAGTATATGTACGTTTTATACAATCTTTCGGGATCTCTGCGTGCAAACTCATCACCAACAAGTAGAAATAGAAAAAGATGTGGATTGCAAACATTTCCCACTTCCTATGCCAAATGCACTTGCCAATTTCAATTCCAGATGGCGCACCCTGCTTTTGTAGAGATCGCTTCCTCGTTGAACATCAATAAACATGGCATGTCTCTATAACGGCTTATCAACAATGGAAAGGATACTGCTTTCTGATGTATCATATCACCATGGTTTAATACTCTGAGAACTTGGTTAGCTTCTATCGTAGATCTGCTTATTGCATTCATATGTAATCATACGGTTGATAAATAAAAAAAAGCCGATTGGGTATTCCTTTGCTGCATAGTATCATAACGTTATCGGGCAATGCTGTGCAAGGGTGTGAGGTGGCGAGTAGTCATGTTCGAACACGTATTTATCAATCATGATTCAAATGAGCTAAGCAGCAAGTTTTATGGCGCAAATTGTTCAATTCAAAAACCACAATGTTGTTCGTCACATGTTGCTGCATGTAATAACTTTTCCACATCCTTCTTGTCACTAGCTTTTCTCTTCATCCATCGGGTCCATGCTCTCATGCTTGACCTTGTTGTGTGAATCATTGTCACCGTGAGCTTCTTGTAAGATTTGTACGATGTCTCCTCCAAGATATTCTGTCCCACGGTCCAATGTAAGCCAATTTGCGCGTATGAAGATATTTGTAAAGTGTGCCACCCATCCTGGTTCTTCTTGTAAAGCATCACACCGCACTCCGCGCACGATCGTTTTACACATCCCACCATGCGTTAGGAAGTTCCGAAGGTCAGATTGTAGAACATCAACCAAGCGCGCCTTGCAGTTAATCCCGTTATTTCTATGCCAAGTGATAATATTTAATCACTGTGCCGGTAAGAGTGGAGTGATTCATACATGGTATTTGGCTGGGGATATAATACAAAGTTGATATAGCGATCATGAACGTAGCCCAGTTCGAACATGACCCAACCGACGTGTGTTTCTGCTGGTTCCATACAGGGTAAAAAGAGCTGCAGTCGGTCATTGCAGAGTGCGCTTTCTTATATTTGTGAACGCCCAAAGCACGTGCCAAACGAAACAAGCATTGATGCGTGAGTATGCATCTTGCATATGCTTTTGCTGGGAGATCAATTCATTCAGCTTGATATAATACCATCAACTCGGGTTCATGCAAGAAATAGGCAAAGGGAGAAATGAAGGGTTCCATTTATAGTTTTTCTGAAATCTCGTACCCCGTGCAGCTTTTTTTTCTCCCGCTCGTGGTTAAATTACATCAATGGAGAAAACACAACTATTGGCATTTTCTTTTCATCCCAGCATAATCGATAGTGTAAGTGATCCGTCATAGAAAGAGAAAAGCATAATACATTACTGATTGGAATAGAGTTCACAGTATAATGCCGATATCAGGCATAGCATCGCCAAAATCCTCGCGAAATAATGAGCGCACAAACAAGAGAAGACTTCCTTCAAAGAGAAGAAAAAGTGTCTCACGCCGCTACCGACAATGTCATGAAGCAAACTCTTGCAACAGCGAAGTCAGCTCATATGCCTCAGCTCCTCCTGAAATGCTGTCAACTCTTTCTTCTACGTTGTCAGAGGACTTTTGCACCTCAGAAGATGAAACTCTCAGTGATGTTGTTTGTCCCTTGAGATGTGGTAAGAAAAGAGCGAACTTGCTTTGGCAAGCAACCTTTAGCAATTAAACATACCTTTATCTTATCACATTAGAGCAAAGCAACAAACAACATCGTCCGCTTCCTGGCATTGCAGATCACGATGACAATGATTACGATGGTCAAATGAATAATCGAGGTAGTCCCGCGGCATGTATTTTTGTTGCAAGGTAAAAGGGAACACAATACATAAGGATATGTCAACTCATACAGAATACCCCCAAGCCTTGCCAAGGAAAAGTCTGACCGCGATCTCAATCGATCCGTCTGGAAACACTTTAGCCAATGGGGTAGGCTACTCCATGTCAAGGTTTTAAAAGATTGGATGTCTCGACCATATGCATTTGTCCAATATGCGGTAAGTCCAATGATATTACATACATGCACACATGATCCCTCGGTTTGATATTCAAACCTATTGTGTTTCCTCTAGCACCTAAATGATGCAACCATAGCCCTTGAAAATGCACCAGGAACACTTCTTGATGGCAGAAAAATCCGCTGTGAGCAGGCACGTGTCAATCGCACCATATGTATATCGAGCAACAACACATATATGCCACTGGAAAAAGACGAAGTTCGCAATAGACTATCGTCGTTTGGCAGTATCGAATCCATGAGAATGGTGGACGTTCCCACTGAACAAGAAATGAAGATGTACGCATATGTCAAATATCAATACCGCGACGACGCTATTAAAGCATTTTTGGTACGCGAAAACAGGTTTTCTTTTATCTCAAGGTAGTAGCTAATATGGTTCATTTGCAGATTCTTCGTGGCGATGCTGAACTCCGGAGCAAATGGTGCATCGATTGGGCTGCAAACCTAGATGTTGCCTCTTCAAACTTGTCGACCATCATCAGAAGTCCCCATGTTGCTCGTATCGGTGGAAGCAGCCATCATTCAAACGCCTCATACACCTCTATATCAAAAGACAGAAGCAGTATCTTTATTGGCAATCTATTCTCTTCTGTCACTGAGAATATCCTACGAGAACGATTCTCCTGCTATGGACAAATTGTATCTGTGCGCATTATCCGCAAATCGCCATTTTCAAAGATGAACCTCAAACAAGAGCGCGTCTTTGCCTTTGTCAAGTATGAGAAATTTGAATGTGCAGAGAAGGCTATTGCGGAACAGGTAGTGTGATTATTCGATCATCAATTATCACCCCCACTGATACATGGTCATCACAATGCACACAACAACGTAGAATCAAGCCATATGGAACGGGAGACAGTTACGAGTAGCTTATCGTGAGAATAAGCATTTTGGCAGACTTGAGAAAACTAGTCTTCAAGTGGATCGGCCCCATCCTCCTGGCGCAGGTTTTCCTGCCTCAATCTATCCGTATTTGTTGGGTACAAGCCCAGGTCATGTGCAAGAGACAAGTGTGCCACGCACAGACCATCGACATGCAAGCTCCGATGATGATCAATGCGCCTTGGAAACTCAGCCTAATGGCAACGCCAGCTTCGAAAAAAGAAGCCAACATCTATCCACATACGTTGATTACTGTTGTAGTTTGTCGGAGCATGATGGTAATATCCGTACAAGCCATGGTATCTCGCACCAATTTCATTCCAACATGTCACGTTTGGTATGTGAATATGAAGGGTAGTGAAAGCAGCAGACCAACTAAACACGATGTAGGGTATGGAGGCAAACAAGGATATTCGAGGTAGGTAAAATCCACCGTGATCATACATGTCTCTAATATTACTGCAAAATAATAGGAGACAACAGCATGCAACCCGCCGTGACCATGTACTTTCCCACGACAGGGTACTACAGTTATACTGCTTCAGGAACATATCCACTTGAGAATTCAGTGCCCATGGAGTATTATCTTCCACCTGCAGGAATACGAGTGATAGCACCACATCATCAAATTCCAAGCTCGTCTGGTTCTGACCGACGCCATAGCTGTTTTCCACATCCACCTATGAATCACTCTCACTATCCACAGTGGAGTAACGCCTTTTGTTACAACGGACCAACATTTTATATGGCGCCAACGATGTATACAAGTTTTCCGCTACCATTGGGAACCGACGCCACCGGGAATATGACTCATATAGTCTCGATTCCTTCGTCTGATTTGCCATATTCAACCATGGAAAAGACACCCACAAATGAGCATGCACTGCATGAAAGAACACAGTAATGGAGCACGTTATCTTTGTATCTACATAACAGGCACAATTATCGAGTGAGAAATTATATCACGTGTATCCCCAGCATAACTTGTTTCACATGGAAAGAGAGAGGTGAATAAATGTGTCTTTTCAGCAGATGACATGCAACGTGATATTACGCATATTGCTGCACCACCTGACAGCTCTTACACATGAGAGGACACAAGTTCTGTTTTCCTTCCACCTCTTTTTTCTTCTCGCTACTATGATGATCGTCTTTTCGACAGCTCCATGTTCCAAGCAGCACCAAATCCTCATTTCACCATATGGCATAGTCATCGATACTGATCCCTCCAACAATAGCTGGAATGGCCATCCCTTTATGCGCTTTATCCATACCGATGATCTCATACCATTCTGTGCTGGGCTCAGTGCAGCTTATAAACAGAGACATGCCGTCTGTACACAGCATCCTATTCGCTTTGATGCAAGAATACTTGACCCACAGCGCCAAATATTTAGTTGGCATGAGGTCACAGTGTTTGATTACTCCGAAAACTGCCTTCTGGTTATCGAGTCATTATCACAAAAACAGCTCAGGATGAGAGGCAACTGTGCTGATGATGCATCGTCTGGATCCTGGAAGCATCGACTACATGACCTTATCGAAAATGGTTTTATAATAGTGGTACATGCACTGCTATCCCTAGCCCATATTATGCATGAACATGGTTATCACTTGAAACCTTTTCGCCCTGACGTGGTGGAGCGGCTGCTAAATTTACTGGAGTGGTCTGGAGTTATCAAGGATATCGAAACGACACGATCCCTGCTGCACCATTACTTAGAGCATTGCAATTTGCGATTTATGTACCACGCGCTACGATCATATCACATGTAGAATCCATTCAGACCAGTAAGATGTCAATTATACAGTGAATTTAAAAGCACTTCGCTTGTGTTCAGCGCATACATGACCATGTTGTATATGTAGTTTGCATGAATTTCGAAATCTTAACGGGAAAACAGATATTAATTATTCCTATTCTTTGGCACGGAGGTATTAATTCACTCGTTTTATACTCGGATTCCACGCTATATCATCGTAAAGTTAGCTGCTTAATGCTCTGATCTATGTAGACCCAATGATATTGACTAACCGTGCCGAGCAAACCAAGAAAACTCTTCGCTCCAAACTCAAGCATTGTATCCAGCTATCGCGTAGTTAGTTTTATATATCATTAGTAAACAAGCACAAATAACTTATTACCTCTTTTTTTCCATCCTTCAACTGTGCAGCTTGGGCTAAGCGGGAATCGAGAAAGCGAGCAGTCTCAAAGAAATCAGTAGATTTGTCTTGTGTCATAAAGAGCTCCGTTGATGTGTAAATGGCTGCAAACCCTGCGCGGTTAATATACCAATTGAACTATAGTAGCGTTTTATGAGATAATCTATCCGAGAAAGAGAGACAAATAGGATCATACATCAGGGCTTCGGTCGCCAGCATAGAATAAGACGTCATCAGCCAGCTCAGCAAGGTGGGTAACCGACATGGGAATGTTACTAGGATACGCCATGATAGCCAAAGCCTAATAACGTGCATTAATATAATAGCAGCAAGCTACATCGTTCTACGTGGCCTTTTTTTACCTCTGACCATCTATGAGCATATGGTTTAAGAAGATCCAGACGCATGGCAGTGATCTTTTTAATCTTCTCTGGAGTGTTCAACCTTTGATGTATCATTAATTGCACGTATCCACAAGCATAATTCAATGATAACTTACGTCTTGAGTTCTTCATCATCGGTTAAAGCCTTTTCTACCATCGCAACGTGGTTTTGGCGACAATATTTCAAGAAAGCGTCGACAAGGCCTGCTTCCCCGTTCACAAACACACCATGTGCCACGGAAGGATATCCCAGCTCGCGTGCGCCACGTACAATACTTTCCATGGTCCAACCAAACTGAGGCACAAAAGGGAGCGTTGCCTTGAGCAATTTAGAAGCTGGATCGCTACTGCTAGACATTCAAGATAGTTAGCACTGATACTTGAAAGAAAATAAATAACACATACGCCTGTGGTTGGCTTTGTATTGTTGAAAGACATCGTCTTGATGTTGGAATACAAATGCGTTGGAGGATGGAACGTGTCAACATGGCAAAGTAAAACAACAACTGCGCGGTACAACGGCACAATATGGAGGGTGCAACAGAAATTGTTTATTGCATGGATTATTGTTGGTACTTTTTACTTGCCGCCCAGTCTATCAAAGATGGTGTGATCATCCTCAACGCTACCGCTAGATATCCTATCCTTGGCATCAATACTTCACGCTCCTGATAATCAGATGCTTCAATAATGCGTGTAGCCACAGCAGTAGGCGAAAGTTTTCCATTGACAGATCCTGTAATAGGGCCACATCCAAGATGGCCATCCACGGCTGATTTCCGTAAATCTGTGTCCACAGTGCCAGGGCAAACAACCCCAATATGCATTCCATACGTTGCTAATTCCATTCGAAGTGAATCAAAGAATCCGTGAAGAGCATGTTTAGATGCAGCGTAAAGAGCTCTTGTAGGCGCACCAATTTTTCCAGCCAGGGACGATACAAGGATGAGATTGGGTGCCTTTGAACTGGTCAAGAGACAGGGAATGACTTGACGAACAAGGCGTACAGACCCGAAAAAGTTTACTTGTGTAATACGCTCCATTGCTTCATCCACATTTCCATCCATAGTTTCTTCATGGCCTTCCTCCACCACCTGAATTGTACCATCATCGAGCTTTTGTATTTGATAACCACAAGCATCCATGAAATGACGCACTGAGATGGCACCTGCACAATAGATCACCGTATCCAGACCGTGTTCCTTTTCTTCTTGAGGTATGATAAACTTTGAATCGGTAATATCGCCAGCCAACAAAGCAACTCGTATAGCGCCTGCATTTTCACATTCTTTTTGTAACGACTCGAGAAGCTTTTTCCTTCTTGCGATAAGGATCAAACTGGCTCCTCGTGAAGCGTATTGTAGTGCAAGCTCACGGCCAATGCCGGACGAACAACCGACTAGCAGAACGCGTTCACCTTGTGCAGAAATTAATCTTCTTCGCCTCGTTTTGTAATGTCGAGTTGCAACGTAATAACGAATGAGTGCAGCGACGAACAAGCCGAGCAATATTCGCTGCATGGGAAAGATAGGGTTGCCATGTTTATGTGTGTTTTCTTTTATCGTCCGCTCGTGTCAGCTGATGATGAACATGCATAAATACGTGGCAAAGGTAAACACTTTTTTTCTTTTCCTTATCCCTACAACATGACAATTCCCCCACAAGACTATCTACGTACCCTTAATTCCATCCGAGACCGCTGCTATCAAGTTTATGAACAAGCCGCAAAAGGCGCACTTCAATATTTTGATGTGGATGAATCCAAGCTACCTGCAGTAGTAGACCACGTCATAGCCCTTGCACATCGCCGTTTCCCAGATATGGACGCCATTCCTCCTCATTCTCGTCTGCGTCATTTTGATCATGTATATCAAACATGGCGTGAAAAGACCGCCAAGGCTGATGACAAGATAGAACTTGCACGCAAACTCGTGGATTTGGTTATCGTGTCCGTTTTAGTGGATGCTGGTGCAGGTCCGGAATGGAAATACAAAACTGATAACGATAAGCTGGTGGGCCGTTCTGAAGGATTAGCATTAGCTTCAGTGGACATGTTCCTCTCTGGATCTTTTTCGAGCACATCTGTGCTTGATCAGGTGGATGGTATGATTGGCAACACAAGTAATGTTTATACACGCTAAATACCTGTCATTATTGGTTTACTAGCTGAAGGACTTGCTAATGTATCACCAAAGACCATGGCACAGGGTTTTCAGGTGACTGAATCGAATCCCATGGTAGGCTTGGAAGGACGTTCTACACTCCTCAACCGGCTCGGAAATACGCTGAAGTCCCAACCAAAGTACTTTCCTGCCTCTGGCTCATGTCCTACAAGTCGACCAGGAAATTTGATTGGTTTGTAGTAATACATACATTTGATGTATTGTCATGCTCAAGGTGTCTATTTTCTACCAGATTATATTCTCGCCAACAAGCAAGATGATGGAAGTATTTCTATTGATACGTTATGGGAAGCGGTCATGAGCCTTGGTAGTATCTGGCCAGCTCGCGTAGAAGTCAATGGAGTTCAATTGGGCGACGTTTGGCCTTGTCCTTGTCTTGGATCCAATATGCCCGATAATATTGTCCCGTTTCATAAGCTCTCTCAATGGCTCACATATTCTTTGACCGAAGTAATCGAAACAGCACTTGATATGCATGTTCATGGCATCGATAAGCTGACAGGTTTACCAGAATATCGCAACGGCGGCCTCTTTATTGATTATGGTGTATTCGTCATCAAGCCAGAACAAATTGAACGGGGTGGTGGGAACGGCTCAAACATTTTGCCCACATTTGAGGGGCACGATCCCTTGATTGTCGAGTGGCGTGCGCTCACAGTCGTGTACTTGGACAAGGTGCATAAGGAACTTGAAGCAAAATTGGGACGCAAACTCAAGCTTGCCCAGGTGCTTGAAGGTGGAACATGGACAGCTGGACGAGAGATTGCTGCTACACTTCGTCCGGATAATGCAGGCCCGCCTATCATCATCAAAAGTGATGGCACACTATTTTAGGATCTTTGTTGGTTTAAGATAGTCTGTGGAGAGCAATAAATTCCAGCAGCCTCTTCCGTGGGAATATCCATGGTCCTGTAGTTTCATGCAAATTGAACCCTAATTTGCTGTTCGCACCCGAGATAGGTAGCGTGGGTTACCCCCTATACAACATGCTGATTAGAATGAATGGATTGTGTTCATTTGGCTTTGTGCCAAGCGGCCAACTATGCTATTCATGCAAGTAAGAGATGATGGAAATGTGGATCCTGAACTACAGTAACTAGGAACCATTCTTTGTCTTAATGTACTTGTTTTACCTGACACTGGTAATCGAACAAAAACATCATGTGGCCCTTCGGATGTAAAGCAGTTGTGTGGTCACTTGGTGCGTCTTTCCACGTATCCTTCGTTTTCGATCCGCATAATATGCAACTTTTGTTCATTCACATACAATTCTTGATTAACGATATTGTAGTTTACAATTATCTTTTAATTTTATTATGCAAAGATGTTACTAAGAACATTTTTAACCTGGCTATCAATACCATCCATAGCTCTCTTTTCCATTTCTTTGCTATCCAGTGTAACTTCACGTTGTTTCTTCTCTCTCTGAGTAAACGTCCGGCGGATCTTTTTGGCCTCTTGATGATCTTGACCGTGCTTGCGCTTTTGCTCTTCCATACTTTTGTGCATTTTGGCACGAGCCACACTATCGAGATATGCCTTATTCTCACGCTTGACTTGTGCAGTCTCAGCCTGCAACTGCTGCTCCCGTGCTTTGCGTTCATATGCTACATAAATGGATAGTACATAGTTAACCCTTATTTACATCAAAATTGCCCATATTTCCTGTATACCTACCCATTTGTTCTGTAAGATGACGCCATTTGAACTTTGGGAGATACTTTATTGTCCAAGTGTCATGATAATAAGGGCTCTGTCGTCTTCCACCAATTTGTCGCATGTTGAGAAATTCAGCTAACGTCTTGGCTCGCTTCTTATCTTTGAATTCGACCCAGCCTTCTGTAAAGCGAGTACGTCGATCCCTGGTATATTTCTTGCGTCGTGCAGCAGTCCGTGCATCTGCCAAAAAAAAAAGGTTGTCAGTCATAGTACTTTCATCCTTTATAGCAAACCCAATTACCTTCGGTCTCGAAGAACACTCGCCCTACTTCAGCATAATGGCTTAATAGTTTTTTTACTTGCTGTGGAGTCATGAATGGTGGAATACGAGATAAGTAGCATACACCAGATCGTTTCTGCTCCTTTTCAAATTTCTCGAGCTCTTCTGGTGTCAGCTTCTTTAATTTGTTCTTCTTGTTCGCTCGACTGCCAGCGGGTTTGTTCATAGTATTGCTGTCAGATGATTGTTGCTCTTGCTCTTCCTCAGAATCATATCGTGAGCTGATAGAAGCACTGTCACTGATATCTCGTTCTTCTTGCTCGCTATCTGAGTCGTCCTCATCCTCGTCGGTATTGTCACCGGCAGTGTCCAACACACTTCGTACGTTTTTGTCTTTACGCAAGTGATGTGCTGGAAGTCGCTCATTTTGTTCTTGATCGCTATCGTCAGACACTGATGATTCGTCTTCACTTAAGCCAAGCAAATCGTGAGGTTTAGTTTCTTCGTCAAAAGCCATGTTGCTGTTCGATCGATCGCTGAAGCAATAGAAGAAGCACAATGATCTGAGTCAAGCCACCTATTTCTCGGAATTCAACTAAGCGGAGTCACATGCATGATGGCATGAAAGAAACCTGAGGAAGCTTGCCAATGAGTAAGAGTGCGAAGACCAATCGAGTGCTTCGGGTCAAAATGAAGGATTAAAGCAAAGCAATAAACACACATCAACGCGTTCAAACGTACTCAGCCTACATCTTTACCATCTATGAGCGAACATCTGCTGTTGTTTATTAAATTATTGGTTCCAAAGTGAATTCATATAGCGTTTATCACACATACATCTTCGAAGAGAGGAGTCAACAATTAGGATATAAAAGACATTTATTCATCACACAAAGAGTCCAAAGTGGTAGGGTGTACCAGGTGGGTGCAAATAGCCAGGCTCTAATCATGAGTCGATCTGATATGGCTAAGGTCACGTGGCTGACATGAAATTACTGGTTGCGCTACTGCAGTCGCTTTTTACAAGTCACCCTCCAGGACTTGGACACCTTATCAAGTCTTTCTAATGTATCGTACTGGTGCACGGTAAGTGCTATTCTTGAAACGATAATACGTTTTAGCTTCAACTGTTATATACAATATTAGTCCATCGTTTGGGGCAAAAGCATCTCCGTCGACACGCTGCCAGAAATGTCTACAATATGGTCATTGGGTAAAGACACTATTGTTCGTATGCAGATGGTATATTGATCTCCTGTGATAGACGTATGAATGTAAAGGCAATCGCACATACAAAGCGAGGCCAACACGAACACAACAACTTACGCGCCCACTCAAATTACAAGAGCCTGATTTACCGGAAGAACTGCAGGATAGGTAATATAATACCTATGACTCCACCATCTGATCCACAGCTCATTGATATCTTTATCAAACAATAGAAAGGGGATTGCTGATAAAATTCTTGCAAGGAAGAAGAAAGAGAAGAGAAAAAGGTATAAATGGCACTAGATCGTGGAAACAGTAGGATTAATTCCCCAATCCCAGATACTCTTCCAGTAGTAGCAGCGAAAGTGACAGTGAAAGTGAAAGCGGCAGTGACAGTGAAAGCAGCAGCGACAGTGATAGTTCACAATCGAGTTTGTCTTCATCATCCTCCAACAGTGAAAGTGATAGCAGCGACAGCTCTGCCCTAAGCAGTCGAAACAGACGTCGTAGACGGCGTTCGATATCATCTTCGCCATCGGCAGTATCGAGACGATCACCAGCACATAAAAAATATCGACGCCGAGATTCCGTATCAAGCTCGACTAGCAGTAGCAGTAGCAGTAGCAGCCATGATCGCCATGACAGCCGAAGATCCTTAAGCCGTTCTAGCAGTGTCAGCAGCCTTGGCCGTCGTCCCTTCAGAAGATAACCTCAAAGCGATGATAAGTTACATAGGCTATGCCAAACTATTGGATTAGGTTGACTTCCTATGCATCATAACTCACCATGTTTGGAAATAAAAGGTCTTTCTCTCTTCTCTATCTCAGCCGGTCTTATATGCGGTTTAAGGCTAATCTAACCAATCCAACGGCATTGCATAGTAGGTTCTTCCTCATCAATATGCTTCCAAAGCTCATGCAGATGTTACAGAGATTGCTCAGACTTTTGAAAAACTGGGGTCTACTTGTATTGTGTCGCTTTCCAATAGTACAGTACAATTGATCAAGTTACGCGATTCTGACAGTGGTGTACAAGCGTGGACGTAAGTGGTGAGCACGGAACATCTTCTCCATGCTTACACAATAGGTTATAGCAAATTTGATCCAGTGAGTTGGTACAGCAATCGCTTATTACATGATCATCTAATATGATGCCTCAAGTCCCTCATATTCCAGGCATTTCGTATCGAAAGCGCGTATAATAATCAGATATATTTGTCACTCGCTATTGATGATTTGGTCCGCGCAACACGAACGGCACAGCAATGTAGTGATATTCAGCTTGCTCTACGGAAGAAACGCAATACAACAATACTGGATTGGAGTATGGTCACTCAAAACAGAGGTGGCTCAACAACCATCATTGGCCAAGAAATATGCGTGTCACTCATTCCGCATGATCGATGGCGCACATTTCGTGAACCACTCTTTGGTGGCTACCCCGACGTATGTACCTCAAAAATGTATGAAAAACGAAATGCTCACCGCTTTATTAGTCATACATTAGGTTACCTGATCTTATGAGCCTAAAGTCTAGTGCGACCCGCCTTAAATCTTTAAGCAAATATCTCATCATCTCAGCGAATATGGAAGGCACACTAAAACTAAGAGTGGAAACGGACCTAGTTCAATGTGAATCAATTTACCACCACTTGGAAAATCCACGTATCGAGAACTATACACCATCTGGTGACCCTGCCGACTTCCAATCGGTCAAGATAAGCTCGGAGGATTTTGTCAATATTCTCAATAGTCATCACTTGGATCCTGTCAGAACAGTGTGCGGTAAGTATACGTCCATTCTGTTATATTCATTGTAGCAGATTCTGACTAGATTTGGTAGCCATCCATGACAAACTTCAAGTGACTTTTTACGTATATGTTGATCTCGAAGCACACCAATCAAATCCAACTTTTGCTATAGCAGGCACTCAAGAAACATCCGTTACATTTCATCTCCCCGTTTACCACAACTAATGGCGCGTGATTTACGTTCATTTAATAAAGGGATTATTGTTCGTATATAACACACATTCAGCTCTATACTAGAAAGGTGTCCACTAGATATCCAATCATGAATGGGAAATGGGATGTGGGCAGGACAAGGAAAATGCAAAGATGCAGACATGCATATGTCAAGATTATGTGATGTAAAATGCTCGCGACAAATCTTCACATTTACTGTGATGAAGGTACTGTTGTTGTTGGTTCTTCTGAAGCGCTGTTTGGAGTCTCTGTGTTTGTTGGTTCAGGTAATGAAGGTCCTTGGGGCTCTGTAATTGAAGAAGATTCGTCTCCTCGGCTTTCATCGGGCAACATATCTATCTCTTCTTCCTTCACAGAGTCTGTGCCATTATTATTGGTAGAATTCGCTCCGCCGCCACTGCCTCCTGAAGCATTGTAAAGCTCCATAGCTTGTTCAAATTCCTTTTGCTCCTTATTATACATATCATAATAGACCTTCACAAGAGAAATAAGTTGATTTACATCTCAATCATCTTATCGCGTTCGCTTACCTGTTTCTCTTCTTTTGATAAGGCCTTCCACTTTTGGCCAAGAAGACGGGTCGCTTCACCAAGGTTATCACTCGTCAATTGATCTTTGATATTATCACGTTCCATTCGACAATACAAAAAGAAAACATTCCCTGGTCCTTTTGGTGCATTGGGATCACGTTTCTTGCGTTCTTGTGGTTGTTTACTGTTGGCTGCTCTGGATTTTCCGGGGCCACCTCGCTTTCGACCTGTGGTGTTGCTAGCGTTTGATGTCTTCAAAGAAATAGCCTAAAAATCGCGTTTCCTTAGCACATGTATGTTTTGTTATCTTTCCATACTTACTAAGCCAGAGTCTGAGACATCACCTTCGGAATCACTGGATGCTGCGTTAGCTCTCTTGCCATCACGCCGGCGATTCTGATCAAGTTCTTCGAGCAAGACTCTGTAGAAAAACAATATATAAGGCGACAAATACCAACATCAACAACTGATCATGAGATATGTTACATGCGTTCCACTCGTAGACGCTTGATCTGTCGCATAGCTTTCGTCAGCTTCAAATGAATAGCATCATTATCCTTTATGAAAACTTTAGTAAAGCTGTATACATGATATGTCAATATACGTTTTCTTTCTTCACCTCTTCTATTTCTCGAACTCGTTTCTTCAGTAGGTTGTATTTTTGTCGAAGCGTGTCTGCAAAGGATCATGTCATAAGTACATGAATGTTATTTTTGTATTGAATCTTGGCGTGTACCGTCTGATGTTGTCGTAGTAACGGGAGTACTAGTAGCATTGGTGGAGGAGGCTGGATCAGTGTTATTCATGATTGGTTGGCGATCAGTAGGCATATAGGCAGGGTGTGAGAAGAAAAGAAAGGTTGAAAGGCGAAAGTCGGAATAATTTTTATTACATTGTATCCAATTCAGCGCTCCGAGAGCGCGCTCTTAGTCCTCTTTGGAGCTGCAACGACCCGCAGGGTTTACTGCCATAAGCTGGTTTATAAACATGTATCTCGAGAATGTTACATAAAGCCATCGAAACCATACAAGTTGTGAAACATGTTGTCGCATAGCCTTGTGTGTGACAAAATAGTCGCCTGGAGATGAGACGAACACTGCTGCTCTTTCAAACGTAGGCCAGAGCCTTTTCTCGACTTGCACCAAGAGCAAATCAAGAACCCCAATATATTTGCGTGGCAACCGAATAGATACGAGCTTGTAAAGGAGAATATCCTGGTTCTCTGTGACGTAATGTCTTGTGGATTATATTTAATAAAATATCTCTCTCTCCTGCCTCAATCCCTGCTGGCTTACTTTGCTCCATGATATACGGCAATATGGTTGGGATGGCCCGAAACGCCATATTCGTCAAACGTGATTATCTAATATAAAGCTGTGAGCTACTATAGCCACTTATCGTCGAGGAACGTACTGTATCAATATTATGCTTGCTAACATAGGCCCTGATCTGCTTTGAAACAGCCTCCGGCGGCCAAGCATTGAGCATGCCATCTTGTAATTCCCTATAACAATGTATTCCCTTATTATCCGTCCTACAAGCTAAACAATTTAAACACTTACGGCTGATCGATTGCTCTCGTATTGGATGCAGGAATGCCAAGCACCTGACAGCTTTGAGTAAGCTCCTTCTTTCGCACGACGCCCAGCCTATCTGCATTACCTATGTATATGTCAATTTTTGAAGTTAACCATCGTGTATGCATCGCTTAGCTATATCTAGAAAAATACCAGTAGACAAACAAAGAACGTGAAGACGATGTTTCGAAGAGCTCAGCGCCCTTATCGTGGGACCGAAAAACATGCACTCATCGTCAGGATGAGCAGTTACAATAAGCGCATTCCTTGTTGCAATCGGTTGACGCTGGTGAAAACTTGCAAGAACATGGTATGTGTATATAAAAAACGTAATCAGCAGCAAAGCACTTAGGAATGGCAGCATTAAGAGTCCAGTTGAATTGGTTTGGCTTTTGGTATTTGCACCATCTCAAAACACTACTTTCATTTTTAGATCCAAACAGCGACACCTTGCTCGTGCTCCCCTCACAAATAATTTGCAGATCTATAAGCAGAATCAACTGCCATGCAGCATGAAGGCGTTTAAGCATCCTCCCCCACCCAACCCCGAATTCAACATGCATGCCATAATCTCTACCTCCCCATCCGCTCTTCAATCATGCCTTATTTAAATAATTACGAATGATAGTGAATGACAGTACATTTTTATCGTATAGTTTGGTCTTCGAGAAGTGCATCCATATCTGGCATGCAAACAAACTTCTGTGTAAGATTACCTAATTCAATCACTTTCTTTTTGTCCTCACTCAGAGTATCGACCATCATGGCATTCTCCAAAAACGAGGACTGCATGCCTTGAGTGATATCAAATAGAACATCGCCTATCTTGAGCTTCATCTTCCCGCTCTTATATACCACTAGCGAGCCCACTTGGCCTTGTGGCATATCCCCCAAAGAAAGAGACGCCATTGCACTCTCAAGAGTCGATTTTTTCGCAGCTGGAGGTAATTGCTTGTCTTTGTCATCGGCAGCTTCTATTGGCTCGTCATTGACTTTTTCGAATTGCGGGAGTATGGATGGAAGTTGGAAAAATAACAGCTCGTCATCAGCAACCGAGACGATTTGCTCCTGTACAATAAACGATATCGTTACTAAAAGTCTTTTAGACAACACAGATTACTTACGTTCTCATCTAGACCAAATAGATATTGTGCTGGTGCATCCGCATCCATCATAACTGGTGGCAGACTAGATATATCGGGGACGGTTTCCTCTTGCTCGTCATCTGCGTCCATTTTAATATCTGACATGGATTGTTCCTCGTTAGATGGCTCGTCTTTAACTATTCCACAAGTTAATAGAGTTTCTTATGCAGCACGGCTATGGAAGGTAGTTTAAAAACCTTTTGCTTTTTCTTGATCTTTGAAGGATGCATTCTTTATGGTCGTTCTTGCTTTCGATACTGTTCGTAACCAGGGAACCTTGGGTCCAGTGGATGTCAAGTCACTCGGATCTAATTCTCCAGCTGTCCTTGATATATGCTTAAACACAATTGGGAGAGTGTCGTCGTGGTTATCACCAAATAGATGAATCATATCCGAATCTTTGTCGTTGTACATGTCAGTTCTTGATGACGAGTCGCCACTGAAAGTTGCATATCCACCGCTACCACCAAAAGCGCCACGGGCTCTGTTTGCTGCACAAACCAGAAATCGACGTTATTCAGTAACCGATACTTACTTTCCTAAGTCCTGATATTACATACCCATCGCAGATGGCCCAAGTGAAAAGAAACCCGATGCCGTACTTTCAGCAACAATGTCGCCACGGCCACGACCACGGCCTCTTCCTCTTCCTCGACCGCGACCTCGATCACCACGCCCTCTAAATGAACCTCGTCCATGTTCTGCATTCTAAACATATCCCGTATACATTATGACCCGATGTAACACAGCACAGTCATTAGAGCGCTTGTTTACCTTTGCATTTAATGCCTCATCGACAGCAGATGATGACCTAATATCACATGACGATTGTTCAAGATTAATCGATCAGACTTCGAAGCACTCATGACCTACGCTTCCTTCTTATTTCGTCTGGCAGGTATCGTAGGCTTAAATTTCATCTTTGGAAAGGTGGAAAATATGAGTAAAGATACAAGTACAGTAGAGCAGGAGCAAAGAAAAAAATACCTTAGCTGCACCACCCCTTGTGCGTTGTCCATCATGCACACTTGGTAGGCGTCCTTCTTGCGTATTATCAGAGCGTATGTGGCCAATCGGTTTGCTGGACATTGGTACTCCATTGAGCGAGGTTTCTCCAGAATCGCCACCTTCCTGCTTGATAGCTGAATCAACCTCACTAGGTCGAGCAGGACGGGTTCCTCTTCCTCGACCTCGTGTATTTGGTGCGAATCGGCGGGTTTGCTTGGAAACCGATGGTGAGATCGGTTTATCGGACATGTTGTATTGGAGACTGAGAAGGTTTTTCTTATCGTTGCAGCAGCCGCCGTAAGTTTAATTTCATCTCGAATTTCTTGGGTGACGCTACTGCAAGTCCGAAAAGCTCATTGGCAATGGCAAGTACAGTAACTATCTAGAACAGATGGTATGAATGCATTTCGTATTGACTATGGGAACTCTGAATGCTTAAGCATGTGATCTTTTAGTTTACAGATGTCAGCTTACATATGATATTCAGCGTTTTCTTATCAATACAGCGGGAGCCGCAAAGGTATGCACAATGAGAAAAAGCGCTGTCGATAATAGGTTTCTTTATTAATATTTCGTACCTAACAGCTATCTCTTACTGACCTATCGAATGGCTAACGCTATTGTTGTGGGTGCAGGCACCGAGCCTAAGCACGCACGTAATACTATCACGTGGTACCTTGAGAGGTATTGGGCCAACGCCCTGGAGAACCTCGAACTCGTCCGACTTTTTAGAACGTCAAACAATTGACTTCTGATATTTACACTATGCCAAAAACACCTGTCAGTTTTAGATCATAATCCACAGACGTAGATTAGCTGCTGTGGTCATCTATTAGACTGATATTGACATGGTCCATGGAACAGAATGTAAATAGTAAACTCTAAATAATCTTGATGTCGTCAAGGATCTGCTTGCTAGCTCGTTGGTTGCTATTATGATTCACTTATGAAAGACAAGCTACGCCGATACTCACGTTTCAAACACCAATGAGTAATCACTACTAGGCTCTTTGAAGTGCTTTACCTATTATATAAAAAAAAGTCGACACATATTGTTGTTCTTGCTGACAGTAAGTATGTGATACTTGACAGTGCCAGTACCATTACCATAAGACTGGGTTGATGACACCAAAACCAGGCTGCTTGTGCTGTATATGTGCAAGCGAGCCGACGGGTATAGTCAGTGCGATGTATTTGTTTTTAAGAACAAGAGACTACATAGTTACGGGGTCGACAATGGTGAGACCTCGTCTCGATCTAACCTCACAAAAATTATGCCGACTCCAAAGCCCTAACAATGATCAAAGACCACTTCTGATATAGCATCACGCTTACCGTATAGGAAACGATCAGACGCCGCTAAGCGAAATTTGACAATGAACCATGGAGTCTCTATTAGAAAAAGCTGGTGGACATGGCTCAAAGCAGCTAATGACCAACTGTCAAGTTCGCGATGGGCAATACCAGATTTCGTCATGTCGCCATCAGCAAAAAAAATTTTTTTTTGGGATCAACCCTGTGAAAGTTCATGTTCACAGACAAGGACGTTTCGAGCACGGTAAGCAATTTTTTCTCATAAAGACGCGACGATTGTATGTAAAAAAAGTTTTGGCGATCTCTGCATTTCTCCTGTTGCAATGAGGCAAAGGAGCTTCGGTATGGTTCCATGGACAGCATTTATATCCGTTAGTAAAATAAGGCCGGCTAAATATACACCCGACTTAGTGGTGCAAAAAATTTCAACTTCAAAAAATCTTGGAGGTGGTAGGAAGCCCAGCCCCAGAAAAAAATTCACTTCGAAATCCGCTGGCAGTACAATACGCTCGGTGGGTAAGGTACAAAACGTCTGGTGGGTAAATGTACAATACGTCGGTGGGTTAACCCACCGACGTTATGTGCGAACTGGGTTGTGCACAGATTGTCATCCGGCGGATGAATTTTTTGACGGTTTTGGAGGCCTTATAGAATCCATAAGGTATATTGAGCTTTCTTTTTATCATTTGACTCCATATTTGGAGTTCAAAGGTATCCAGAAGTATCAATTATAAGAATTTAATGCAGCTGTTAGGGCTGAAGGCTATACAACAGTATCACTTATAAGGTACGATTCGGTTCAGTGGCATACAAGGGATAACTTTTACATATTCAATGACATTTTGAGATTACCACTACACATTTAATAATGTTGTGAAGGTTCCCAAGTCAAAATTTGTCAGCAATTACTTATTTAATGCTGCGTAGCCGATGTAACGTAAGAACTTACAAATGATAAAAATATTCTTGCTAAAGGTATTGTTTATCTTAACATTTCTTTCGTTGAAATAAATGAAAAAGATAATAAATCGGATACAATACATTGGTTGATTAACGCATTATCTTTATGTATTCTTTACACCGGGAAAATACTTTACCCACCGAGCGTTTTGTGCTTTTTACTCACCGGGCGTTTTGTACCCCTATTTCAATTTTTTCCATCCCAGCTACTATTTCTACAGGTCCACAAGTTCGCCTGACCCTGGCATGCACTAACATTTACCCGGGGTTTTTTTTACATGTATCAGTTGGCGTTATACGAAGGCAACGACTCAATGTCTTGGGCTCTTTGCGTCCTTTTCTTCCACGTGATCATTGCACTGCTGTTACCAGTTACCATAATTTCTCGCAAGGCGAGGAGAGCAGGAGACTAAGAGATAGAGATCACATTCACATCCTCACAACTACATGACTTGACTTGCCTCTGACCGCTCTGATACCTTAGTCAAACTGCACCACAAGGACTGCTTTTATATTTGTAAACAAAGTTTCAGGTCACGTTGACTTGTGGCTTGTCGAGAAACAGAGAAAAATTCGCTTGTGTGAGGCAAAGGGTGTCATGACTTGACATGTCCTTCTTGGCTATATTGGCACATTCCTTCCTTTCATTTGACACATCCTTCTTAGCTAGATTACATTTTCCATCATCATAGGTTTATTGCCTTATCATCTTTAGACATATCACATACCCATCTCTTTTAGTATTATTGATCTTACTCACATATATATATCCACCGATTCATCATGCAATAAACCTTAGTCAGTTATCTTGGTCCTCTTTATCCTCCATATCTCTTGGCTCATCTCTCTCTCTTTGTGTCCCATCACATTCTATTCCTTGCACTGCTGTCCCGATCAGTAGGCATCATCATCATCTTCACCTCTTTTCCTGTTCCCTGTCCTTGTCCTGTTGGAAAGCACCTAGCACCTTCCACCATCCCAAACCCATTCCTCACAAAGGGGCATGTTTTATATCTTCTCTGATCACCTTGAGCTACTAACCAAAGTTGTAGAACAAGGGTGCTTTTCTAGTTGAGTTTTCAATTTCAGCGATGGTTGACATGTAGGATGTTGAGAAAAGGGTAACAGAAACCTATATAAAAGAGATCACGTGCTCATGAGGTTCATGACTTCCCTCTGACCGCTGTGATGCCTTACTCAAAGTTGCCCACAAGCACTGCTCTTATACTTGTAAACAAAGGTTCAGACGAGGTTGACCTGTGGCTTGTCGAGAAACAGAGAAAATATTCGCTCGTGTGGGACAAAGGGGCATGTTTCATGTCTTCGCTAATCAACTTGGACCACTAACCAAAGTTGGAGAACATGGGTGGTTTTATTTGTAGTCGAGTGTTCAACTCGATCGCATCAGCAGATCCTACAACTCTCAACTTCGACTTGTCCACCGCTGACACCTTGAAGTGGAGTTAGGTCGTGGCCAAAGGTGCTGGCATGAAGGTCATTGCACCTTCCCGAGCACCTCGCGATGCCAACATTCCCACAATCTGTATGAGCACCACGATTTCACTCGTCAACAACTCTCTCGTAAGGCTGCCCGTTATCATGTCCTTATCAGGGCAGTCATGCCAGGAATAGATGAGAATTACTACGCGCGCACCAAAAATGTAGGCATGGTAGTAACGTAACCCAGCAACCAACCCAATAAACATGTCTCTCATCAATCCTCATTGACCATGCGCGCACCACTTTTGCTATCCCATGTCACCTGCATTCACCTACCATTGACCATGAGTGCACCAATTTTACTCCATCGTCTCACACATTATTACGTATATTATCGCTTCATCCAACCCGCTTGCACCATCACTCTTTTAATTAACAATGCTTTAATCGATTGTGTGTTATATTTTATGGTGAGCTTTCAACCATTATGTGCATAGTAGGAAACAGATTGCACAAGAAGTGATAATATACGTAATAATGTGTGAGACGATGGAGTAAAATTGGTGCACTCATGGTCAATGGTGGGTGAATGCAGGTGACATGGGATAGCAAAAGTGGTGCGCGCATGGTCAATGAGGATTGATGAGAGACATGTTTATTGGGTTGGTTGCTGGGTTACGTTACTACCATGCCTACATTTTTGGTGCGCGCGTAGTAATTCCCGAATAGATTAGTATAGCATCAACATACCGCGCAGCATGGCATGATGCTACATCACCTACCGCAGTACGCTATTTAGGATATCCATTGTATCATCGCCAGCAGCAATTAGATGAGTATTGGATGTATGGCATCAAAACCAAGATTGCCAGGCGTGCCAATATACTCAAAGCACGGAATTTATCAGTACGAGGTTCTGGTATGGTGCCCATTCTGGATTGATGCAGTACAAAGGTTTCAGCTCTCAGATATCCTTCCTAATCAGGCTGCCATTTGGCTAGCTTTATCTCGACTACAATCTCCCAACAGGAAATATTTATCGGACCTGACTCTGTGTCAAGTCGTGGCGTTTATTGCATGAATGCGTGTACTCAACAAAAGTTCCACAAGTGGAAGATCAAGGACACCAACTCGTCTGAATGCTTAATCTGGTGTCTCCAAAGCTCTTTTGCGTTCAGTAACGTTATACAAAGAGTAAACAATAAACAAACCCTTACATCCTTGCAATCTCGACATCTCAACTCGATCGACAGTTCACGATCTCAAAATTTCACCATGCCGGACTATGAATCCTTGCAATGGAGTCAGGTGGCGGCATGTGGTGCAGGCCTAAAGTGCTCACATCCTTGATTACAACTGAATGCTTAATTTGTAAGGCCGGAAATGAAGACTTATACCATATGTTTGTGGATTGTCCTATGAAGCGATCTTTTTGGATTGATGCTTTGGCGCATTTCCATTACCCATCCAAAAATCCATATGGCAAGCCCTTATCTCTCTCAAGTCCCTCGATAATCGACCATTATCCGGATCAGTTTTATGCCGTCTCGGTGCTATTCTGGCAGTCCTACGGCGCTGTCACTGGCGATGTGTTAAGCTACGCAGATGATCTCGAGGTGTTTTTGACATCACCCAATGAATGGCCGCTGCTTATGGATCTTCTGCGACTCTATCATCAAGCTTCTAATGCCAAAGTCAATTTGACAAAGACGGTGGTCATGCCTCTATCTGGTGAGCCACAGCAAGACTGGATCACATTAGCGGAAGGGGGGCTCTTTCGCGTTTATTTACGTTACACAAGAGCAAAACATTGAAGCAACAACACACCTACAAATCTCGACATCTCGAATCGCCATCAGCAATTTTCGACATGGCGAACTCTGATTCTCTCAAGTGGAGTCAGGTCGCAGCAAAAGGCGCCGGCATGCGTGTCATCTCGCCAACTCGAATTTTCGACGCAAATGCAACACTGTCTTCAGAGATCTTGTTTGAGCACCCTGATTTCAAGAATCAGCAACTGGCCAGAAAGGCTGCCTCCATCGTTCGACAAGCATTGACTCCCCAATCAGTTTTATTTTCGTTTCCTCCAACTTCATTTGCTCATCGTACCGAGGCATTTAAGAGTATTGAGGACAATATTGGTCCGCTTGCAGCTGTTCGTCCTCTGAGTTTATATAGCATCCACTCACGCGGTGATTTGCTTATTGAAGCCAAGTTCGTTTCACAGGAGCATGCTACAAAGGCTATCCAAGCTGGTATCACTCTTGATGACATTGTCTATAAGGCTTCGCCATCAGTTGCAGGTGTTGAGAAACCTTTGGTGCGCGTGCAACTTAATCTTTTGCACATGGCCACCAATACTGAATTGAAGGAAGGTTTATTATCTTCTTTACGTTATTACGGTAAGGTGTACCAAGTACGCCAGACTTTGTGCAATGGCTATTTTGAAGGCCAACTAACGGTGACGTTGGATCCGAGCCATGGTTATGTGGATGATGAAGGCAAGAGACAAGAGAGACATTAGCGGAAGGGTATGGCGCTCAATGGCACGATTCTACTAAGGACACAGCGGTAGTATATTTGGGATATCCACTCTTCCACAGTCGGGCACAACTTATGAGTTTCCTGGATAAGATCAAGGCCAAAATCATTAGGCACGCCAACATGCTGAAATCACGTGGTCTATCGATCCGGGGAGCAAGCATCGTGGCCAATTCTCTTTTACTCTCTCGTTTATGGCATATTCTTCGTGTGGTTCCAGTACCCTCTGAATGGATACGAGAAATCAAGAAAGAGATTCGATCCTTTTTACTTCCTTTCTGGCCCAAACCTGCGTGGGATACTTTAACCTTACCCAGATCACATGGTGCAGTGGGTTTGATTGATATCGAACACCAGAGCAAGGCATTACATTTCATTTATATTCAACGACTGTGCAAGAATCCACGGATAACCGATTTCCTATCACCCTGGATCATCAAGTATTATCAGCTACTGACAGGACATGCATCACTACTTCCATGGTTTCTTTATCCCGAATACTACAGCAAGCAAATGAAGGCTGATCCCAACATGTTACAGTTATGCTCAGTACTACAAGCACTACCTCCTCTGGCGATCTGTAATAGTTGGTCTCAACGATGGCTTTTGGATCTACCTTTGGAACCTACCATCACACCACCACCAAATCATCACAAGCTACCGATGCAGTATCTGTTATCCGATATTGCATACTGGGCGCAGGACCGGCAATGTTTTTTCTTTCACACCCGTCAGCTACCAAAGCCCCTTCACAACTTTGTCCAATCCCTTCCACAAGCAGTTTCAATCGCGCCTACAATCCTTACACTCATCAACTCGACCACGATATCCATCCAAGCATCCAGGATCCTTGGTCCAACACCTACTGCTTCACCACCGGTACCGAAATCTCGGCTGCCTTCCTTATCTCATTGGACTCTACAGGTGTCTACAAGATGTCATACCTCAGTACCAACATCAACATTAACCCAACTACGACGATCATGGCATCCACATTGGAAATTGATGCTTTCTCGTCCTCGGCCACCAGAAATACTCCCCCGTCCACTCTGCTTCATCTATCCAAGTTCCTTTTGGAAACGTTTTTGGCGCTCTGAGATTCCTCATAAAGCTTTCACACCCTGGTGGAGACTACTGCATGATTCCATCGGTACCAGACAAAAACTCCATAGTTGGAAGATCGCTGAGGTGGATACCCCTATTTGCCGCATCTGCAAGACCGAACCCGAAGATCTTCACCATCTTTTTGTGGATTGTCCTCGCAAGCACCAATTCTGGATTGATGCGCTAAATGCCTTTGACCTCTCTGCCACCTTTCCCACCAAACATTCAATATGGCATGCGTTACACACTCTACAATCCGCTCCTCGATCCTATTTGGCCGACTCTACGATGTACCGCTTCGGTATCATTATTGCGATACTGTGGCGATATCACTGGCGCTGCATTTTAGACCACACTGAATGGAACACGCAAGCTGCCATGAACCTTCTTAATTCTAATATTCTTTTCACATCATCCATTTCCCAGTCTGTTTCCACAATCTAATAAAGTCAACACTTTTATACAAAAAAATGTCACTGGCGATGTATCCTCGAGTATGATTATTGGTCTACACAATAAGCTATGAATCTCCTCACTTCCGATATCTTATACTCTTCATTTGTACCTGCTGATTTCCAAGCCAAGTCAATCAGTGCCTGAAAATGGATCCACATATGGCTCACCTTGGGAAAGTCCTCTGTCGCCTTCCTCAACTAACACCATCAAGCAGCTGGTCTGCAAGATGATTTCTCGATGTGCCACTCCGATTTTTCAAGTTTCCAACCTTGGGGTCACCACTAAAACCTCTGAGTCTACAATATCTCCTCTCGGACCTCGTTCATTGGGATATGCAACAACAACAACTGGTCCTTTCACCAACGCCACCATCACGGAAGGCAGTACGACAGGTTCGCTCGAATTTTGACCCCACGTCCTCCCAATATCAAGCTGCTAAGCTATGCAGATGATTTGGAGGTCTTTTTGGATAATCCACGGGAATGGCCAATATTACACGACTTGCTGTTACAATATCGACAAGCATCAAATGCAAAGGTCAATCTCAACAAAACGGTCCTGATGTCTCTTTCTGGAGGTTGCCACGAGGACTGGTTGTCGCTGGCCCGCTGGCGTCATCGTTTGGATCTCAATGGCACGATGGGAGAGCTCTTCCGCGTATAGTTACGTTACACAAAGAGCATACAGTATCCAACAAACTTCACTTCAACAAATCTCGACATCTCGCTCATCACCAATCGCAATGTCGACATCTGACACCTTGAAATGGAGTCAGGTTGTCGCAAAGGCTGCTGGAATGAAAGTCGTAACAGCTTCACGATTTAGCCGAGAGGCTTCCACAATGTCCTCAGATCTGCTTTTCGAATTACCGGAATTTTCGCAACAGCAAATGGCTCGCAAAGCTGCCACCATCATTCGCCAGGCTCTTGCCCCAGATACAGTTTTATTCTCATTTCCGCTCGTGGCTTTCACTCATCGTGCCGAAGCTTATAAAGCTATCACTGACCAAATCGGTCCCTTGGCCAGTATTAGACCATTAAGCAACTATGATCTCCGTGCACGCAAGGACTTGCTAATTTCAGTAACGTTCACGTGTGCCGAACATACCAAAAAGGCTATCGATTCTGGTATCACTGTTGATGATGTTGTGTACAAGGCTACTCCCAATGCACCAGGCGCAGAGAACCCATTGATGCGGGTGCAACTTAACTTGTTACATAACGCTGATGATCGCAATCTCAAGGAGGAATTGCTATCTTCTTTGCGTTATTATGGGAAGGTCTACCAAATCCGGCGCATATTATGCGATGGATATTTCGAGGGTCAACTGACAGTGACACTCGACCCTAGTGTTGGGTACAAGGACGATAAGGATGTCTATCACGAGGCTCAACCTCTTCAACGCATGTTGTATTTAGAGGCATGGGACGTCTATGCTCCTGCATCATTCAAGGGTGCTGCCCCTATTTGTTACTATTGTCGGCAATCGGGACATATCCGTAATGCTTGCCCTGATTTGATGAAACGGGTTTGCTTCGGATGTGGTAACAAAGGTCACACGATACGTTTCTGCAAAGCCAAAGAGCCAGAGGAGAAAAATGACACCACGTTGCTGCAGGAATATGAGGATGCTCAACAGAAGCATACTCCAGAGAAGACCACTTTGGATAAAGCCGATCAGACTTTGGAAAGTTCAGTTTTACGTGAGATCGCCAATGAACGGCTAGACAATACAGATGAGGATATGACTGACAGCATATCAACAAAGAAGGATGATGAAATGGATGTTGATGAATCAAACGACAGAGTAGCACAGAAAGGCAAAGAGCGTTCAGTTGACCCTAGTGAAGGTATCAATGCCTCCAAACATGCCCCAATCACAGTTGCTACCCACATGAAGGTTGACAGTCAAGCTGAGATGTTGGAAATGTCATCCGTGAAGCAGACCACGAAGGCCAAAAACGAGAAAGTCAAACGTAGCATGCTCACAAAGAGTACGTCTTCGTCACAGCGAACCAAAGTCTCGTCTCTAGATTTGAATCCGGTTATTCCAAAGCCCAAACCTAAGGATTCCGCCCGTAGGGCACAATGATATTACGCCCATTGAGAATAGGCTCTTTAAATGCCAGGAGCATTGTCAAAGAGTCTCAACATCAAACCCAACGCTCCTTTATATCTACTCTTCGCTCTCAATCCTTCGCTCTCGACATATTATGCCTTCAAGAAACATCTACGCTCTCTCGCCAACCTCATCTCACCAACGAGCAATTACACTCCTTTTCTCGCTTCATGTTCCCTGGCTGTTCGTGTGTGGTTACCAAGCATGTGGCCATCATCTGCATACGCTCGGATCTCTCACTCACCGATACTATGGTGTCTATGGATGAGCGTGTTGTTGTCGCGTCTATAGTAGACCATCAGCAACACACGTTGTGTCGTGTCATCAATTCCTATGTCCCGGCACAGCCTATTGCTCGCCCAGATTTCCTATCCTCATTTATGGCTCTGCCATTTATTGAAGATCTCAACTCTGAAGCTGGTCCTTGGGTGCTTGTGGGGGATTTCAACATGAACCTACATCACCATCACATCATTCGACAAGACCATGTGAAACCCTGGTATGACTGGATCCACTCTCATTTTAACAATTGCTTTCCCGAAGGATTGTCCTCTTTTAAACGCGGCAACTCTCGATCCACAATTGATTATATCTTTGGCCACCATTCCTTGGTTTCTCGGTTGACCAATGCCATGTCTCACTTTCTACCAAGCCAATGGACAGACCATGCATTGATGACCATTGACTTATTGCCAGCTAGACAAGATTTTGGTCCTGGAGCATGGCGTTTCAACCCGACCTTGCTATCTAATGAGAAGTTTGTAGCTCTCTTGGACCACGCCACAGAATTATTTCTCCAAGAGCTGCAGAATGAAGCGACATCACACCACGAACAATCACCACAACACCAATGGGAATCATTTAAACATATGCTGAAACACACAGCTCAGTGTTTCTCCAGAGGATCTACAACCAGAGCCAACCGCAATCTATCAACACTACAACGTCAACGACAAAATCTTTTATCAGCATTCGACCCACACAACAACCAGCCAGCCGACTCAACTATCAGCCAGCGACTACAACATATTGAACAGCAAATTGACAACTTGATACAACAACAGACACAGCATGCATTATTACGCTCCGCCACTCGATGGCATGACAAAGGAGAACGTAATAATCAGTACTTTTATCGAGTGATCAAAACGCGACAACAACAGCAGACGATCCAATCGTTAAAGAGCATGGACAACGGGACTACTTTGACAGACTCCAGAGCTATCATCCAAGAAACTCGTCGCTTTTATCAGAGGCTCTATACACCAGAAGACATTGATCCGACTGCAATAGATCAACTACTAAACAACATCCCGACAGATGTCAAGTTGTCGTCCTCTGATACCGAGGATATCTTATCGTCGTTGTCAAAGCTGGATCTTATTGATCTCTTGGACCATACACCTCTAGGTAAAAGCCCGGGGCTAGATGGAATACCTTTTGAAGTGTATCGCCATCTAGCACATAGATCACCACCATTTTGCTCGTTACTGCTTACTGTTATTCGCCAGGCTTTTGATGGCAACTTCCCGACGTCATGGCTCGAGACACGGATGGTCCTACTTTTCAAGAAAGGAGATCCCGAGTTACTTGCTAACTGGAGACCCTTGTCTTTGATCAACTCGGATGCAAAGTTATTCACTAAGCTCATCGCCAACCGTATCAACCCAATCCTTTCCCGAATCATCAATCCATATCAGACAGGCTTTATGTCACATCGTCTCATATCGGATAATGGATGGATCAATCAAGTACTCATGGCAAACGCAAGAGCTACACGGGCATCCAACACCTCGGTAGCAGTATTCCTGGACCAAGAAAAGGCGTATGATCGGGTGCACCCTGAATATTTGAGACGAGTCATGACTCACTTTGGTTTTCCCACATCGCTCATTAACAGTCTCTCCATGCTCTTTTTCAACACCAAGATCCATGTAAGTGTTAATGGCTGGCTGGGATCCCCCTTTATACAAGCCAGGGGTTTACGACAAGGCGACCCGTTATCACCACTGCTATTCAACATTGCTTTTGAACCTTTCTTGCGTTCAATATTGGCAAGTCCGCTACAAGGTGTTTCGCTGGTGCCGACCAATATCAGAAGCACATATAAAGCCCAGCCATCATCAGTACACTTCTACGACCAAGACGACAATGAACAATTGGATATGATCAGTGTTACGGCCATGGAATCACCACCAAGGATTAAACTACTGAGTTATGCCGATGATCTGGAAGTTTTCTTGGCAAGTCCGGATGAATGGGCCATTTTGAGTGCTCTCTTATTACAATATCGCCAAGCCTCCAATGCCAAGGTGAACCTAAGCAAGACTGTGATGATGCCTCTGGACGGCACCACCAATGATACATGGATTTCTTTAGCATCGACTTATGGGGCCCAATGGCATGACTCAGCGAATACAACCGCTTTACGTTATCTCGGTTATCCTTTATTCCACAACAACTCTCAGCTTGGCAATTACCTAGCTGACATCAAAGGTAAAATCATGCGACATGCGAATATACTGAAATCTCGCCATCTTTCGATTCGTGGTGCTGGTATGGTTGCCAACTCACTTTTACTATCCAAACTCTGGCATATCATGCGAGTTGTCCCGGTCCCCAAGTATTGGTTGAAGGAAGTGAAAACTGTCGTTCGTTCTTTTTTGCTACCATTTTGGCCTGCTCCCAGTTGGGATACCATGTGCTTACCACGTCGCTTTGGTGGAGTTGGTCTGGTGGATCTGAAAGCCCAAAGCCGAGCGCTACATTTTATATACCTACAACGTCTCTGTCAGCCGCTACAACGCTCTGACTTTGTCTCACAATGGATCATCAAATACTTTCAGCTTCTCACAGGACATTCCTCTCTCCTTCCTTGGTTTCTCTTTCCAAAGCGGTTTCACCCATGTATGAAGATGGATCAGAATATGGCACTTCTTGGTAAGGTACTTAGCCTTCTACCCCAATTGCCTCTCTCTTCAAGTTGGTCCAGACGATGGTTACTAGATCTGCCGTTACAAGCTGTCCTACTGCCTCATGCCCAATACCCATCCCTGCCACTACGATATCTACTTTCGGATATTGTGAGATGGGATCCAAGGCGACAATGTTTATTGTTTCTGCAACATCGACTATCCCCATCACTGACTCAAGTGGTTGACACCCTACACGATACAATCACCACCAATTCACAACATCCACTCCATCTGATTGACAACATCACTATTCACATCCCACATTCACTCCTAAGCTCACCCAGATACACTTCTCAGCAGTTCCAACCCAAGTCTTTCCTCCCGTCATTCAACCATTGGACAATACCAGTTTCTTCACGAAAGACGTCTTCCATTCCGCACCTCACCTTAACACAGCTCCGTCGAATTTGGCATCCTTCTTGGCAACGTATCCTCAACCGCCCTCGTCCACCGGAAATCCCTCGCCCCATATCTCTCATCTTTCCTCCATCCTTTTGGCGACGTTTTTGGAAGCTCCCACTCCCTCATAAGGCGATCACTCCATGGTGGTGTTTATTGCATGAATGTGTGGGTACCAGACAGAAGTTCTACAAGTGGAAGATCAAGGACACCACATCACCTGAATGCTCAATTTGTAAGGCCGGAAACGAAGACTTATATCATATGTTCGTGGACTGTCCTATGAAAAGACCTTTTTGGATCGACGCTTTGGCGCACTTTCATCTTTCCCACCTTCTACCCAACCAACAATGCATCTGGCACGCCCTTATCTCTCTCAAGTCCATCGATCATCGTCCTTTACCAGAACCAGTTTTGTGCCGTCTCGGTGCCATTCTGGCAGTCTTATGGCGTTGTCATTGGCGGTGTATCATCGAGAATGACGATTGGTCTAACCTACATGCTATGAATCTTCTTACATCAGATATCCTATACTCCTCTTTTGTACCTGCTGAGATTTCCTCTCCTATTTAATAAAGTCAACACTTGAATACAAAAAAAAAAATCAATGGCACGATGCTACCAGCAATTCAGCACTACGGAGAAGTCCCCTTCACGAGAATGTGTGATATGCAAAGCTGGTGATGAGGATCCTGATCACATGTTTGTGGAATGCCCTTACAAGAGACCATTCTGGATCGATGCCTTACAACTCCTACATCTCATCGACACTTTGCCTAACCAAAAAACTATTTGGCATGCTCTGGTAACATTGCCTACTCCGGACCAACAAGCACTCGACCACTCTACTCTCTGCCGCCTAGGATGCATCCTTGCTACCCTATGGAAATATCACTGGCGTTGTGTCATAGATGATGAGTTTTGGTATACAGCCAATGCTATGGGTCTCCTCTCCTCTAATGCACGTTTCTCGTCCTTTGTATCTTATACCTCAAAATCATAACTATTAATTCACACTTTAATACAAAAAAAAAAAAGCAATTCAGCACTACGCTACCTTGGATATCCGTTGTACCATACTCAGGCGCAACTTCTGCATTATTTGTCAGGCATTAAGGGTAAGATCACCAGACTCTATCTGGCGTCAATTCTGGCGACTCTCCTTACCCAACAAGGGTATCGCCGTCTGGTGGCGCATCCTGCATGATTGTGTTGTCCACCGTACCAAGCTCCATCGCTGGCAACCTAGCAAGTACCCAAGCTCGGAATGTCCTATCAGCCAATCTGCTCCAGAAACCTTATATCACATGGTCGTTGATTGTCCTAGGAAATGCCCCGCCTGGTTAGACGCTTTACAGCATTATCAATTACTTGGCCTCTTTCCTTCTCAAAGTTCCCTTTGGCATGCTTTCATCCGACTTTGATGAACCAATGGTTCACCACTCCTACTGTCTGTCCTAGTTCGTTTGGGCTGCATCTTGGAAGTGCTATGGAGACAACTCTGGCGTTGTGTCATTGATGATGAGCCTTGGATCAGTGACACCGCTTTCAATACTTTCAAATCTGATATCTTATATAAGTCCTTTGTACCTTCTGATTAATAAAGTCAACACTTGAATACAAAAAAAAAACCTCAATTCCAACGTCCTCTTTTCGTCCTTTATCCCTAATTCCTCGTCACAGCTATAAACAAAGTCCACACTTATATACAAATAAAGAAAAGTATAAAAGACCACCAGGATCTCCATGAATAAAGGCGTCAATCATATAAACGGTGTCACCGTGTTCTCTTTGTGATCCATTTTATTTAAGCACATCACAAATCCCACGCCCACAGACATGTGTAAACAACGATATGGACGCCGCAACATCCTTCGATCTGCTATTCTAAGATGCTTGACATCCACTTTATCACGAACTTCTTTATCTTGCATGGGCAACAGCAATGATCACGAGCATGAAAACATTTCTCGGTTGTTGACGTATCAGCTCCATCATCTTCGATCGAAGTTGTGGTATACCAAGATGTTTGACCACTTTATCAGTTTCAATCTACCACAACATCCTTTGCTGGCATGAACATCGACAACAATTCCCACGCCCAAACACATATACAATGAAGGCTGTTGTCATCAACATCGCCACACATCTCTTTCGTCTTTCGCACATAACATCAAGACCTTGCTATTTGGTAAGTGCTGAGAAGAGCTGCTTAGCGATTTGTATAGGTCGGAAATAGCTCATGCCTTGCTCTTTGTGATCATCTCTGCAGTTCTTTATTGCTTCATTACGTGTCTCCATTGTTGTCTTTGTTATATGTAATCTTATTCCCTGATGAATCCTTTGTGGTACATGCCTGGGTGTCATCTGGACTTCAAGAAGGAAGGTGCACAACGAGTGATGGAAGTAACAAGGCCCATTGATATAGGTCTATCTTTCAGGTCATATCACATTGACATCAGCTTTACTCTCAAGATGACGTTGTTCCGGTCGTTCTTATCATTGCTGTATCAAAAATCGACCATGAAGTGCCTCGACATTGCCATGGATCCAAGTTCAACGTTCCATGCTTGTTCCAGTGCCGAAAGGGGATCTGAGAAAAAAATGTGCTATACTGCGAGCGAAGACACGTATAGTCATCGACTTTGGAAGGAAGAACTGCAAGCCATAAAATTCAAGGGCTAGGACGATGTTGCAGAGCATGCTAGTTTTAAAAGAACCATTCCAAAGTAAGCAGTTTGGCTCATCATTTGATTCCAACTCAACAATTTTTTCTATAGCGGAAGTAAGGAAGATCATATGCGATTATTTGAATCGTTTCAAGGAACAAGCAAACATTTTGAGAATGAAGGCTACAGATCTTTCCAATCCACGGATTCCTGTCACGGCACCGAAATCATGCGCATACGGCTGGCCTCAGTATTTCGCTACCTATCCCGAGGACCTGCATGACTTCGAGAGCACACCTCAGCCCATGGAACAGCAACAGCAATCAGAGAACCGGTGCATCCTCCGTGATAACAAAGTAGCATTGTCAAGATTCATCGACTAATGCTTCTTGCCGCATCAATTCTTTTATCAATCGAACCAAGCAGCGTATGACTTAAGGCAAATGTGACATGATTATATGAACGACACCATCCGGCCATTCACCTCAGCTGTCAAAACCATCAACGCTTTCCGTTCATAGAAGGAAAAGGCCAGTTCTGCTTTAAGAAATCAACCACAGCTGCCCCCGATTCATACGATCTATGCGTGCTAAACAAGAGTACCGTGGTAAGATGAAAGCTTGCTGTTGATTTTTTTACTGATTTTTTTCCTAGGTCGATTGGTTCGTGACCTTGATAAGCAACCCATAAACTGCCTTTATACGATGAAGGAGTTCCAGAAAGGAAGGTGGTGATCGGCTACGTCAGGAAGAGCCAAGGCGACGAGCCAGACCAGAAAAGACAGGAGCTATTGATGAAAATGGCAGCATGTCCTGAAGAGCGATGTTCCCCAGAGAAGATATTCGCATCCATGTCATCAAAATCCAGTTCAAGCATTTTGGACCGAGGTGCAGACAACCAGTACATCCTTGATGCTGACATGAGTGGCACACAAAGTGAACCTTTCAACCTATGAATGCGAGAAGGACATTCGATCTAATGGTCCACCCGCTGACAGCTATGATGCAGCAAGGAGCACTACTCGGACATGACTTCGTTCCCAGACCAAGATACAAACGACTTCGCCACGACCATTCTTCAAAGTTCAAACTGGTCATAGGCACAAAGTGCTCAACATTCTTGTAACATCATTGGCAAGAATCGATTGTGAGCATGTATCAATGCGGGGAAACGTCATCAACGAATGGCTTTGAGCCATCAGTCGTTCAACAGCGCCTACAAACAACTCTATGAATTCGATGAGATCGCCCAATTGAGGCAACTATGGTCAAAATTTGATTCTGCTAACACGTATTTGCAAATGGGAATTACCAGATGCACGACATGCCGCCAGTAGTTTAGTGTCCATAATACCCATATCAGATTATGTTCTCTTTGAAAATTTTAGAGGCAAATGTATGTTAAGAAACAAAGGGAACAAAGGGACAAGATAATGTACTATGAGACTGATGTGTATTCAGAAGACCAATTGCCTCTCTTTTTATATTATTGAAGATTTGAAACTAGCGTTGCGGTGATAAGACTGTAGGATGTAGATGGACGTATCAAATGGATGTTGGCCACGTTGTAAAAGTACATCGCTATCTTAATCCTGTTAACGACCATTGATAAAGCAGGGATAGTTTAACCGTGTGTTGGATCTCGGAGGATGACGGTGTATGTGTATAAGATAATTGGTGCTTGCCATTTGGCATAGATGATAGGTGCATGTCATTGTATGTATGTGCACCACACCTTTGATAGCTGATTACATCCCTTACATGTTCGCAGATCCTGATTTTATGCATGCATATTATTCATAGCAAGGTCCTCTGTAGAGACTCCCTATGATCTATCAGTGCATCGCTATTCTCAATAGTCATTTTATCACTTTTTGTGGTCACTGAAGTACCCACGCCCACTGTGCAGATATAAACACGATGAATGTTGTCGCTCATTGCTCTTCTCCTAACCTCTCTTCCTTCCTATCATCACTTTTGATTGCCAACATCTCCAAAAGCTCTTGGTGAGTATCGTGATTGAGAGCCCTTTCTTTGGACAATCCATGTGCTAATGTTTGTGATGATCCTGAAGGTTTCATTGTTATCCTAGTACTTCCATTTTTCCTTGTTGCCATTGTGATCAATGGCTCTTTTAATACGGTAAAACCTGATCACCTCACTGATGAATCATATATTAAAATACATATCACCCATTTGGTGTAGCTACCTCGCGGAATGCACCTGAAAATTGGTTTAGGCGGCATATTGTACTACAGCGCGCATGGGGTGATATAACGCTTCCCATTAGCTCATGCACTAATGTATCAATGCGTCAACAAAAATTCACACGCCCATTGTGCACGATAAAAGAATGTTATCGCCACCCATCATACTCCCACTCGTCTCTTTCCTCTGTCATGCTTCTTTGATTGCTTGCAATGTCAAATATCAAGGTTTGTGTGTATCGCTTTCAGCCTGTGAATAATAAGCACTTATATTTGTGGTCATTCATAGTGCTTCACTGTTATCCTACTCCCATAGTCACCGTGGTCGTCATAGTGATATTGTATTCCTGTAATAAGGTAGAACCTAATCTATACTTGATAATCGCTATCGCACTCATCCACATTATCTTGTTACTTCGATATAGCTATCGCCCGTGAGGCATCTTCAAAGGTTGGGTTCAGTCACCATAGATCTACCATCGGATACTGAATTTGACATGGAGCGAAGGGCAAGATCCGCTATCGTAGGGTACGTTGACAAGAAATGCAAATGCTTTGGTTATTGTCTTACAATGTCCGTATGGTAGACTGAACACATTGGATAATGATATTGTGGGCAGCCACAACAAGACTTTGTTATCAAAGCAAGAACGACGTGCAATATCGTGTTGCTAGAGCCATAAAGCTACCAATAATCAGGTGCATCAATGGATATCCGCTTCCGTTCAACAAGCAGATGAACCAGCAAGCAATACGGCAAATTTAGTCAATAAGCCGCCATGATCAAATACATGAACCAGCGGCTCTTGCCATGGAAGCACCGTTCCATTCCGAAGCCGAAGTATATGTCCATTTCGCGGTAGCAACAACTGATTATGTATACCAGTCTGTTCAAGAGTATACATATTGATTCGGTATTTTATGGGAAGAAACGACATTTACTTCAAGAAAAAGCCGAACTGATTCACAAGAAAGCGTATTCGATCTATGTATTAGAAGAAAAGCCTCCACGGTCTGAAAAACCGGTGCGCCCCTCACTTGGCGTATGCTTCTATCTTCTATGTCATCATTGACAAGCTCAAAGCTCTGTGAACGAGATTTGGTGAATATCGGCATCCTCAAAGGTACAGATGCTTCAACAAGAAATCATTTCTCTTGTCTTCTGGCTTGTTGTCAGGGCTCTTGCGTACATATCCAACTATGGCCATCTCTTCTTTCTTGAATTGCTCAATTGTCGGCAGGCGGCTGGCGGGTCGATCAATTCGGATTTTTGGCAATTCACCTGAAAAGCATATTCAGCAAAGAAGGTCAACAACAAGCTTTCATATTACTTACGTCGACAGTTGTTTTTTTTCAAAAAACACCAGGCTACGTCGCTTCGCTATCTTGCTGAAGGCCCTTAGACTACGCAGGTCTCACAACAGATCCACAAGACCTTGCCAGTTTTCTTCGGTACGAGTTTGTATATGCTTCAAATACTAGGCATAACACAAATTTGTTCGCTATATAGTCGTTATACTAGCGTAGAGTATATTGTAATCGATCGACTGGCGGAGGCCTACGAGTGCAAGGTTTTCGCCCGAGAGGAGCTATTGGAAAATGATCCGCATATGAGAAAGTTGTTTGGCTGCCGTCAAAAAAATGTTCAGCGTTCACGAGAGATAATCCACAGCATCACTCAGACTATGCATAGCAATATTCATCGAATAAAACTGCATCAGCATCTTTTTGCATTCATATCATTCGTAGTTCACTACATGAGTGAGTAGCTCTTACGCATTGTATATTCCTTTGTTGGCATATGCTCATACAACACTCTCATCATCCCAAGCCATATAAAAGAAAGATCATCATCGGAAGTCGCGAAGAGTTACTATCAACGGAAATGGAAAAGAGGGAAGCGGTTATTGAGGATTGCAGCAGGAGATTATGACGAAGACGATTACGGAGACAATTGACAACATATGACAATGTGAATGAAAGAGAATCATAGGAAGTACGAGGGAAGCTTGTCACTGGGCTTTATGGATGATGGTGATGAGAGAATCATGGAAGCTTATGGAGGATTATCGGATATTCGGGCATGCGGAATACGTATCCCTATACAGCAGCTGCAGGGAGAACGGTCATTGTTAGAGATTACGAGGAATGCTACCATCATTACGGATGAGAAGATTGGATATTGGTATATGCATGCTTCGTGATGGTATTTGCCTTACCACAAATTGAATGGATCGGCATCCTCTTGTGTGAGGAAAGGAAAACATGCATGGTCCATCTGCTTTCGGAGGAGAGAGGATTCAAGCCCGACAATATTGTTCATGCAGCTAGTATACGCCTGAATAAAAGGAAATGCTTCAAGATCAATATGTACAGACTTGACTGGTATCATTACTGTATATAGTGAAACTACGGATAGCTCGATTACGAGGACACCGCTCAATATCGAGTTTTATTGATCCAAGCATAGGATATTGATGAGGTATATATTAGGTTACACATGTTGTTGACAGGTTGCACAAACAGATGGTGATGATAATCTTGCTTGGGCAAGGTTGGTTCTTCAAACACAAACATCGATTGATGAGCAAGCTATCCATGATGGCAGAGACAATTGCTTTATACATGCATACAAATGGGTGATGGAGAGTACGCTGTGGCGGTGCCCTTAGCAGTGATAACCAAGAGAGTATTTACACATCCATATTTGATGCAGGATTACACATTGGATGTTCCAAGTTCAGGAGTTTGTTGGCTGCATAAAACCAAGGCTGGTGTCACTTTTGCCAGAGATACATAACGAGGGACTAGTACTTTATCCATACTGATCGAGGTATACATGTGTGCATATTCACAAGAGGAACTGTGGGAAGCGAGATGGCTGTATCAAGGACGACGAGAGGCACCAAAAAGAGTCCACCCCACCTTTCTCCACTCCCATTTTACACATTCAAGGTGAGACACACCCCATTGACGACCTACAGCGCATTAACTCCTGACATGCTCTTTAATGCAAGGCGTAGATGCGTGAACCGGTGGTCAATGGCGACCCTTTCAACTACAACAAGCACGCGCGCAATCTACCCATGTTTCAAGCTTCCATTCCCATACAACAGGTACGGTCAATCGCTGGAGCTCTTTTACAATTCAAGTTGGACATTGTGGTACTGAAGCTCG